CGACTCCGACAATCTGGTTTTCACTAGATCATAAACGTAAGCGACGGAGTCCTAAACGGAATCGGAACGCTGTTTTCACTAGATCATAAGCTCTACGCTTCTGATTACGACTCCGACTCCGACTCCGTCGCTAGTGAAAACCAACCTTAAGTATTTTAGTGATCCTGTATTAAGAGGACAGTTCCTCAAGTCCCGAGGCTGGCCGTTATATACAGGATCGAATGCATTTCCCATCCAAAGGCTGTTGCTAAAGCAATCAATATTTCATCCGTGATGGCTGTTTGTTCTATAGTTTGCAACCTTTACACGTAAAGCTTCACTGAGAAATTCCGCAGGACATTTTTGGTTGTGTTCAAATGCCGATGTCAGGGGAGAATGACAGCCAGCTAGGAAAAACTCAGTCATCTACAGGTTGTGTGGAATTGGTTGTATGAAGTCACATCACATGGATTAGGCTATAGCACCAGCCGCTTTGGGGTTCATGAACGTAAACTCCACAAGTATTTGTATTTCCCCCCCAAAAAAATTCAGGAATATAAGTGTGTGAATCTTGATTATTTGTTTTTCTTATAGCAAGGTTTGGAGAAGAGGATATGATTTGGGTTTAGTACACGTAGAATATTAGGAAAACAAGAAACAATACCACACAATCGAGATAAACTTTGTTTATTCTTTCTCGAATGAAACAAAGAAAACCATTTTGTTCTTACACATTGTTACACTTATTTTTCTAATCGGCGTCAACAAGAAAATAATCGAGTACAATTTTGGTTGTTCTTTTTGGAATGAAACAAACTAAGAAATCTTCAACTTTGTTTATTCTTCTCGAATGAATCAAAGGAAACTTCCTTTTATACTCGTTTGCGCTAACAACAGACTGAGTCAAGTACAACTTTGTTTATTCTTTGTCGAATGAAACAAAGAAACTTTTCTCTAATAATCTACCCAGTAATCTGCGTTAACAAGAGAGAAATCGAATGTAACTTGGTTTATTCTTTTTAGAATGAAACAAAGAAACCTGTTCCTCTTTAAATTATCTATCTAATCTGCGTTAACAAAAGAATGATCGAGTGTAACTTTGTTTATTCTTTCTCGAATGAAACAAAGAAACCTATTCCTTTTTAAATCATCTTTCAAATCCGCGTCAACAAAAGAATAATCGAGTTTAACTTTGTTTATTCTTTTTCGAATGAAACAAAGAAATTTGCTCTTAAAAGAAAAAAAAGAAGAAAACTCCACTACAACCTTGTTTATTCTTTCTTGAATGAAACAAAATTACTCTCCTAGTTTGCCAAACAATGACTTATCAAGCTCAACTTTGTCTATTCTATCGTGACTGGAACAACAAAACAGCTGGAAACCCGTTTGCAAAGTCACACTCTGCTTCATTTCAATTCAGTAAATTCTGATTTAAAATTGACTTTGCTTATTCTTTCACTGAGAATCAACCAAAGTGCACTTAGCTACTTAGTTTGCAACCTGAAAATGAGTTTGCGAAGTTCACTGACTTTCTCGATGCACCATTTATCTTTGAGAGGGGGCGGGGATGTGCCATTTTTTCGAGCACGAATGTTTTCAACGGCTAATTGTTCTGGTTTGATTTTCTTGGCGGTTCCCCTTGCCGAGCTTTTTTTTTGTTTTTTTTGTTGTTTTTTTTTCATCAGCATAATCGCAAAGGAAAAAGCATCTTTTTTTTTTCTTTTGACAAAGCCGTGTATTTAATTGCCCTCCCCCATCAAAATTTAAATGCTCCACCCCTTTGTGGAAAAAAAATTCATGACCTCTGTCTTTTCACGTATGTTGATAAGGATTTGCTCTTATTACCTCAGTCAGCATTTTCTAGAAAAATACTGTGAAACCTCGTAAATGAGACCGCCCAAGGTTCAAGAAAAGTTTCTTTGCAGCTGATCAGCTACATGGTACAAAAACGCCAAGCTGGCACAAGACGAACAAAGAGCTCACATCAAGTTCATTTGTCTCCTCCCATAGCGTTTCTTTCGTGTCAGCCGCATGGCATTTTTGTACCAAGTGACTGACCAACTGCAAAAGACCAATATGGAAGTGACATTATTAACTTGGTTTTCACATAAGAAGTTGACTGAGTGACTTTGTGATTGGTCAAAAGAATTTAGTTATAATAACGAGAAGGTCGTGTGAACCAGTTGATCTTAAAGCGGGTTTCCAATTAACTCTACTCAGAATTAGGCACGAGTGCTGGCAAAAACTCACTTCTTTCCAAGGGAAAAGCACTGGTGAAGAAGCTGCACTGCCAAGCAAATGAATGTTTAGCAGAAGCAGGAACAGAGGGCGCTATTTTAGCCTCACTGCTTCATTGCCTTTATTCAAACAAAGTTCCTGTGTAACAAAGTGCCGCAATGAAGGCCGAGATCATGGCAACCAATGATTGTAGCTTGTTAATGTTGCCTCCTGCAGTTGGGGCGGTAGATGGACACGCATCTAAGGCCTCGAGGTCTTTCAGATACAGGTCACCAAGCCATTTCTGGTAGGTGTTTTTTTCTCCAACATCAACCAGCTTCTTTGTTGAATCTTTGAATAAGAGATCAGAGCCGTTCATGTACTTGAATGACTCAAATAACTGGAACATGCTGGAATTAGTTTGATTGATTCCGTAGGCGTTAGAAGCATCCAGCAATAGTCTTTTGTAGTTGGCATTGTTAGTGTTTCCTTTTTTCACCATCACGGCGTGCGATGGAACTTTCGCGAGGTAACAGTTGTCGTTCCAGTTGGCTGGAAAAGAATGTCACCACTTTTAATTTCAATATATTTCATCCATTTTGGGTTTCTAGTGAGGCATAGTTAGCGTTTTAACGGTTTCCGAATTATATCATCACGACATGGGACGAAACTCGAGCTAGACAACATTTGTTGTACGTATGTGAAAAACAAACGTTTTTTATATCTGCCTGAATTTATAAAAAGGTACCTAAAGAAATTTCAAGTGAGTTTTAACAACTTGACCCTTGAGGTGAATAAAAAACTGTTGAAATTTGCTAGTTAAGGCTTTAAAAGAACAAATTAATCGCTGGAGACACACGAAAAGTCGCTCTTGGCAAAAGCGACAGATTTGTAACGAAATGAACAACATTTATTTATAAGCACAGAAATGATGATCTTTCAGTCTCGCAAACTATGAGGCTTATAGCGATACGCCCGACTAAAACAGACCTAAAATTTACCTTTCTTGAGCCCAGAATCGGTTGTCTAAGACAAAATCACTTCAACTATAAAACACTCACGAAGCGTTTTTATCCTTGTGCACAATATTCTTATAATACGAGCACCACGACGTACCTGAATTGTCTGCTAACAACTTCAGGATTAACCACTTCATACAATTAACCACGTTCGCGGCACTGATAAAACTATCCACAACCAACTAGGCACAATGTTTTCACACTTAATACTTGCCAAATATCATCAAATTACTCTCGACCAATAACTCTCGCTTTCTCCACATAAATCATCGCATGTAAACTTTCCTCACTCAGTCGAATTATTCAAGATCCCTGATGTAGACGAGCCGTTTTGAAACGGACACATGGACGCCGGCCTTCAAAACAATTTTAGCAAAGTCTCTGGCCTCGTCAGAAATCAGCTGCAATTTTGCTCTCGCCAAATAGATTTGAGTCCTAAAAACTATTTTTTTGAGGCCAGAGACTCGTCACCGCCCACATCAAAGCTCGCAATATGATCCCTTTCGGTCTCAAGCCGAGAACAGCGTTTCACCCGTTCAGCCAAAATGAGACGAAATACGGCAACATATAGCCCACTTAGGACAAGAGTGATAACCTGGGACCTAACCTAGGCGCGCCTGCATCTATGGGATTATTTGGGGGGACGCGAATGTAAACAAACAGGGCGGAATGCGAAGTGGAATGTTTCAGCGGGGTTAAAACAGCTCAAAATAGCAAAACATTGCAAAACGGAAGGCGGAATTGAACACGATAATGTACAGCTGAAGGAAGACTATGTGCCTGGAACGACTTTACCACGCGAAAAACCAGAAGAATGCACCGTGAAACAACTTCAGAGATCGCTGGATAGGTCTTGCTCCTGACTAGGAGAGTTCCTGAAATTATTTGTGCACAAAGGCACATGACGACTTGCGTGTCTCGTAGTAATTCAACTTGTTACCCCAAACAATCCCATAAATGCGTGCGCGCTTAGTTTGGTTCCTAGGCTATCACTCTTTTCCGAGGTGAGCTATTGGACGACGGCAGACTTTGCCAATCGTGAGACTTGTTCCTTCATAAGGCTTAATGATGCCTTCCGGAAAATTTTGTTGCGGGCGGCCAGAAAGAAATCTAGATAATTAAAAAACCACGGAAAACAAGTTCTACAGAGCGCGCTGATTTCAAATGTCACGGAGAAAATAATGAGAAATGATATGTGGGGGAGAGGGAGGAGAGTGGGTGGGAAAAGATGTAAACAGCATTTGAAACACATGTTTTTTGTTTGGTGTACTGTAGCTTGTTAGCGAAAAAAAATGGTCTAGTACTGAACAAGCCTTAAATGAAAAATCATGATGGTACCTTTTTGCAAACCGAGACAGATATATGTTCATACAATTCAGTGGTCTGTAAGGCCCAATAGTAAATAAAATCTTTAAACCCCTTAGCAATTGGCCGATTGCCTTTTGTAAAAGAATGGGAGCCACGATCATTCTAAATAAATACTCAATAGAGTGATTTTACTTGACCCGTGAAACAGATACTAACAAATAGCCACAAGAAAACAAAGGAAGACAATGGAATTAGCGCATAGTGTAGTATTCTACTACATATTTCACGGGTTAAGTTAAAATCACTCTAATTTTTTTGCTGCCATACTTGCTTCTACGAAAAAAAAAAAGCCACAGACTTATGATAAATAATAAACTATATAGCTGGTTAGTTAATCCAGACTTTTTAGCGTACGTGTCACAGACGTGATTTACATGTGAAAACCGCAATTCGAGTACAAAGAAGACAAAGCAACAATGTAAATGTTCAATTTAAAACTATTGAAAGTAAACATTTCATTCATTACCTGAAACGATTTCCGCAGACTTTGTTCTTTTGTTTGTATTTGCCTATATCTATTAAAACACAACTATCGTTGTTTTCTTATTCTGGTCCAAAGTTTGAGTGCTTGTACATTTTCAAGAATAGTTGATTGTTTCCATGAATGCAAACTTTCATCAGTTTGGTCTTACATTTTCCTTTTAAATGGCCCAGACAAGAAGCCAAAACAAAACAACACTCACAGCAACAAGAAGCCAAAAAAGTTCGCCAACGAACCGCCATCAGCCAACGAGATTTTTTTTGGCGCAGTGTCACAGGGACTTTGCGCTGATTGGCTAGTTTGAATTACCTATTGTATTTTCTAGCATTTGATTGGCTCAGACCAGCTGTCCTATTTTTCCTAAATTGGACAGTTTGCCTATATTTGTAAAGGAAAGTCCTATCTAAAACTATCCAAATTAATCCTTAATTGGACAGTTCGTAAAAATTAAAGGATAATCGCTTTGCTGACAATATCGGATTAACTAACAGCTACATAATTAATATATATTAGATTTAGCCAGGGCTAAAAACGAAGCCTCCGTTTAGATACTTACAATAAAAGCAATTAAGTTTAAACAAATAAACTCTTCGCCATTAAATAGAAATCTTTAAATCCCTACTTAACTTCAGGAGCCTTCGGTATATCAGTTTACCTTTTTGGGGGTGAATAAGGAGCACAACGAAGGCTGGCAACGACAACGAGAGCTGTAGAATAGCAATAGGTTTAATTTTCTTTGCCGTCACTTCACGACTACGTTGCGAAAATGCCTAACTTCACATTTTGAAGGACTTGAACACAAGACAACGACTTTCTTTTTTTTTTTTTCCCGAACTTCGATACAGTCTTAGAAATCAACTCCAGATAATTTTACCAACATTTGTCGAATTGAACTAGATGGAATAAGTGCTATAAAGTTTGAAGCAGCGCGTATTTACTTTTTAAATGACGTTTTCGTTGCCATCGCCGTCGTTGTTGAGTAAGCTCCTGTAAAAACCCTGAAATAAAAAAACTCTCCCAGCAAGCTAAATGTCGCATTTTTACAGCAAAAAAACACTATGCATAGTTTGATCGCAGTAGGAGAAGAAATGCTCTCTAACTGAAGCTTTTCATTTCTAAAGCCTTTTGAAATAATAGGGACAAAAAAACTATTTTGGGGAGGAGGGAAGGGATTCATGTCTAGTTAGTCCTTCCCTCCCAATCTGTACGGACGAGCGTAAGCTGACGTCATAACCAAATTTTCTTGCATCGATAGGTTTCCAGCAGTCGAGGCTCCGCTAAAAACGTACGGTTACCCTCACAGTCATTTTCATAAAACATTAATTGTTCATTTTCGTAACACCGATTATGACTTTTTTGTAAGTACATTATGGACTATTAAAGTTCACTTAACCCGCTGATTAAATAATAGCTTTAGAGGTAGGCTGTTGTCAAGGCATGATAGCGGGGCTCCCGCGCGCGAAGCGCGCGTGGGACAGAGCCCCATACCCATGGAATATGGTCAACCTCTTTTCGTTTGGTTGTCACGTGATTGACCGAGCGTACGTACGTACGTACGCGTCTACAGATTGTATGGGTGGGGTAGGGGAGACTATCAAAAGGAAGGGAGGGGTGTCTCAGGCGTGTCTTGGCAAGTCCACATCTTTAATATAGGACATTAACAATATGGTCAATTGACAGCTGTCCAAACAGGATAGCCACTGACCAGTATCCCATGACCATATCGCGGGCTCATGTGTCAACTCATCGAGGTGACGTGTCGGTGACGTGATTTATTTGGAAGCTGTCCGCTGACCAGTTAACTGTTTTACTAGATCGCGAACAACGTTCAATCTCATACTTTTACTAGTTTGGGAGCACAGGAAAACTGATAATGCACACATATTGGACATCAATGTTTTGATCAATTGACAGCTGTCAAAACAGAGTACCCGCTGACCAGTATCACTTGACCGTATCGCGGGCTAAGGTATCGACCCGTCGAGGTCAAGTATTTTTTGAAGTTATCCGCTGACAAGTAAACTAGTTTTCAAGTGATCGCAGGCTCAAGTTCAATTTTTTTTCTTAATTCATATGAAATATGTTGTGTTTATGTGCTGCACAATTAAAATTTTGATTGCAAACTGAGCTCGGACGTGAAAATTCAGCCAGCTGTTACAGGCAGGGAAGACAGTTGCGTTTGTTTTTTCTCACAATGGTCACGCGTTGGTCACGCTCTACGTCCAATTTTTATGCTCTGATTGGTCAAAATTTGACAGGTGAGTTCATGCGCAAAATTTATGCACCATCTTGAATCTTGTTTACTTTAACAGCTGAAGCTGACAGAGTTTTGTGTCAACTTGTGATGTTTTTAACTGTCTTTTTCCACTGGATGTACAAAATGAAATTCAGCTGCTATCAGGAGTCTTCTGTTACTCATGGCTAGTTTGTTTATTGGGTTTTTGGTTGAGAAAACGTCGCTTGTCAAAGTCGGAAATCCGATTTCGGATGGCATCGTTTTCGTTTTCACCTTGCTTGATGCGTAAGAGGATTGCAAAGTCTGAAGCGATACTGGCTTTACCTGATAACTTTCAGGAGCTGCATCTCGAATGGTAAGCCAGAGAAATTATTGTATTTCATGTTTGTTTTTTGTATCTAATTTAATGAAGTGGAGCGTAGTTTATGCGGGAATTTAGTTTATGCGCGTTTGTAAGATTTGAGACAACGATCTCACCGAGTATCTGGTTTGATATAATCTTACAGAACTTTAAAAAGCCTTTAGACAGTTTCTCACCGCAAATAGAAAGAAAATGTTCCAAAGAATCTTTAGTTATAATTCTAGCCGGAAAAGAAAGCTTTGAGCGATTTTCTTGCCTCGAGTTCGTCTTTGAAAAAACAAACACCGGGAAGCTGGCTTAAAACATAAACTTCAGCAAACTTAAGCTTGAAGCTTGAAGATTCAGGATATTTAGGGACACTTTAATACTTGTCTTCCTGAATGAAAATTGTTGTCTCTGTTTTTGTTTCACCGAATTATATTTCTTTTATTGATTGTTAGTAGTCTCTCTTTAACAATTAGTTCATGCGTCAGCGTGCGTATGTCGAGATATTGAGCACGCGGGAAGTTTGGAGAGCACGAAAGAGGCGTAAGAGTTGCACGAGGCGCAGCCGAGTGCAACTCTAGCCTCTTGAGTGCTCTCCAAACTTCCCAAGTGCTCAATATCTCGACATACGCACAGCTGCAGCATGAACTAATTGTTTTATAACATTATCAAAGCGATCAATGCAGCAGTTAACTGAAAATTTTATTATTGAAGGGCGCGCTCAAAGCAGTACGCGTCAATGTTTACGTGAATATATCTTTTTTTCTCACAGTTAATCTTATGTTTTTATCCTGAAACTGAGAGAAAGTGTACTCTAAAATGATTGTAAAATCCATATTTAGGTGCCGGAAAACTATTAATTTACCGAAAAATTGTTATTGAGAGAAAACAACTTTGCAAAGAATGAGCTCACGCCATAGCCCGCACAGCTCGCGGAGATGACAACAACAACAACAACACTCACCTCTTTTCCTTACTATCGGTTAACAAATTCAAACGTTTCCTCTTAAATTTCTTTACAAAACACATGGTAAACGCTTCATTGTCTATTGCTGAGTTATGGATGCACTCAGGAGACTCAGGATTGCTAAGCTCACAACAACTCGAGGAATTACGAACAGTTTATTGACGTCATCAGCGTGCTCAATAGGAATATGAAGCACGCTCGCGCTATTGAATTTGATTAGGCGAATTTTCTAGCTATGTTATAATGCAATTTAATCGCTATGCCGATTGTTTTCAGTCGTTCAGTGAACATCGCTTGCAGGAGTTCTCAAAATGCCGCGCGTTAAACCATCAAATAAAAAATAAACATGATAAATTCTTTATTATCTTGGAGCGTAACTCTGTTAATGTTCATTCAAACACTCGCTACAGCTCGCACTACAAAAGTGAGAACCGGATGGCCGTATAGGTGATTTTGGAAAATTTTTTTAACAGTTTATGAATATTGAATGAGAGCAATTTGTATTGTGAAATACTGCTTTCTGTCCATGGTATAAAAGGTTGGTTTATACGCACCCAGATTTGTTGGCAAGATTTTGCAAAGTAAACTTGTCGAACGCCAAAACGTTGGCCTGGTTTTTTTTCTAAGCCTAATTGATCTACGGTGATCAATAGCCATTACGGCTCTTAAATGTGATGAAAGATGATTACCAGTTTTTGAGTGTACATATGAGGCTATCAACTCGATGTAAGATTTGGTTCACTCTTGGGCTGTTTGCAAATTATTTTTCTCTAAAATCAGGTAGCCTTTCCCTCAAAAGTCACATAAATGTGCTCTAAAGTTAACTGAATTGTGGAATTCGAATACAAGTTTATTGTTTAATTTAAATTATAAATTTACTAATGGGAGCCTCGCTTTTAGCCCTGGCTAAATCTATATATTATATTAGTTATTTTCACATCCATAAACATCACGAGAAAATAATCATGGCTATATATAAAAGGTCTGCTCTAGGAAATGAGCCTAGCCAGCTCTGAGGTTTGTAAGAGTAGCCAAGTTGCGATCAGGCTTTTTTTAAAGTAAAGCAATATGCGAGGATAGCATGATCACAAATTCAATCCAGACGTAGTTAATCGATGAAAATCCTTATCGGAAATCAATCGATATTAATCGATTTAATCTGCCGATTAATATCTATTGATATCGGAAATCGGTAGAAATGGAAGGCACAGAAAAAATAATTTATCGACTATTATCGATTAACAAAATCGATAGGAATGATAGTAGTCGATAACAAGCAATGCTCTTGAAGTGAATATTCTGAACATGACGATACAACCTCGTTCCCAGGGTTTTCTCCTACCAGAAGGATGGGCTCCTGCTTATACCCGTCCCTCCCTTTCCTACGGAGCGAGAGAGAAGGGCGGGAGAGAACCTGGGAACGAGGTTGCATGACGACGACGATGCTATTTGGCAAGCAACCCCCATGAGACCGCCCTTAGCTTTACACATTTTATTCTTGATGACTTCAGCAACTACTCCAGGCGCAGTCTTCACCAGATTCCATTTTTTGTTGTTGTTTCTTCCGTTTCCTGGTTTGTTTTAATAGATCTTTACATGTCCATTCAATGTAGACGTAGTTATTTCATTGAAATCATAAGAACACTGATTTTGTTCTTTATTATGCTTCATATTTATGGAGTTGCTACAGCAACAGAGAGCTATTTTCTGCCACTTTTGTAATAGCCTTTTTTTTCTTATTATGAACTGCGCTTAAGCTAAAACAAAGAGCAATTTGTTCCTGTTAGTGTTTTGTTCTTTTAGTATTTTATCAATAGAGCGGAGAAGTCGTTACGTCACGTTGCCATGGTAGCAAAATTTTTGGATGACAACAAACCGAAAAAGTTACTTAAAAGTCTATTCCCACTATTTCAACCTTCACCGATCTTATTCAGTTTCATTTAATTTGGCAAATCTTGGCAAAATTTTCTTTGGGACCATATCTATCGTTATCTAAGTTTAGAAAAGAAAGCGAGAATTTTGGTGTTTTGTTCACCTACTCCGTATAGTGGGCTCTTGAAATTAGGAAGTCCCATGTCGTGGTGGTGCAACAACGGCAAAGAAATGAACAAAATAGCGTGATGCATGTGCAAAGTTGTTGTTTGTTATTATAAACATATTATGTTTTGCCGTTCTCATTGCCGTCGCCATCGTCGTTGGTTTTGTTGTCATCCAGAAATAGTGCTACCATATGTAACGTGACGTCACACTTCTCTCTATTGAAACAACTGCATGATATCACGACTGAATGACTAAATAATACCTTACGGTCAACATCTGTTAATGTTGAACTTCTACCGAATAATGACTCAAGTGTTTGCCGATAATAAGCGATAGTAATCGATAACAATCGATAAAAAATCATTATCGATTTCTTTCGGAAATCGATATTAATGGGAGTCACAACATTTTTTCTTTATCGATTTCTATCGATTGATGTCAGAAATCTATCTTCACCGATGATCAATATCGATTACTATTGATTATTGTCGATTATCGGTTTATCGATTAACTACGTCTGGGTTCAATGAAAATGCCTAGAACGCATTTATGTTCACAGGAGGTTGTTTTCATTATTGGGCGATATCGGCATGCTGAATGGGATTGTAACTGCATTTTGTTTATTTTGAAAATGATTACTCACGGTACCATGTCAAAAAGGTTAACATTATTGAGGTCATCACGTACAAAAATGTCCTCAATATGCCGTATCCTGAGTCGCGTTATCATCCAAGGCAGGTCACAAAAACTAAAGGAAAACTTTGAAAAACTGCTCAGCTTAAAAGTTTTCAAAAATACTTAATTACTATCTATTTTCTGTTTTGTCCTGACAGAATTTTGCGCGTCTTCCTTTTAACTTGATGCGTCAATTTTTTCACTGTTTTAGTAGGCGACAGCGGATCACTCAATTTGGTAGTCAGTTTAACGGATGGGTGAATTTAGTAAAATAAAGCGCCTTTAAGTACTTTTATCAGCTTTTATCAGTGGAAAACTTTCAGTAATACCTACCCTTAGTATTTCCATCCTTACACAGATATTTATATTCGCTAGCTTCAGCTGATGGCACTGTAGTGTGCTTTATAAACGCTACGTCTCCCTTTCCGTCCTTCAAGCACTGGAAAGCGCCTTTGTAACCAGAATAGTTGCCACTTTTTTCGCATTCGTCTGGGCACAAAGCGCACAAGTTTGAAGGATTTGTGTTATTGACAGTTTTGACATCTGTGATGAAGATAAAATAAGTTAGAACGTTACAGATTGCATAATATGTGGGTTAGGCTGTCAAAGAATCCTTCCTCAAGAATGGAAGAGCAGCCGGGTAATTACTCATAGCCAAATCATAGCCAGATCCTTACAAAACATTTGAATTACTTAATTCTGATTGCCCAGAAAATATTACCTGGCCAATCGGAAGCAGAGAAATCAATTAATGCTTCTAGAACTAATTTAGTAATAGCTAGGGCTTTCTACAAGTTGCTCGAGATTTTCCAAAAAGTTGCTCAAAAAAACAATCAAATGTTGCTTTTTGCATCGAAAGTTGCTCAAAAGTTGCTCGAATAAACAAAATCTGTTTTTGGTCTGATGCTGAAATATGCAAATTGTACAACAAAAGTGAGATTCCTAAGCATTTTTTGTGCAATTATTCGGTGTAACCAGCGTCGCTAAATATGACTTTATTCTCAATAAAACCATAAAATGTAATGGTTGTTGAATGACCTTCTTCACCCGAGACACTCAAGTCAGTCGAGTGCGAATCTTCGTCCACCGTTTTGAATTTTCTCTAAAAATCGCTGACCTAGCAGCCCGGCTTCTTTTTTTACAGGAAATTCATAACTGAGGAATTGTCTACTAAAACATTGTGAAATATGGAAGAAAGGCCAATTTAAGCACTAAAAGCTGCTCCGATATCTCAGAATAAGAAGATAAGTAGAGAATGCTCAGAATGCACAAAGTTGCTCAAAACGAAAAAAGTTGCTCGAAATACGAGAAGTTGGCAAAAGGTAACCGAGCAACTTGTGGAAAGCCCTAGTAATAGCCCATTTTCGATAAATTAAAATTCTAGCATGACTCCGAGGCTTTGGGGACAAAATTGCACATTTTTCATGATTTTATTGTCTCGCAATTCCCAGAAGAGACTTGAGCACAAAGAAAACCAAACCAAATGTAGAAAAATGACCAGAAAGCCTCGGAGTCATGTTAGAATTTTAATATATCGAACGTGGGCTATCAAGTCGCTACAGGCTCCTACGTTCTTCTGGTGAACTTTGTTGCCTTCAATGATAACCGCCTTGCCGAGGATATATTCATCGCAATTTAACAGCTGCCTTTAGGTCGCTCTGAGGTTGCGGTAAGATCAAACTTAGAAAACAGTTTGATTGCCAAAGCAAATTAAACCAGGGTAGCCCCAGACTTCTTCCGTTACTTTACGCTTTAACCCTTGTCTTTTTATCGAGACGCTGGGATAATGGGGTGACACAACAGTTTAATGCACGCGGGAGAGGAGGAATATACTACATCTACTTGTTCCTCGTTATAAGCCCCTCTTCATGTTGTACGTGGCCTGCTTTTCGAGAAGCTGGGGCAGGAGACGGGAGAAAAGACCAGCATTACTTCACTAACTCAGTTCAAGGGAAGAGAGTCTCCTCTTAGTCTGCTAGCGGCACTAACCTCTCTTGCGTTGTAATACCCATTTAAAACTAAATTTTAGAGAGGATAGTAAGTGAAAATTTCTTACTTGGTACGCAGCTTTTATAGAAAAACTTCCCAGCTGCAATATAAGCATTGCAACTCTCGTCTGTCGGCATGATATTATCTGACAGAAGAGTACCGACCGGTACATTCCAGCCGGCTGTTTTTCCCGCTCCAGTGTGGCAAGACTTTTTTCCTTTAAGAGTCTTAAACGTAATGTCTGAGTTCTTCTTTGCAACCGCCACTGCAAAATAACTTGTGGTGGGGGCTCCACTCTCATAATCTTCACCAACAATGGGGACCATTTCATGCATCTTTCCTTAAAAGGCAAAGTCGCATAGCAACTGTTAAAAAATCCCAAGAAGCAAGCACTGGGGTAAGGAAGAGCAAACGTTTTCTTTTCTTTTGTCAAATGAAAACACAAAAGCTCGCAGAAAGTACTAAATGCGACTTCCAGTACTCATTGCCGCTCTGCCATTGGTCAGATTGGTTTTCAAATATGCCCGAGGTCATTGTTGTTACTGCTGTCGTCGCTAAATCTGCTAATCACGAACGCATACAAACCTACTCGGGCTAAAAGCAGCAGCAAAAAGAAGCAAGGCTAGTTTTACAGTTGGGAATATCATTTGTTGCTAATATTTCTAAGGGCACGGCGTTTTTTTTTTGGGGGGGGGCACGGCCTTTTTTTAAAAAAGGAAAAAGTGAACGTTGATAGTATATGAAAACTAAGAAACCAAAAAGTTACATAAAAAAGAAATCTGAAATGTAAAAATAGTACACATAACGAATGCACCTCGCAGGCTTAAAGCCACGCGAAGGTCTAACCGTTTGCAGGGCAAAGGCAGTACATTTCAATTCTAAGTTATTCTAAGACCCTCAGTATTGGTCTAGCCCTGGGAATCGAACCAAACCCAGTTTTGAAGATGTCCGCGCTGCTTTTACTGTCCTTATTACTGAGCTCTCTAATTTGGGGATACGTAATCCAAAAATGTCGGCTTACCTGCGGTATGGATTTCTCCGCCATCGAGAGTAATTATATCAGCTTCGTCACTCTGAATTTTTGCCATGCAGTCTGCAGCGTTACTCCCCTGAACACATGAAAAATTGACATTAAGCAAACTGGCCTGAGAAGCCAGTGTGGCTATGACGGTTTCAAAATCATTGCACTTTAATGTCTCCTTATCTGAAATTGTGCACCATCGCATTTGAAAACCTTCACCAAGGCCTGTAAACATTAAAAAAGAGGAATGGCAGATTACAAAACTGGCATACCATAAATCCTCCATTAAGCCCCGCCTCTCAAATAAGCCCCCCCCTTCTAATAAGCCCCCCCCCCCCTTTTCAGGGGAAGAAAGTTAACAAGCTCCTCTTCTTTATTGAGCCCAGCCGCCTCCCCACCCCTAATTATTCTTCACTGATAAATGATAGACTGTATTAATCACTCACGACCGTAAAACTTTGTGTGGACTGTTATGTAATGGTTTATTTACCAACTGGAAGTTCGGATTTGATTCTGATACTCGGTTGCATGGCCTAAAACTTCTTGTACTTGAGCTTTTACACCTTGTATTTTAGTTCTTTGTGGAGAACTGATACCATCATCGTTTCTAAATTAAATAAGGCCCCCGTCTCTATTAAGCCCCCCTTAAATGGATTTCAAATAAATAAGCCAGCCGAAGGGCTTAATAGAGGATTTACGATATCAACATTAATTAATCAACATCTCTCGAGTGAAGCTCATTAAACGGCGTCTTGAATGACATTGGCGTGCATCAAAACTTCTGACTGACAGACAATTATATGTAAATCAATGTTCACTGGTAAACAAGTTAATTTCGACTCTAAGATGCCCTATTTCTCTATAGGATTCAAAACTTGCAAGGTAATCAGAAGATTCTTTTCGCCGCTGTTGACAAACTGATCCAAAGGAAACCGACAAAACTTTTGCCATCTAGCGAGTCACACGAAAAACTTGCAAATAATGAGGGCCTGTCTGAACAAAGAAAATAGCACGCAGTCTTCCCATTCAATAGATGAACGACTAAGGGCTAATTCAATTTTTTCAGAGTTTAAAGCTGTTAATTACTGGTGATCAGCTGATGAAACTTATTGGCAAAATCTCTAAGAACTCATGTGATTTAGACCCTATCACAGTGCTACGCTACCCACAAGATGCCTTCAAAGATCTCTTCTACCACTGATTACCAGAACTCTTAATTCATCTTTGGATAGCGCTGTAATGCCAATTACTTTAAAAAACGCCCAGCTTCCACCTCTGCTAAAAAGGTCGGGTCATCCTAAGGAAACTCGATATTTTCGAAATTACAAGGGCTTGACTAGTATTTTTCCGAAAATGAGGTATTACGAAAAGTGAGACATTTTCTGATTCCTATCTCCATCAAATTTTTTAATCCGAAAATTTTAGGTTTCCTTTTATCTACGAAAAGAAGCCTAACTTGGGAAGTGAAATGTGAAAATTATCGAAGGGAATTTACCAGATAAGCTTCGAAAATTGTACATGAATGGAACGGGCATCCAGAAATTTTTAGTCGTCCTCAAGTGATAGAATATTGTCGGCAGTATTTGCTTCCGAAAAGATATTTTACAGAAAGCAATCGTTGGGTGCCCTTGTATGCAACTCTCCCTTAGCTGATATCATTCATAAACATAACGTTTTAATTTTTTTGGCGGCGATAGTCAGATTCAGACATGACTCGTGACAAAACGGAGTTATTAATTCTTAAAGCTAGCTCAAGACTAACTGACATCGTTGGTATCTTCAATAACTGTTTATGATGGAATCATCGAGCCTTCTTCTTCATCAAGGAATATTGGGGTTGAATTTGATTCGTTCATGTCTACGGAAAAGCATGTCACCTTAATGTGCAAGTCTGCTTTTTACCATCTTCGCAACTTGAGTAAAATAAGAAAATATCTTACGCGCGAATCTGTTGAAACTTTGGTGCATGCTTTTGTCGCCTCTCGTATTGACCACTGTAAAGCGTTATTTTCAGTTTGATTTGCGAAAACGTGTGCTTCAAAAGCTCCAGTTTGTACTGAATGCCGCGGCAAGACATGTTTGTATGTCCGGAAAATATGATCAAATTTCGCCGGTTTTTTTAAAATTGTATTTGTATTGTATTGGTCTTTAGTCTTTAAACTCAGAGATGGCCTATTGTTACCAAAGGAATTAGGAAATGTGTCGACTATATTAGTGATTCATCAGGTTCCAAGTCATCGCATTGTTGTTTATGCTCTCTTTACCATTATTATTTTGATTATTAATATGAATATCAGTCAGAAAAACATCACATCAGAACATACCCTCCTGAACAAAAGTTCTCTTAGATCCTAACTTTATATGCGTGTTGGGGACTGCAAGGTTCTCGCTTGGCTTGTTAACGAAGGAACCGACACTCTGTTCTTCTGCTTCTCTGACTTTATTCTTCTCGGCGTATTCTACACTGAGCTACAGTAACTCTTCTTCTACTATTGCAATGCTTCTTCTACTAGCAAGTCTATCACCAGCGAATTAAATATCCAAATTGTAGACGTGACTGGGTTAACTGACCGTGAGAACTTTTCATCACATATTCTGTCGAATAACTTACGGAGAATAGTATAGTCTACACTGTCGTAATTGACAAGTACCAAAGAACCAATTCAATGTTAGCGGTAAAACTGCTCGCTATGACCAAGCCTATAGTGTGTTCGCCATAATCCCCGAACATACACATCTGTTAAAAATTAAGCTACTCACTTTAAGGAATCCTTACAAAGAAGAAACAAATTCGTCATTATTGGGCTGCCTGTGACAAAGCTGCCCAATCAAGTTCTGAGCAGCATGTATTGTATGTGAAAAAAAAGAGACAAAATGGCGGGCACATCAACCAGAAGGCGTGTCTCTTCCAAGTTCAAGTTCAAGTTTATTAAAGACACTTTTGATACAAGCCATAATTAATACTTGCCCGCAACGTAGCCTATAGCTAGCTAATCGAGGCGGGAAGGAAAAGCAAAGAAAGCTACAATAATAGGGTTGAAACATAACAATAAAGTTACTGGTAAACCGATACACGAACTAACATCTACGCATTAAATCAGCAAGACAGAGAATACGTATATTTCAAAGTAGGTAAATGAAACAAGGTATGAATGAAATTAAACTGAAAATTTAATATTTACTTAATTATATGTCAATTAAAGTACGCACGCCAACATAAGTATCCTCCTGTACCTAAATATTCGCAAAGTTTGAAGTTCTTCTATCATTGAATCATTCCCTCCTGCGATAGGGACGATCATTTGACATTTGAGGGGAGAGGGCTGGTCATTTCAGATAAAATAAAAAGAAAAAAATGGCAAACAGACTTCGAATCAAATCAAATTTTTTGCGAGTGGTTTGTTGTCCTATGTTTAAGCCGAAAGATTTGGAAGATATTGATCACTTAGAAACCCTATAGCAATACCTTGCCTATTGGACCCCTCGGGACCGCGTTTGAAACAGGCAGCCCAATGAACCCCTATTGTGGGGGCCTTGTTTATTAGTCGAAAACGAATGAACTAAAAAATGTAACTTTGGCGGTTAATGGCTGGATTTGGTATTTTGGAAGCCAAATTACGTCTTTTTGAAGAAAAAGATTATCTACCATGTCGGGAAACTCAGATGAATTGAGCGATACTTTTGTGCTTCTAGGACATCTACGAGAGGTTATTTCCTTGTGCGCTTTGTTTTCCCAAGACGACAAACTGTTGATACCTTCCATATTTTTTAGTTTTTGTTCACTTTTCCTCAAAATATTTGTGAAAGTACATTTATTGGCTAACTTTGCGTGGGCATCACTTCTTTGATTCTTTACAAATTATGGGCGGCGGTGTCACCAGAGCAATCGAAGATACCGATTCTTTAGTTAAATCGATCCTCTGATTTTGGCCAGTTTTGCTGTCCATGGTTTTCAAATAATCTCTTGGTCTTTTGCTTTCAGATCGGCTTTACATGGCGTCACCCATGTAACTAATCTAGGTATTATAAACAAAATTATGCTCGGCTGGAGGTACTGTATTATGCTTCTTCTAATCGATATATCATAGGACGTAATTGCACTTCTTCTCTTCCCATATATAACTAGTAATAACATTCCTAAATAGCCTTTGATATTGCTTTTAGAAGAAAATCATGTGGGTGCTTGGGAAGCCTTGCATAACGAGGTAATCGGGCATTCGACTATGCCAAAATTTTCTTCGCTCGAGCCTTTGAGGGTAGTCAAGGTACTCAGTTTCTAAAATGTCCATGCTTTATGAACTTTGTAAAAAAGTCTAGCCAGTGTTGGACGGAAAAATAAGCATACAATTTTTAAAACTGCAATACAACATCTGATTATGTGGCTAAAGAAATTTCAGTATATTATGCCGATACTATGCCTGATGCTCCAGATGTGATATGGGTTATATTTAAAAGTATGCCGGCATACTCTTATTTTCACAAGATTTCAATTGCAAGGCCTTGAAAGCGTTGTTTTTATTTTCAAGACTGATTACATCACAGCTTTTGACGAATTTTATTTACCATGTACTCAGTCAACACGCGTAGATTTTGCCTTCAACCTACCCTCTTTTGAATAAACTCTTATACCGAAAGTAGTGAAGCTCTAAGCAAATGATATTTCCCCTTCGACAATTTTTCTTGGATTAGGCAGGGCAGTTGTATTCCATTTGCAGTGTGCGTGGTTAACAATTTTAGCTTGCACTAGCTCTTGCGAGCACACTCAGAAAATGGAAGCTCAATTTTTGATAGCCACAACAGTTTAAGTCAAGAAAAGGAACAAAAACAAAGCAAACACGCAAACGAAATAAACACGAGACCAGTCTGAGCCAGAATCTCTATTTGTATCCAGTCTCCAGAGGAGAGGAACAAGAGAGACCCTAAAAAGAGTCTCAGTACGTGAAATGCAGAGAAGCTGTTTTCTAATGAAATTAAGAAACATATTCTTTTGCTAAGTAAATCAAAATCTGTAAGCATGGTCAGTGGTTTCATTGGAATTAGCTGCTACAAACTCTGCTAGAATGTGTTTCCGCTTTCTAGAGGGGTATAACTCCTTACATAGAAATTTAGAACTACTGACCTAGCCCTGATGCGTAGGTCTTTCATTATGCCTTTAGATATTTGCTCAGAAAGGCCAATTCTTGCCACCACGCACTAAAGACATATAATTTATTTTCCTACTAACTTTTGAATATTGAGTAACAACTGCTTAATGAAATCAGAAACCACTCAATAAGGAATTTCAGCAATTTGGGATACTTAAAATGTCTAAAATTTTTGTGGAATTTTCTACTTTTGTAAGTATTTATGCCTTTTCGGGTGCATGGTAAAACTAGGAATGTTCGATTTTGGACATTGTTTTATCGTTATAAGCCGTGTTGGTCCTTAGCGCCTAAGAATAATATATATAAGTGCATATTTGTGTGGAGACAGCTATTGTCAGTCTATAATGGCGGTATACATCACAGACGTAAAGGTGGCCATGCTGGTGAGCAAGAACAAAAAAACTAAACTCCTTTTTCATGTAAATTCTGTGAAAAATTCTTTTATTGTTTTGTCCATCAGCATGGCCACCTTTGTCATGTGGTTAAAAAAAGAGCAATCAATACTTTGTGTACGTGTTCTCTCGTCTTCTGAGGCCTCTTTTAGGCTAAGCCAACAAAATACTGGATCGCTTATCATGTGCGCATAAAAAGCTTTTTGGAATCAGAGTATGGAGATCTGTTTATGCCGCGCCAGAGGCTGGCACAAAAACCTATCCGGAAATGTGACGATCCACTTTCAAGATCGGCGTGGCCAAGATTTTCTTTGTTACACAGAAATCTCGCCGAAATCGCCGTTTTCAAGTGTAAACAGAAGCCCAGCCGGCAAGAGCTATATCCGGTCGCATACAGGTGACAAGGATTGTCTGCGACGTAGGCTAAGAAGCTAAACTGTCTCGCGCGAAAATAATTCTTTGGAATACCCAGTCAGCCCAGTGGGATCCTCTGCGTAGCTGGCGGTATTGTGTGGGTGCGAGATTAAAGTCTCACTCGACTATATTACAACGGCTCCGCCGCCAAATCTCACTCGACTACTACACAATACCGCCAGCTACGCAGGCTATGGAGATTTGGGTGAATAAAATATAATCCCAGAAGTAAAATATTATATATAATATTAGTTACGTAAGTACCACATTTCATATGAGTGTCTCAAGTGTAAAAGAACCCCGAAAGAATAAAACCAAAAATGAAAGTAAAGTAAAAGGTGAAAGAAATTGCGCAATTTTCTCGGTTTCAGGCAAAATCATCGAAGATTTCAGTTCATTCGATTTTATGCCGCAGTGCTTTGACTTTAGTCTATCCAGGTCTATCACGATATCAGTGGATTAAAAATAGCATTCCCTCCGTTTTTGTTGTAATTTAGCAAGGTTATTTAATTATTCCGCTACATGAAGGCATGGTTATCAGAGTCGTGCCACTACCGACTATTCGGTGATCCGACTCCAAAGTATTCCTTTTTCAGTTAGTTTATGTTACCGTAACCAAAAGCCAACCAAGTGTCGAGGGTGACAGACTCAGCAGAAGTGGAAACTTTGAGTAATAAGAAAAAGTGAAATCGATACATTAAGCTGTGCAATGTCGAAATGGATAATGATCGATGAACTAAGACGGCAGTGTGTGAAGGAATTCAACACCATGTTCATGCCTACCAAACCAATATTTGCTGATAATCAGGAGCAGCTTCATAATGATTTCAAGTTCAACTTACCCATGGCCAGGAACAAGAAAACGCTCAGAAATGTAAGAGGTGAAGTAGACATGTTGCTCGCAGTTCAACAACGGATCAAGCAAAGGGTGTGTCAGCAGCTCGCCTAATATCAAACTTATTGTTTCAGCAACCTTTTTAAAGCTTCAAATTTGCATTTTTGACATTGCGTAGTGAATCTAATAAACCGTAGCCTACGTGGCGTGCAGACGTTTAACGGGAGGGTAATGGGGGGTACTCTCACGCCCAGAAGCATATAGTCCTTCTTTCACGCCTTTATAGGATCTTTTTCCGCCGCTCTCTTGGATCGGGTCTTGTTCTCTTGCACGGGCTTACTTCCGAGTAGTGGCTGGAAATCGAGCCATAAAGCCTGCATGCCCTCCCACACAGGTTAAACAAACCGGAACTTGGATTTGGGCATGTGAAATTGCAACGCATGCGACAGGCAGTCAATCCTTGCACCTTACAGGAACCCGCTTCTTGTAGTTATTATATAGATCTATATTTTTCTATAGTACACTTACACCGCTTTTTTGCCAATATAGTACCAATAAAATCACTTATTATCAAAGCTTTCATTTTACATGAGAATTTTTTTTCCTGTTGATTACATTGTTGATTACAGGACATTGTAATTATAGTATGCGACGTCAACCGCCACCAGGGGAGGTGGGAGGGGAGAGACTTCTAAGTGACTTCCACTGAACTTCGTTAAACTGGCCGAGAAGCGGGCAATTCTAAGCGAAGGCCGCAATGCATCATGCCATATGCACGCAGGCTCGATTAGATACTCACCAACTCCCCACTTAACGTTGAAACTGTTCTCGAGCTCCACATACTGATTTTTCAGTCGTTGAGAGTCGAATTGTAACAAGTTGTTTTCGGCTAATGTCTTGTTTCTCTTTCATTGAGGTAAATAAAACGGTTTTCTTGTTACCAGCGTAACTTTTACCAATATGCTATTTTTACAATTAGTCTTCTGCACATCATGCTCACCTTCAATGTCTTAATATCAAGTTCTAAAACCTTCATCTTATATTCTGAATCTTTCCAAGTGGGCTTTATTAAAAACGCGTATTAAAATCACAACAGCCTGAAAAATTGGTCATGGATTCGGCTATCTGTTTATGTTAATTTATTGACGTCATAATGAACTCCGATTTCTTTTGCCTCTCCCTAACATTCCATTCAGATTTGAAAGATTTCTTGGCAGAGGCCGGGCTTTAAGTTAAGTTTTATTTCTTGAGTAAATAATAAGATTATTAACGACAGCTTTACTTTTATACTTGGCTAGCTCTATGCCATAGTTTACTTATATTTAAGGTGGCGCATTTAGCTGTGACGAAGTTTTCGTCATAACTTTTTCGTTTTTTAACGCGATGGCTGCGAAACTTTGCAAAGAATTGAATTTACTTGTCCCGAAAATTCAAACTGGTGTCTCCTTTTACCTGATAGTAATTTATTTTTGAAATTCCAAAACAATTTCACAGCTGAATTTTGAGCGACTTTTAGTTACGGACTTCCGCTCCAACGATTTTTCTGAAATTTCTCTGGCTTATTTATTATATCAATAAAAGCCAATACCAGAAATTTCAATAAAAAATATCAGCAAATTTTTTTACTAGAAGCGATTTTCTTTGAACAGTAGGGTCCTTTTAAGCGCTAATTTCTCAAGAAATATTTACCATCAATGAAATCGGAATATTTCGTTCTATCGCCGAATGATATATGTTGTTCTTTGCAAAGTTTCGCAGCCATCGTGTCATAAACGAAAAAGTTATGACGGATTTTTGTCACAGCTAAATGCTCCAGTATTAATGACGGAGCCACCTTGCCCTTTGAAGTACTGCCAGCGTTGAACTCAGTTTTGTTCTACTAAACACGACGGCATGCATGTTTGTTCGAAAGCTAGAAAAAAAATACATTTTCAAGCCTTAATTGAGTGTTAATTGAACAATGAATTGAAGCAAACTAAAGACCGTAATCTCTATTAAATACTGAAGGGAGTTAGGCTTAATAGCAGCGGCCTGAAAGTAAGCTCAAGGCTGTGACTCGGAGAATAAGACAAGAGTTGGGAGAGGAAGAGAAAAACTGACGTCATAGGGTTACACAATTGGTAAACCAGTAGTTTTCATTGTGGCCCACATGGTTAAGAATCCGAACTGTTCGGAGGCAAACAGGTTGGTTATTTACAAGTGTGACTCGGGATCGATGAGAACAAATCCAGCTGGCGGTCAGGGTGGGACTTAAACTCAGGGCCTCTGGATTATAATTCCCAGTAGTAGTGGTAGTGGCAGTGGCACTGCCATATATTGGCTATATAGGTATGTGCCACTGTGAAGGGTATGGTTTTCAAGCAGTTTACTCTAGGATAGGGTATATAAATCAGAGCGTTTGGGTCTAGAATAGGGTATCATTTTTCGGGAAACTGATCAGTTGGTTGAATATTTCATCTAGACTAGGGAAACAGCTACTCTAGGATAGGGGGGATTTGGGGAGTTTAGTAGTTTCTAGTATAGGGTAGCAAAATCTAGCTGAACTAGCTCTGGTATAGGTTAAGGGTTCCAGGGTCCCAGCGGCACATCCCCCCCCAGAAATTCCTAAAGTACCCCCCCGGACAGTGGCAGTGGCAGTGGCAGTGGCAGTGGCAGTGGCAGTCATAGTGTTAGAGGTAGTGTCATAGTGTTAGAGGTAGTAGTAGTAGTAGTAGTAGAAGTAGTAGTAGTAGTAGTACATTTCATACCAAAACACATTTCGTATTAATTATTACTATTTTTAATTTCAAAAGTAAGAAAGGGCTACAGCTGGGCTCTATTTTCAGATGTGACACAATATACATAAGTTAAAACTACAGACATCATAGAGGACAGTTATAAACTATAACTGACTTGTCGTCAGACACTGAAACGATCTTAGATCCAGTTGCATTGTACTTCACTCCCCAAACCTGTAGTCGAGAATTAAAGGAAATGGTCAATGATTTGAAAGCCCTCTAAAAATCCAAGTTACCGTATTTATTCGATTAACCGCCCTGGGCACTTATTAAATTTTTGGACCTTGAGAATGGCACTTATTCGAGGCTGGGCGCTTATTAAATTTTCACCATCCTCAGCAAGTGTAGTATGTTTATTTTGCAACAAAACAATAAATAGTAATAACAAAAAGCGAAGATGTAACAAAGCAAAGTTTCTGTAAAATACTCGGAAGAAAACTCTGTCTTCGGGAGGGTCTCTTATTATCTCTTATTTGAGTTTGTGTGGGAGGGAGTGGGGTGGGGGTGGGCACTTATTAACTTTTTCTGCCTTTAGGATGGGCGCTTATTCGAAGTGGGCGCTAATTCGAGGTTGGGCGCTTATTCGAATAAATACGGTATCCTTGTAACAACTTGATAATTATACCTGATCACTGTGTTGGTAAAACGTCTGTACGCACTGTCTTGACCCTGCATCCCACACTTTTACAGTCTTGTCACTGGAACTTAAAAGAAAACGGAGAAAACAGATCCAAAATATTGAAAAAACGATATTTACGTTCATTTAACGCTCACACAAACCTGACGTCTCGCACTACAATCAAACCCTGACGGACACTAGGGTTCGACTGTAATAGTATTCTGTTTCTTGGGCGATGGCCCTTCAATTACTTTACTTTATCAAATAATTTATATCAACCTGTTTTTAGTTGTATGTCGTAAATCCGTAACAAAAAGTCATTGCTTTGCCTGATCCAAAATAACACACACTGTTTACAAAGTACATCATCGCTACTGCGCATTTCAGTTGGAGACACGGAAGTTTATGACATGACGATGTAGCGGTCCAATTTCCTTGTGTTGCAAAATCGGACAATTTGAAATCACTCAACCCAAAGATTATTGCCAGGAAAACAAACGCTCCTGTTTTCGGTTATATCCATGCTGCATACTAAGCAGTTTTCTTGACATTCGTTCAAGTTTCGCAGATTTTGTGCGAAACTGAGTAAAACCAATTAGAATTCTTAGAATAACGAGTATGTAGCCTGCATAGAAGGCACCGGTTTCCATTTTTTAGGGGTTAGGGGGTAGGGAGAAATTTCGAGGACGCGTGCAAACTAACCATAAAAGTAACCGACGCCTACCACGCAGGCTAAAGAACATGCCAGTTTGAAACCAAGCACAGTGACCTCATCTTTTTATTGCATTCTTTGTAATAGTTTATGCATGGCTACTCACTGTGCCAAGTATCAGTGAAAAATAGGGAGGAAGGGGAGGGGAGGGAGCTTACAAGAGAGGGTGGATCAATAACTTTCTTCCCCTGTGAAGGGGGGGCTTAATGGGGGATAATTTACAGTAGCTAGTGACGGGCGAAGCAATACGCGTGCATGCAGATCACGAGAAAAAAGCGCGAAAACGAAGAAATGGAAAACAAAGCATACCTTGAAACGAAGTGCGTGTTGTCTGGACAAAAGGAAACCCCCAGAACCCAGGAGCCATGGCCAGAGAGAGTTCCAGCCAAGTTAGCATGTTGTCTGTATAAAAAGGAAGGAAAGAGCAAGCACACAACAGCCAGGACAAATAAAAGAGCAAGTCATTCAAATCTAGATATGGCGGTCAACTATAATAGAAATTCAACCATCCGGGATTTTAGGAAGTAGAGACCTTTAGATTTGAGGACCACGATGACTAAGAAAACGAGATTTGACATAAAGTTTTTTTCCAGAATCCTCAAAAAATAGGCACCCCGAAAAGCTTCAGTATACCTAATTACACCAGAAAAGTCAACATAGTTACCGTATATTTTTTATCGAAGGAGGTTAAGCCATCTCCCGATCGCAAAATGATAAAACTTCGAACTTTTGATAACTTGTTTCCGCCACTACGACATTAGGGAACTTAAGATAGAGACGTTTTCGGGGCGACGGCAACTTCAACCGGACGTGACATCATCATTTGTTGGATATTGCGCATGCTCGTGCTCACCACCTTGCCGTCGTGGTCCCGTCGGCGACGTGAAACTGGTCTGTTTGGCGTTGTGGCGAAAACGTGAGTATTTAACTGTCATTTCAATCAGGTTTGTTGCGTTTAGCAACCAACATTTTGCAGATTATCGTTCTTAAATTGTCCTTGTTTTCTTTGAGGCACATTTCAAGCTCGATTTCCAAGCTATGTTCTCCAAACTTACATCTGTGAATGTTTCTATGTTTTCATGTCATAGGGTCAATATCCAACTTGGCAAACAGCCAACCGTAAGTGAGCTTGACATGGGACAAAATTTTCCCACGAGCCAAATAAAAGTATCCAGACGAAAAATATGAACTCCGATATTTCAATTGTGAATACGGTTCCTTGGTAGCATTTTAATGTTCCTGTAATTTGCAGGGCTTCGGCAAGCCTGTGGAGATCATTTTTTTTCAACACGAAATTCTGCCTTGACCTCAGCTGCATCCCGCATGTTTTTTAGCGTGAATGGATCGTAACTGTCCCGAGGAAAATCGGGATTTTTGGACTCATAATTTTCCCAAAAAACGAGAAACTCTTCATCCGATACATGTTGTCTGCATAGCAAATATTTATTATCTTAATTCTTTATGTGAAGCCATATTTTCCTCTTCGGTATTCTTCTAATTAAAGGCGCCGTCCTTTTGAGTTCACTGCGATCTTAATGTTCTATTTTTGACGGGGAGCGACGGCTGCCTTAGTTCCAGGCTTTCTCTGCCAGTCCGGTCGCCGTCGCCTCGAAAAGGTCTTCATCTTAAGTTCCCTATTACAATGAAGACGGCTATTACGTTTTCCCGCCAAAAATGACAGCTGGCATATATAGTATTGAGAAAATCTTGTTCTCGTAGTCGTCCCCGTCTTAGAATCTAAAGCTTTCTAATATATGAAAACTGTGATGTAACCAGCCCAGTCAGGTCACAAACTGGCGTTCAGTGCAAAGTTACCTAAGTAAAACAAAAGTTACTTTTCATGACCGTAGTTTTATAAACGGAGGAAGAGTTGAATGGTACACATCATACATCTTGATATGGTTATCATCAGAAGCAGTAATCAACAGCTGGGAGTCAGGCGAGAATGTTAAAGATCTGATGGGCATGGCATGACCTACGGATACAAAACATAAACTTTGCTTTGACCTAAAGTAGCTGGTGCATCCCTGAATGAATCTCCTAGCCCGAGTGGCAAGTATTCCTGTGTGAGTAGAGCACAAGGGTTAAAGCAAAATACTTCTGTAGAGTAATGAAGAAGACATCAAACAAATTCCATCAGTGAGCAGTAACCAAATTATTTTTAGGATGATTTTTGCCGGTATAGCGTTAAACTTGAAAAGGTTGGCCCAACTTTTTCAAGTTTCAATCCATGTCCATCCATGCCATCCGTTGCAATAAGCGATAGGAAACAGTTTCAATGCCTAAATATAGTCTTCAATAGAAAAGCTAGACTTAGCCTCCCCGCAGACGTCCTTTGGGGTTCGTTTGTCACGCATTCATTTCTCCCCCAATGAATGCGTGACAAACGAACCCCAAAGGACGTCTGCGGGGAGGCTAAGCTAGACTATCATTTTTGGAATTCAATTGATGCGAGAAACGTTTTAGCCTTTTAAAAACATAGCAAAAAGCGTGGCCTAGCCCCTTTAAGGCCAGAGCTACACAGAATTGATAAACTCTTCTATCGAACGTAGATATCGCTCCACAAGGTCAGGAAATTTTACAGAGGTTTGTATCAGGGTGGGGAGCACGGACTTGTCCCTCATCATACGGCAAAGTCTTTAAAATTCCACGACTTTGCGGAGCTATATCCTCGTTAGTTTTCAACAATTGACTTTCAAACTTGGCAACTTAACTGATTTTAAGGCGTTCTTTCCAGTCGTGTTGACGGATTTTCGTTAACTGTTTGCAGTCAAAAGTTGAAAAAACCGTGGAAGGATCTAGGCAAACATCTAACAAGTTCCCGAAAACCGTCAGGGATAGTAAGCTCTACTGCGTGAATTAAGATAGCAGAGAGAGAGGGGGGAGGGTGGAGGCTGGGGGAATCATTCCTTCCCCTTACTCTACCCCTCTTAGGTGAAATATTCTTTAGTGCGGTACTGCTTGTTACGTATGTTAGTCAAGGATATAAACACAAAAAACCTCTTTTTCCTCATTATTACACAAAACACTTTCAGCATTGTTAAAAGTATACAAGATGCAAGTATAGCCTTGTCAAAGAATGCCGTCAAGTTCCATTAGTTTTCCTATAGCTGAGCTAGCTACGGCCCCGATCAGGTCATTACAGGTCTGCATTGATTCTTGCATGTAAAGCAGGAAGCTCTTCTTTTTTCCCCAAACTTACAACATGTTTAACTACATTATATTTTATATGACATGACAAAGCTACAATTACTACAACAGGTGAAAATTATCAAGTTCTTTATCAGCAATCTAGCGTAACGGATGTAACTCACCTTCTAAAGTGTGCAGTAATTTTCCTGTTGTCAAATCAAAAATATTTATTATTCCATCAATGGCTCCACATGCAATGTAATGACCATCAGGGCTCTTAAATTACAACGTAGATTTGTTTCAGTTGGTGAGAAACAAATGACAGTTGTACCACTACACGTTCCACTACTACAGACCTGTGGAATAATTATTGTCCTTTCTTGAAAGGACATAATGTGTGCCTTTTTTTGGGTTGCACAAAGCATGAGGTTGGACTCAATCAAGGACAAATTTTGTGTGGACATCATTTCCGAACACAGTTAAGATGGGCATGGGCCATTTTTTGTCAGGTATTGTCTGATGACCAACTGCTATTTGCATCTTTGCTTCTTCATCAACTTCAGTAAAATTTCCAGTGAAACGTTATCAGGCTAATATAATTCATTCTGTGAGGACTAATTCAGAAAAACTACCACCCAAAGCACAAGTTTTGGTCATTCACAAACAACAAACAAACTTGTGACTGAAGCCAGTAAACCAATTCTGCCTGCATTGCCAGGAAAGATCGTGAAAGAACCGTCTACTTTCAGAACCAATCATATTACTGGATTTGCAGACTTGCATACTGAGTAAAACTAACTACTTTATTTAATTTTTTACCAATTGAAAGGCTTCTATTTAATTACACTTTGAATATGGTTTACGGTCATCTTGCCACAAAGAAGTCAACCCGCCGCCAGCCAACTCAAAAAGACATTGTGGCGTAAGCCTGCGTAGCTGGCGGGATTAGCAGGCAAGTGCCGTAGTTTTCTTGGTGGCACAGCTGCGTGAAGATTGGGAGCATGTTAAGAATGCCAGGCCAGAGAAGCTCCTCTGACGCCAGGCATAACAATCCACTGGTTTTAAGATAGATGGACAGAGGTTATTGCCTGAGTTCTTGACTCAGTAATCCTAAGTGAGTAGACTGTGTCTTGGTGGCAAGTCTAATTTTATTCTTAGTGACGATTTCGTTGGTGGTGAGATGGTTTAGTGGTGAGGTGACCGGATACCTTGGAACAGAATACAGGTGTATATGTTGTGGTTCAATGTAGGTTAAACAAGAATTTCCTTTGTCTCCTATCAATATTTGGAGCTAAGAACCTTTTTTTGAAAGAAACTGGGTTGCATACAGGTTTGACATGAGAAAGGATATTATCTAGAACAATTATTCATGCTTGACTTGAGACTATCACATCAAGTCACAATTTCTGGATACTGTGTTGATACTCAAGTCTTGTCCTTCATGCATCTCATATTTTATTCATATGAAAATAAGTTAAGCAAAGCAAGGAAGGAAGGTATGGCTTTTATTCAGTAACATGTAAGGCTGTCATTAACAGCTAGGGGCCGGGATTGAACATGGCCCCTGACTTCTTTCAGAGTGTAGCTAAATGTCGTGGGTCGTGGGTCGTGGGTAGAGGTCGTGGGTCGTGGGTGTGGGTGTGGGTAATTGTCGTGGGTAAAAAAAAAATATTCCAAAAAGAAATAAAAATCAAAAAAATTAAATAGCAAAAAGTTGTAAAATTCATGAAACGAAAATCTCCGCGTACATACCAGTCCTATTCCCCTTCCCGGCGGTCAGCAAATCGAGCAAATAACCGAATCCTCTAGTAAAAACGGACACTAAAAAGACATTTAGGTGAAAAATAAAAGAAACTCTGTCCACTATGTAAACCTGAAGCAGGCTATACAAAAACTGGAGACTGAACTGCTTTTTCTCAAAGATGGCAACATTCGTGACTGAAACGTCCTTTCAGTTTAAGGAATGATATTTCGAATCGTTACAGCAAAGAGTTTGTACACAAAACAAAACAAAAAGTAATCGAGAAAATTGTATTTCCGTATGGCAAAAAAATTTACATACAGTCTCCCCTTAATTTGAAAGGTTGGGAATGAAGACAATGAAGGTGGTTCTTTGTAAGGTAAGAGACCTAAAACTTCTAACCAAAAATGTGAAATACCTAAAATTTGTCCTTTTCCCTTCCCTTTCTCACGGTGATCGCATTCCGTCGTGTTAAAAAATCTCCACTGATTATTGGAATTGTAGATCGAATAAAGATAAATAGTGAGCAGCTATTTCCATTCAGCGAGTCAGAGCTGTCCCATACTTCCTGCAAACTGCAGGTATAATTTACGTCTGTTTCGTTTATTTCGCGGCGATAGCTCAGGTATGGATAAATCTTCATCGGCAAAATGAATTTTATACAGTGATGTTGTGAAAGGGGAGCCAAGTCCCACAGGAAGAGGACGAAGAAGCCGTGACGAAAAAGGCAATCAAGAAGTTGGAGACATTCGTTTCACAAATATTTTAAAAACTTTTTTCTATTTATTTCTTTTTTTCAATTACTTTACTTTATCACTTTTTTTCTATACTTTTTTTACCCACGACATTTACCCACACCCACACCCACGACCCTCACCCACGACCCACGACCTCTACCCACGACCCACGACCCACGACATTTAGCTACACTCCTTCTTTCATAGCAAAATAGAAGAAAAATAGAACCAAATGAAACTCCCAGCTGTTTGATTCCCCGCCTACTTGTTGTATTTACCCGGCACCTTGAAATCTTAGTGACAGCTCTGAATGACATCATTTAATAGCACAATGGAACCAACTCAATACGGAAGCCAAGGGGAAATGTTATAATGTCCATATAAAGCTGGTGTCTGAAGAGTGGGGTTCCAGTGCAGTGTCATTTTGAGCAACCAATGAAGTACTGACTGCACCCTGTGAGAGAATCAGCCACATTCTGAGCCACATAGTGGTGTAGGCAAATCTTTCAGCTGTCATTTTTTGCCTCATTCACATATGCTGATAATTTACTAATCAAGCTATTATTGGCAAACACAAAATTAATCCTGAATTTTGTAAGAACATAATTATTAGTAACCTCTGAAAATTTGAACTGCATATACCGAATAGTCATATTTATAAAACTGACTAACTTACATAAGCTATACTCATGGTAAATTTTCCTCTTGTATCTAGAGCACTCTCTTTCTTTCCACTCTCTACTCCTATTAAGCTTATTTTCCCTGCGTGGCTTCCAGTAGCAATCAATCTTGAATCTGGTGAGAATGCAACTGTCCATGTGTCCACTAAAAGGAATTTGACATCGACAATAAAATGCAATTACACATCATTTCAATTCAATTTTACTTTTTATAGTGTTAATTTTAGGTGTGCTTTAGATCTTGGGGTAATAACCGAAATAAATACTAAAAAAATTAATTCATTAATAACAAGAAAATGATTTAGAGGTAACATATACATTGTACTTTATAGTGGTTTTTTGCCCACAATCCATGATTTAATGTCACTTTGAAACTCAGAAAACAGAAATAATTATGATGATCATTATTAAATTGGGCTTTTTTGGCTACCTTGTATGTCCTGGTCTTTACTATGATTGGTTATAAGACAAAAAATAATATTCCAACCTGAATTTATTTAAGTGTTTTCTTAGCTTGTCAGTAAAACTTTGTTTTGGCTCAAATGTTCAACTAATGTTAACAGAGAGAATCATCAGAGCTCTTGTTCAAAAGGAGAATGATAAACTTTTAAAGAGACTTGAATAAATTATATATTGACATGTTTGTGAAACTTTCCCTAAAGCCATTCTAATAAAGAGTACATTTAAGCAGTCAAGTGTATTGGGTGAGGTTGTTCAAAGGATTAGTGCAAAATTTGCATTCACATACGAAAAGTGTAAAAACCCATTATTAGCTCTTTATTCTTTTTGTATTCACTTTGATGATTCAGTGCTCTAAAAAGAACACTAAAGATAATTATCAGAAAAAAATGCTTTTGAAAAACAAAGGAAAAGGAACTGGGATTAAAATTTAACCTTGGGTTAGTGGCAATTGACCTTCAAAGAACTGGGCCCTGGTAATTACATGTAAGATCCAATTAGATCAAAGAACAGGAAAAAAGAGATCAAAGATTGATGAGGATTACATTTACAAATTTATTCTGTAACTGTAAGATCTATAAGTGGGATTAAAGATTCATTTGTGTACATGCACCACGAGAAATTAGAAAGACAACGTCCAATATATTTTTTTATCATTGTATGTAATGTTCTTTTTGTTCTTACAGAAATTTTTTGATGAACCTTTGAATTGCATTCAACTACTTACCATTTACATGGAAAATCTGAAAATTCTGGTTTGAAAATCAAATGGTTCTCCTCATTCCGTTTGGTGAGCTTTAGAAAACATGGGCTGTGATTTGAGGGGATGAAATTTTTCTACTCTTTTGTCTTTTCAGCTAATTTCATGTTACAGGTCAAGTTAAATTTGTTTAATCAAAGTTGACTCTCTATTTACCTTGTCACCTAGCCTTGATTATTCATGAATTGGGACAAAGGAAATTGAGAATCAACCTAGGTTAAAAAATTTTAACCTGAATATAATTTTGACCTGTAACATATACTTTGTAGGGGATCATTCTCCTTCAAATTTTAATAGTTTTATGTTTGTGCACACAACCTGGGTGGTTTGTGTAATTGTTAAGCATCCTTGGTTAAGGTTTCTATCTGTAAGCCCCACCTGGTCCACAGTCAATTGCCTTCAGTTGTTTTCCTGATTCTAAATCCCATACTCTGATATAACTGTCAAGAGAGCTTGATGCAGCAACTGTTATACATGCTTAGTCAAGGATTTTCTTCACAGTGAGTAAGATGTCAAAGGATTATTGTATTAAATTTTAATTGCTGAGTTTAAATTGATAATCTAAAATCAAGGCTGTGCACTAGCAGTCCCCTGGTGGTCCCTGAAGCCTATTTTTGCTCCTTGGTGACAAGAGAATCTTTGTTTTTTCATAGAAATCATAATGCAGGGCACCTTGGGTTTCACAGGTTCAGAACACTGGGCTCCTTGCCTTAGAGCACAGATTTGAAAATCCATCTTATTACAATCAGAGTTTATACATTTAAAACTTAGGTATAAAAAGTTCAAAAGTCCAGGTCCTGATAAGTGTACAAGTAATAATAAATTAAAATCCACTAAGGTTTTGTGAGCAAGTAGGATACGTGTCCCTGTTAAATTGATATCCACAGACACTACTCCAAGTTGATGTCCTTCAAAGTTAAATCTAGGCTCCAATTTGTCTTCACTCCTGCAGGATAAACAAAGTGCCAACTTCAATCCATAGTTTTCATTACAGTCAGGTGTTAACATTATTAAGGCTTAGGGAATAATTATGCCAGGTCTTAATTGTAATTGAAAATAGATGTTTTCTGCAACATGTGAGACAGTCTTAGAAAATAGATGATCACCTATGTTTTAACATAATGGAACTTCCTTTAGCAGTATGTACATTTATAAAATAACTAAGATAGTACGCGCGCTCTGATTGGCCGAGAGGAGTGTTTGCATGAGAGTATGTAAACATGGTTGTGACATCAAGATGTTTTGCTTTTCACGTGCTAATCCAGGGCTTGAAATTAACTTTTTCGTTTGGGAGCAAGCTGGGGACTAACGGAAAAATTTTGGTCGCCAACTTATTTTATATATAACTTACACAAGAACATGATTTTATACGTTACTTTACATGCAAGAAAAGTCACAACTGAAGAGCAAAAACAATTAGAAACAAAATGAGTAACACCTAGTTATAAAGCTACCGTTGTTCTCAGGTGATATGTCTTTGGTCCGAAGGTGATGGTTGTCTCCGTAGTCATTTTAAATGAAGCGAAGCATAAAACATTTTAAGTCCGTGGTTTTCATTCTGAGACAAAAACGGGTCCTTGCGTATTTGCTCTTTGCTACTTCTATGAAATGCCGTTGTTTATTTTCGACTTGCTTTCCTCGACACCTTTCACTGCCGACAAACAACACCATGCTTGGCCCAGGCCTCTACACAACCACATTGCTCATACCAGTCTCCGACCGGGAGGAAATGGGCTTAGTGCAGTTTTTAGGGCCTTGGTTTCATTTTAGACAGAACGTTTTAGAAAAATAAAACCTAAAATATTGCGGGAGTTACGGTGAGTTGTATACTAGCTACCATATCCAATTGATTTCCTTATATAAAGATTTAAAAACAAAAGTTGTGTCGTGGTTTTCTTTAGTCATTGGACAAAACGAGAGTCGCGAGCTGGCGACTAGTTCTGAAAATTTAGTCCCCAGTGCCCTTATGCCCCCCTCTACATTGTATAACAGCTGAGGCCCTCTTAGGCTGGGGGTGCATACTGTATGTCCCTAGTCTGAATTTCAAATAAAGTCATTTCGCATTTTGAAGAGTTGGCCATGCCCCTGTCAGTATTTAACCCATCTTTATCTCGTTTGTCGCCATTTGATCTAGTTTTATGTCGCTGTTTCAAGCCCATGTTGCTTAATGTCAGAATTTTACCCTAACATGGCCTCATAACAACCATTAATTTTTTAAATCAGAGCCGTTTCATTAATGCTGAAAAAAGGTTAAGTAAAGAATGGAAATGGGAGCCCTGTGGGATAAGTTTTCCTTCTAACACTAACCATCTCCAGCACTTGACCATGTCATCAACTGCACCAGTTACAATATTTTCTGTCCCGTCCTTGTCACTTGTTCCCCAAGAAACTGTCCAAATACTATCTTCATGAGCTACAGGAAAATTTATTAGGAAGAAAAATTAAATTAAGATAGATATACATCCTTGATAATAATACATGCTGTCTTAGATAAACACGGGCAGGGAGGAGGTTAGGGGAGATTAAGACAGAATCCATTAGGAAATTGAGTAATTTTCATTTTCAGAGGACAAAACCTTGCACCACAATAATTTCAAGCATATTGCATTCTTTCTTACACTTTTCTAGGGCTATAAAATTAATGTAATAAGTTGCAAGAAAATTTCATGGAGTTATTGAAAAGCTTGATATGGGAGCCCAAGAAAACAAAACTTTAAAAGCTTCAAATTTCACACAATGAAGTCTTGCGCATGATGATTTTACCTGCATTTTCTCAATTCCTATGAAATTTGTCATTTTTTTCCTTGGGCTCCCATAAGAAATTTATATTGTCTTCAGTGTTACTAGAGGTAACTAATAAAGCCCTTGAAAAGTGTAAAATAGAATGCAATAATGCTTAAAATATTCTGGTAAAAGATTTTTGTCCACTGAAAATTCCTGATGGATTCGATCTTAACTCTTGGCTGGGGGCGCCGGGACTGCCCCTATGTACAGTGAATGGCAAAGACATGGATGCTTTTGTATTACCATTTTCTTGCTTGAAACATACATTGTACTGCGACTGCAAAAAGAACAAAAACCACAACATAATTAAACGTCACACTGCCAGATTATTTCTTGGCCTATTAACTCTTGGCCATCATGACAATGATTAGATTTTGCTTCTCTCTTTACTTAGATTTTTTCCTTAATGCAAGGATCCTTTTTTGCTGGAAAGTACATGAACGGTGATTTTCTACGAGGATACAGAAATTTGTTACTTCTATTTAACCCATTAATTAGGCACGCATCAAAGGGACTGGCACTTTGATACAACTCAAAAGTTTTGAGTTGTAAGTGCCAGTCCCTTTGATGCGTGCCATGCACTTACATGAAAATCATTCATTATACATGCTAAACTGATATAAGAATCTAAGAAGAAACAAAAATTAAAAGAGAAGATGTAAAAATGGTTATTATAACTTCCTACCATGGCTTTAAATCAGACGAGGCAAATCATAAGAAGAGATTGTGGAGGAGAGTCACGTAGCATGCAGCTCAAACAGCCGCCATGTTTAATTATGGGCTCAAGTGAGTGAGTCAGCGTTCATCTTCGAAGCGCACACTCAGAAAGCTCTACGCTCCGCTCAGAAGATTCAAGATGTCGTTTGCCGGTAGGACACTCAACATTTTTGGCCGATCTGCCACTCGTGTACGTTCTAATGCTGTACAACGTTTACGTGCAGAGTTTGCAGAAGGACCAGGGAACGTAAGTAGTTCATTCCCTCTCTTGCTTTTATTTCAAAGGGAGCTAAAATGTTATCATCATAAAGGTGAAGGTGACATGTAATGGCCACGATCCTTAGACTGCTGATATTGTAAACGACGTTACAGATTACTCAGGCAGAACAAAGGTAGATAGAATATAGCTAGTGTATTTTTCATATAGTATTGCTGAATTCCCTCGATTCGTAAACGCTGTGGTGGTATTTTTGCACTTGTACTCCGCTAGAAACACACCGTTGCATCATGGTTTGGAAAAAGTTTTGATGGTGTCTGAAAAAAAAATTAACTATTGCTGTACGCTTGAAAAGAATTCATAAAGTAAGAAAACACTTGGCTGGGCTCGAAAATTTAAATGAGATAAGTCACCTTTTGGTGAAGTTAATTTTTTATCTCAGGTAGTTTTTATTTTTCCTTTGGTTCAACTTCATTAGCATACATTACCCAGGGGTATCAATAAAAATAACTGAAGTATCCAGCAGGTTTGAATAGAGTAATGGACTGTATCAAAAGAGGGCCATTAGTCGTTGGGGGGACTAAATTGAAGACAAAAGAGCAGGTTTTTCATTCAAGAAAATGTAACTTTCATCTAATTTTTGATTTATCAGTCACAATCAATCCCTACAAGCAATGAACAAGAGTGATGAAAAGTAAATTACGTACTTTTGCACGTTAACAAATTCTGCGTAAACCTACATGTACAAAGAAACTTGTGAAAATTGACTGAAATTTAGCGTTTACATGACTAAAGCATAACGTAAAACCAGTGCGCCTTTATGTAAACACATCATACATGTAATTCAACCTCATTCCCAGGGTTCTCTCCTACCCGCCCTATGGAGCGAGAGAGAGAGAGACCCTGGAAAACGCTGGTCACGTGTCTCCAGAACAAAATTAATTCTGAGGGAGGAGTCCTTGGTCTCACATTTTTTGTCTGGTTTATTCGCAATGTTCACGCAGTAATCGCAACAGGTAAATAGATTTGCTAACCCTTCTACAACTATAACTGAAACTAAGGGAAATTTCTGCCTAAACAAAACTATCAGATAAACAAGTGAAATACGGGAGAAGGAATCAAAAACTAGCGTTGTCGCTTGTTTAACCGATGACACCAATCGCTAAAAATCTACGATCTTGGGTTATACACAAGCAAATTAATTTTTTCAAGGTATAATCCCTGTATGTTGAACTGTTATATTCAAAGTTTCAATGTTTGTCTGACAGCGGCTAGTAATCGGGCCAAATAAACCTACACCATTTGCGGTCTTAGCGGTTCAGCGTGACAAAAGCCCGGGACAAAACATGGCAGTTACATTGAGAGCAAGGATTCAGTTGATACATTTACGATCAAAGTAATATTTTAGATCAAGTGACTTCATGGAAAGCTATAGCCTAAAATGTCAGCATTATCCACCCCCTAACCTTTGTTATGATGCGGCAATAGAAAAGTGGTAAATAGATCAAAGATAAAAATAATTATATACCAACACAACATGGAAGACAACAGGAAATAGTATAAACAGAGACAAAACAGACAACATTACCTTCCAAGCGAAAAGCTGTCTTGTGTATAGTCCATATGAAAACTTTATTTTTAAAGGCACATGTGGCTCAGTGATTTCTAAAAATCCTATAAAGCATACCTAAACACCCAGAAAATTAATAAGGAACAATAAACGGTTGGCAGTTGTCCAAGATGAGCCATATCACAGTTTTTAACAAAGAAGCCTACAGCTATCCTAATAATTATAAATGACGACAATAATAAAAAAATAAAAAAAGAGCCTCAGCTAAAAATATTTTTTTCAAGATTCTCTTTACCTCTTTCCAATTGAAGAATAGCTAACAACTGGCCTGACTGTCCAGGCCACATATTCTCTCTTCCTGTTGCTTCGAGGTCTGTGAGAACAGCAACGCTTGATACATTTTTTCGTCGCCCTGCATAACATTTGTTTTCTAAACTGGCCTCCACAACATAGAAACGGTAATTTAAATCTAGCGCGTTTCAGTATGAATACTACTACCAGGATACCTAAATTAATTTTGACTGCAGAAACGGTGAATCCTCCGCGATTTCCATTGCATGTGCCAAATGAAAGCATCGCTGATAAACATCCGTTTAACATTCAGATATTCTGCAGGGAGTTGCGCTTTCGCTGTCAAAGGATTTTGTGTATTATTTGCGGCGTTCAAGATCAGGTCAGGTACACAGTTTCATGGCTGCACTGACCTGTCGACACTCTGTAAAGACAAATCTCACACTTACCTGCCCCTCCCCCAAATCGTTTGTTTGTAAATCTCCCAGTTTCTGGGAGGCACATGACCAGCGTTTTCCAGGGTCTCTCTCTCGCTCCGTAGGGCGGGTAGGAGAGAACCCTTGGAACGAGGTTGATCATAAATACACTGTCAGATTTTACAATATATTTTTTGTTTACACAGTTGTTCAAACTAGTTCCTTCTTTCTAGAATAAGGAGTAGCCGACGCGTTTCTTCGGCCATTAGTGCTTATTGAAACCCCTGGGCCCAGTTGTTTGAAGGCCAATTAGTACTTAACCCGGGTTTCTCTTTCTTGTGTTCAAAAGCGTTTTCTCGGATAATTTTCTCTGTTATATTTAGAGCTTTCAATCATCAACTTGGAGACAAAAAGAATTAAAAGTGAAATGCTTTTTAAGCTTCCAATTTTGAATTCAAATCTCGCACTAACCCTAGGTTAACTAAACCCGGCTTTGAACAACTCAGCCCTGATTACGATACCCCAAAACAATAGAAAAACAAAAATTACCCGAGATAAAAAATTCACTACAACACGTACATGCTGATCCAAATTTTCTCAGTTACACACACAGTCCTGCGATATTCAATAAAGCTGATATTCCAGAAAGACCTACCTTAACAGTCTTTGACAAAAAAGGTTGGGACACTTCCACGGAACGCTATTATTTTCCTTCTTGCTCCTCCGCTTTCTCTCCCAATGTTGTTTATCACAGTTAAGTTAGCAAATCTTCTAGTCCAACAGTTGGTTGGCAGGAAGACAGTAAAGTGTCCTAACAATTTTGACTGAGATTGTAGCTTTCACCTGTAAAATTAAACATATCAGAAGTCTCCCCGGCGTTTTACTTCTCCCCTCCATTGAATGTTTTCTTTTGCAGATACTTTCTGTCAGTACTTTGTCAAAACTTTCAGCATCGAATAAACAGAGTATTATCCCCCTTATGTTTGTCCTTACATAAACAACATAGCTGGGTATAATGTTAATATTTTTCAGAAAATTGTATTTATAGCACAAAGAAGTTAGATTTTGTGAGATGAGATTTCACAATAATGTAGACAAAGTCCAAGTATATTTATGATATAAAATGATGTAACTGCAAGCATTTTCGTGAACTAAATAAGGTGAAAGAACGTGTGATTTTGTAATAGTCACTTAATTTAGATACAATACAATGGGAACTTTTACTGTATGTGTGATTAAGTAAGTCAAAATACTACGTAATGTAAGGATAGACTATCTTTACATTATGTAGTATTTTGATATTAATCACACATACAGTAAGAGTTCCCATTGTATTGTGTGTACTTAGAATGTGTTAGTTCTATTTCTAGTTCTTGCCTTGATCGATGAATTATGTGTGAGAACTGTACATTGCAATAGATTGTTGGATTGGATTAAATCATGTTGTTACATCGTTAAGATACAGTCCATTTGATTTGCTTGAACCAGCGAGCGGCGTTATAAGAATTCCCGCAACACACTGTAGTTGTCTTATAAGGTACATTTCCATTTGCAGAATATGCCTTTCCAAACAAAGAACAAGCCAAGACTTCTGGCAACAATGATTCTGTATCTAGGAACCATGTTCACATTGCCATTTATTGCTGTGAGATTCCAGATGGCCAAACAGAGTGGAAAGTAGGATGAGGCTTAGCTGCAAGAACTGCTGGAACTCAAGTTGTTCAAACTTTCTGTTCACTTTGATAATGGAACTTTTTTGCAGTTTTAGTGTATATTAATTTCTTGTTATTTGGTGAGGCTGTTAAACTGTTCATTGGTTGAACTATTTTTGTGTGTAAAATGGGAATTTTAAAAGCTGGCATTTTCTTGGAATGTATGAAATAAACAGTTTGAATATTGTAAGCTTGTGTCAAAGTAATCTGACATGATGGACACTGATGTCCACTCTTTGTTAAAATGCTTATATCTTACAGGTCAAAATTAACTTCAGGTTAAAATTTTTCTTAACCACAGTTGATTCTCAATTTCCCTGTCTCCTAGTCCTAATTCATGAATATTTATTAGGGCCAGAAGACAAAGAAAATTGAGAATCAACCTTGGATATTAAATTTTAACCTGAATTTTATTTTGACCTGTAACATACAAGCTGAATGATGAACAATGCACACTTAAAAATGCTTCATGGACATTCCTCCCTTTATTTATTATTTATTAAGGTTAGGTTGTTATGCAGTAAGGTTAAAAGGATACCGAAGACTAGGCTCCAGTTTTCCAAAAGGTGGACAATGCTATCCACTGGATAAATCTCTACCCAATCCATAAGGTAATATTGGCTTCCTTAATACTTATCTGCTGGATAGTGATTTATTCGGGGGGTAGCACTATCCAACGTTTGAAGGCACTGTTGATAATAACTCTTCTTCTAACTTTTCCCAGTCAAAGCCTTAAAGTTGGAGCCTCCAGCTGCTCCAGTAAACAAGCACCTCTCGTAAGCAACCGAGACCACTTTTTGGGATGACTGTTTTAAATTTTTCTTTGTCTTTCTTAAACCTCTTCTAAGGGACGACCTGATACAATGGTCTGGTCTTTGTGATCGCTGTATGCACTACAATGTATGCTGCTCAGAGAATGAGAACTTTTACAAACAACATGGATTTACATAAAATGAAAATTGCATGCAATACATTCTCTCCAAAAAGATTGTGTCTGGACTACTCATTGTAAAATCTGTAAAATGTACAGTAAAAGATCTCCTGTGGTTTGAGTCTTGTAAGCAACCACTAACTCTTTGCATTTTGGGTGGTCACTCATGGGAGGTTTGACTGTAGCATTGTAGCGCATTAAAATCAAAGCAGATACGGACACTACAGTAACTGACTTGAAAAACATCATAAAGGAGCAAAATTTGCATGAGCAGTACAAAACACAGTAGACATTGACTGTTTATTATTCAGTGCCTGCAAATACATGTAACAGCAAAGATTTCTACCTGTATGCTTCTATCATTTATGGTGAATGCAACAACAAAATTAATTGACAATTCCTGTGTGATCTTTAGTTTAGGCTTCAAGCATCACTGGTGAAAATATTTTCATGAATTTTTCCTGTTCCTCATTAGACAAAAATGAATGTGAAAAACAGAATGGTTCAAAAGTAAAGTGTTCAATATTCTTCCTTTAGAAGCCTGTATAGCTGGCAGTTTCACTGGAGCAGTGTAAAGTAAATGTTTTTGTGGAAAGCTAACCTGAGATCAGGCCCAATTTGAGCGGTTCTCATACATTCTCTCTAACGGCTATCGCTGAAATTGCCCGCCAGAATGTAATTTTCAAAGGGAAACGAAAATAGAGCCTGATCTCAGGTTAGTGGAAAGCCTCAAGAGAACTTCTCCCCATTTTGCTCATTCTTGTGGCTTCACTAGGGATGAAGTACGTAAATGAAACTGCCACCTATGCAGGTTGTTCCATTAGGCTTTCAGTTCTTCTAGTTGCATAAGATGTTTCTTAGGACTGAAAAGGTCAAGAGAAGGTTCACATAGTCAAAGATTTGGTCTTTGTCTAATCTTCTTTCAACAAAGCACCTTGCTTGAAGGACCATTGAGAGATATTAAGGCATGTTAGAAAAAGAATCTAATCCACATCAGATAAACCTTGAAGCAAGAGCCAAAACTTTTGAGTACTTATCTTGCCTTCTTCGTAATATTGTAGGAACTGGCCCCTTGATGCGTGTTCCAAGGGGAGCAAGGTTCTCATCAACAAGAACAATGCAGTTGTTATCATATCTTGGAACCGTGTGATGTTTTGTCTTTCTGGTGCCAATAACAATGGCTTTGTTTGTCTTTCCAGCAACTGCAACTCGAATTACATCTCCTGGATCAGCAGTCTTTCTTTTTCTGTAAAATCCTATTAAGTATGGTTGGCGATTCTTCTTGACTCGCTGACCAAGGGCACTGTTATCAATAACCTTGAAGGTTGTAAGTAATGAGATGCTTCTTTTTTGAATAAAACCAAAGAAAAGTAAAGAGGACTCAGGCCACAGCTTCTTCCCTATGAACAACAAATAAAAACATGTGACACGCATGTATGATGGGCTAAACCATAAGGTAACATCCCTGTGAGGCTTTGCCTGTTTCAGGTGGTGACCAGTATGGTGAACACTTCTGTAGGAGGATGGACATCCCTGCATAGAGGAACGCTCTGTATAGTGGGCCCACTGTAAGGTTGACACCCTTGAAAGCTAGACCCCCTATTAAGATGAAAGCCTGGCCTTCCCAAAAAGGTACCACCATTGATGGCCTATGCAGCAGGGACGAGTACCCTTTCAGGCTTTAAATGTATTTAAGGGCTCAGGAGTTTACTAGTTGAAGTTTTTAAAGGGTAGGATTTAATGAGTTTATTTTTTTGAAACGCCAGGTAAGTCCGTCATTTACATATTAAGAGCCCATGACCGTAAATATCGAGAATCGCTGGCCAGGCTAAAAAAATCGAAAATTCTGATAATTTGTCAGAAAAACCCCTTTCGGAAACTATCTTCGAAAAAAATATTTTCAACTTTCAAGAATCTATAGTTTTCGAGAAAATGAGGAAAAACGAAAATAGCGGTTTTTACCTAATTAATTATGCAAAAATTAGAGTAAAAATGACCTACTTTATCGCGTCTGTACCGAGGCAAGATTCAAAGCTATAAAACAGAAATATTTTTGTTTAAAAGAATTCTATCTTTTCTTTCTATCTTTGGTATGTTTTAAGCCATAAACATGATTTTGAATTTTTTATGGTTTTTTAAAAACTACCATCAATGGCACTTTTTAAAACGGCTAAAAAATGAACAACTTCAGAGGCGAAAAACCCACCTTGGTATGTGTGATACCTAGTCAAAATGTATTCTAGGACAAAGTTCAGCTCTTACATTAACAGAATATGAAATAAAAAATCTGGGTACTCCGGATTCGCCTTTACAAAATAAAAAGTTTCGTGACCACCAGTGGCAAAATGTCACAAATTTGCATAAATCAAATTTGTAGAGAAATGATGCGCCCGATTTTTCTTTGTAGTTTCGGTACGTGGTATATTCGAAACGTAGGAGAAAGGATGAAAGCCCTTTTAATGAAGCTAAAATTAAGTAAAGGATCTGAAAAATTGATATCCTTGATAAGAAATTGCTGTGAAGGTTGGTGACACAATGTGGCAAATTTGCATATAAATGGATCTGCATATTCCTATCGTACACAAGGACGGGTTTCAATACTGTTAGCATCACGCAACATTTGAGGCTTGAAATAGCAAAACCAGGAGAATAGCTAATGTTAAATGTTTTGTAATTTGTATGTTAGCTCTTCTTAATTGTACATTATAAAATTAAGGTTGCTCAGCAATTGTTGTTGGGTGTTGTAGTGCTGTATTCTGCAATTGCGTGACAGTTGTCAAACTCGATGAAAAAAATGAGAGGTTTTGAAGTGTGTAAAGAAATATTATTCATGTCAGATGACTTAACTTTACTTTATTCACCTGAATGAATTTCGCGGTCATACATCTTTCTTGGAGTGGGCACATGCTTTTATGGTACCGATATAGATTATTCGTCAATGCATTTTAGGGATTTGCCATTAATAACTTACACTATACATCAGACTCTATAAGTTTTCAATCAATAAAATTCCAAAATAGTTAATTTTCTTGGTAGTTTTTCAAAGTTATATTTTGGTAAAATTGCCACGTCTCGCATATTAAAAATAACGTAAGTAAAGACAAGATTAAAGTAATCATCGCCCCCTTTTCTCTCTTTTCTGAAACTCTTCCACCTCCTCTTTCTGCCTCTTCACTGTTCGTGCGTTCAGCACTATTAATTAAGCCCAGACACGATTTCGAACAGCCAAAGATGGTCAAAGATCGCCAAGTGGACTGACCCGTAATTGTGCCATTGATTAGTTGAAACCTTCATTGAATGGACCCTCACGGATCCTTGCAATTGTCCTCTCAATAGAAAAAGTAAATCAGATGGACGAAGTACTGCCGACACTGGGGCCTTATGGGTGTTTTTTTTTTTTGGGAACCATGAATATCCTTCATGAACCCATTTAGCTTTCCATTTATTCACCAAGGTGATAAACTTATAAAAATAAACAAGGATAGATTTTTCCACTGGTACCTCTTTTAGCAAATTTTCACCTATCTTCATGTATCTTGAGAGAGTTACACACACAAAAAAGCAACATTTGGGGTAAAAAAATCTACTTCCAATTTTTCTATTCACCTTCTATTCTCTACAGATTAATTAAATGTCCCTTTCCTGAAAAATTAGCCAGCCAAAATTCCTGGCAAAACAAAGACAGTGGGAATACGATCAAGTGCCGGAGCAACAGAAGAAGAAAGGCATAAGGAAAAAAGAGAGCGGGAGAGAAAGATCGACATAGGTTCGTAACATATGTGCAAATTTTGGCTTCTGTACGTCTAATTGAGCAGTCTTGTGTTGCAAATCTCTTTTTCAGCCATTCCCATATCAAGCTAACTGGCTAGCCTGCATAACGGGCGTGCGTTTTTCAGGCGAGTGATGGCAATTAAGACTGAAGCCGGAGCGAATGCAAGCGCGAAGGGAGTGAGGAGAGCCATTAAGGAGTATATGCAAAAAAACGATGGTATGTGGACAGGCCGTTGTTTTTTCTGCGTCTTCCCCGTCGCGCTTGTCTGGCGCTTCTCACTCACTTCGTGCTTGCCTGAAACTGAAACTGTTTCCTGTCGCGTTCTGTTACTACTGAGGGCCAGGATGGACATGGACTGAAAACTGGAAAAATTGGGCCATCTTTTTCAAGTTTAAATACATCACCCAAAAAGATATTTTTGGCTAGTGCTCCCTGATAAAATATCTTCTTCATACCCCACATGTAACTCTACAGTGAACATTTTTTGACTGGCTAAAGGCAGTAAGTTATAGCACAGAATCAACCTAAAACAGCAAATATACTGATCTGGGGTCTTCTCGACAAGAACTGTCACAGGAAACCCAGAACCTCAGCCTCACACATTGACAATCTGTAACCAGCTGTTGTCATGTTTCGTTCCTGCGGATATATAATATTAGATACCGTCCAAACTTAAGAACACTTTAATTAAAGGGCCTGCTGCTAAGAGGGAAATATCTAAATATTGGATTTTTTTGCCTGGTATCACAAATGGCTGGAGCTAAAATTTTCGTGATCAAAATTTCAAACCAAGGAAAAAATGTTTTTCCGTAATGTTTTTGGTAACGGCACATGTTATCCAGCAATTAAATAGCCCCCCTCGCATATGCCATAGCTAAACATCAATTTAAGAGCAGTCTTATCGCATAACTCTTCTTTCCCTTTGTCTGAAGTTCTTTCCTTCTTTACTTTGGGAAACGGTTAGGCGTAAAAAAACCGCCGATGCCACTTTCTTACCTCGCTATGTTATTTAGCTCCTTGGTCGCTATCAACTACCCTGCGAGCAGAGGCCCTTCGATCTTCCTAGATACGTCGGGAAGAGGAAGAGAAGGGTAGCTATCAACTAAACAGTGATTCGATCGGACGTTCCGGTATGAAGGCACGAGCTGGGACATTGCGGGTACTGACGTTAATACTCCTGAGCAAAAGGCAGGTATTTCTTTAAACAAAACTTGGGTCTGCTGTAAACTGAAAAACGTACTCAAATTACTTAATTACTGCCCGGTTAGTAAATGGTGCTTACGTCGATATAAGTTCGTTCCCGGATACTGCGATAGGCCAGGGGCGTCATGGATGACCTTTCTGATACTTCTTTTTTCAAGATGATGCTACGTTTTGCAAGCACTCGACATGGGTGGGAGTTGGTTAGAGTAGCTCAAAAGCGGTGAACAAGGAGTCTTATCTTCCATGGACAAATCCTAGTCGCATCATCGTGAAAGGTGGTCCATGTGCGACCACCTATCCAAAACACCAAAACCCACCCAGTTAAGTCTTACAGTTGGAATCTCTCCTGTAAACGCCTGCGACCACTAATTGGGGCTGACTGATCAATGATTTTGCATTGTTTTTAACTTCTTGTAAGCGACTACCTGACGAGTTTTCTGATCTCTTGTGGTAGGAACAACAACAACATGAAACTGCGCATATCGTAACTTGGAAATTGCATGCAATAAATTATCTTCCTTAAAGTAGATGTGTCCACTTTTCTTCTCAAAGAAACCTCCTGTGGTCCGATTCTCGTAAGAGACCACCCCCCGTTAGCGACCACTAAGTCTGCGCATTTTGGGTGGTCGCTTTCGGGAGGTTCGACTGTACCGCTGGTCTCCTTTTCCAGTTCTTCGGCGGCGTCGGTTGGAACTTGTTTTGTTCATGGGTTTGGCGTATAGATTTACACACCAAGGCGCTGCTAGATTATTTTTTGAAATCAACAAATATCATTTTGTATTTGAAGGAAAACGCCCCTTGGCAGGTGGTACAACTCCGAGATGACCTAAAAGGGGCAGTTTTTGCGGGAAAGGCGTTTCGAATTCGTTTCGGAGGAGAGAAACCGCTGGACCGTATGAACTACGATTACTTAGCTGTTTCCTAGGGCCTTTGGTAGCTGCCTAATTATACCTCTATTTGTGAAAAAGTAGAGAAATTAACCAAGGGACGGTTTGTTGTTTGTAATACGTAGTAGTAATCTTTTAGTGCGTGACTGACAGGCTCGGACCCCGGCTTCTCTCATGCAAAGTTAGTATCCCTTCTTTCTGAAAATAAAATAAACTACTGAGAAACAAATGATGTTGCGAACAACGCATTGTCTGTTCAAAACAAAGTTTCCATAAAATTTCCTAAGGAGAAAAAAATCAGTAAAAGAAGGCGGAGCTGCTCGAGACGTCGTTGCGTGACATTGTTACTCCAACTGTTTGTTTATGGCTTTATACTCTCACGCAGTGTATCCCCTTCGCAAAAAACCTCCTTCAAAATAAAATTTCAAGGAAAATGTACCTACCTATTTTAGATATACCGGAGTCGAATTTACGATGATACAGATGGATGCTAATAATACAAGGAAGTTAGGAAACGAAACGAGAGACATGGGATATAGTTTACATAATAATTCGGCGCTTTTATATAACGCTTCTTCGAGGTCGTTTTTTATTATTATTTTTTTTGTGAACGGTTAATTACTCTGATATTTTAACAGAAACGTTATCAAAAAACGTTTTCTTACTTCGTGATGTTTCCGAACATTGCATACTGACCCTGAATTGAAACAAAACCCGGCTGCTGCAACATTTCTCTACAAATTTGACTTATGCAAATTTGTGTCATTTTTCCACTGGTGGTCACGAAACTTTTTATTTTGTAAAGGCGAATCCGGAGTATCCAGATTTTTTATTTCATATTCTGTTAATATAAGAGCTGAACTTTGTCCTAGAATACATTTTGACTAGGTATCACACATACCAGGGTGAGTTTTTCGCCTCTGAAGTTGTTCATTTTTTAGCCGTTTTAAAAAGTGCCATTGATGGTAGTTTTTAAAAAACCATAAAAAATTCAAAATCATGTTTATGGCTTAAAACATACCAAAGATAGAAAGAAAAGATAGAATTCTTTTAAACAAAAATATTTCTGTTTTATAGCTTTGAATCTTGCCTCGGTACAGACGCGATGAAGTAGGTCAATTTTACTCTAATTTTTGCATAATTAATTAGGCAAAAACCGCTATTTTCGTTTTTCCTCATTTTCTCGAAAACTATAGATTCTTGAAAGTTGAAAATATTTTTTTCGAAGATAGTTCCCCAAAGGGGTTTTTCTGACAAATTATCAGAATTTTCGTTTTTTTTAGCTTGGCCAGCGATTCTCGATATTTACAGTCATGTGCTCTTAAAAAGGGCCCCTGCCATAAGGTGAGCTATGTAATTAGGTAAGTTTTGGTTAACCAATCTTTTCTAATATTGCTTGATGTTCTCTAGCAATTTTGATATTTTAAGTAACACCTCATTTCTAGCATATAATTTAGAAAAAGTATTATGATGAAGTGCATTTTTATTAACTAGTTGAAGATAACTGTCACAGGTACAAATTGGGCTGCTTGAAGCAGCAATTGAAGCAAAATTTCTGTAGTCATGGCATGAGTAATCGGAAGCCCTACCAAGATCTGGGTAGTGACACATCATCAGTATGGAAGATTTCATATTTCTGCACTTGCTCCTCAGAGAAACAGTAATGGCATTGTAAAATGCTGGCTGTTTTCCCGGGCTTTTGCACTTGTTTCTTATCACATTGCTAAGAAATGACCCATCCCTCCCCCCAAAAGTCGAATGATCTTTCCCACTGAGAGAGGGATGGAGTATGAAATGACTTCAGGTTACATTAATTAATCAGTGTACCAATTTGTCTTTCAACACAGATCTTGATTGGATTTTGCCAAAGGCAGTCCCATTAAAAGTATGTGGAAGTGATACCTTCTCTGACAGAAATGGTACACTATGTAAGAGCTGGATCCTGGGACAGCCTTTTCATATAACATTTTCTTGAGTATCTCCCCCTTAGGTACAAGGTAAGGTAGATAACCCAGTGAGATGGACATTTGAGAAAGGAACATAATTATCTTTATGACTGATACCCTTGTGAGATGGATGCCCCTGAGAGGTGGACAAAGTACTCCAATTCAGTAGATATGGTAATCTTGTACTGTATGGTGGATACTTTGTGGTTCAATTCTATTTTATCCTTGGTTTAAATTTTATTTCCCTTTGTTTTAAACTCATTATTAGCAGAGCTCCACGCCCAGCCGCTTCGTGCCGCGCGTTGGCAGAGCCCCATAGCTAATGAAATGTGGTAATCTACCCATCCAAGAAAATTTGGTAATCACGTGACCTTACACCGAGCGACCGACCGACCGCCCGACCGCTCCACAGGCATAGCAATATAAAATAACTCAGTCAACAGGTATGGCAACCCAAATGCAACCCAAGGTTTTATTTGGAAGGAAATCACATGGTCGCCCAGACTTTAAGAAAGAAAAAACAACAACAAAGTTGTGTCTTTTTTGGCGTTATTTTTTATGTTTACACTAACATGGATAACAGAGAAAGAGCTAGAGCGAGTTATTGAAAACAAAGGAGACGAATTTCGTAGGAAGAAAAACATGGAAATTCAAAGCGGCGGTGAGAAAATGAGAAATGCTAGTGGCCAGAAAGGTGAAAATGAGCGGCAGTAAAAAATAATAGAGAACATGAACACAGTAAACAAAATATTGGGTAAGCACATACAACAGTTCCTCCATAAAAATAATGTGTAACTAGGAAGTTTGATGTTTTAGTCGTGCAAAACAGCGTGGTAATCGTGCAAAACAACAGCAAGGGAAAGACAAAAAAGCGTGCTTCATGTGCAAATTTGTTTTTTGCGAATTAGAAGAAAAAGTGTGCTGCACGTGCATTTTGTTTTTTTGCTAATAATTAGCAAAAAAACACAATCTAATTATTAGATCTATTAGTCTTGAAGCCATTTTCATTGTCGTCCCCATTTAGCATTACATGATTTAATTTTTTTTGTTTACACATATTATTAACCAGAGCTTTGCTTTTAGCCCTGGCTAATTCTACATATTATACATTACCATAACCTAAAACAAAGGGAAATACATTTTTTAACAAGGATAAAATTGCATCACAGCAGGTACACTATAAAGATTGAAGTACAAACTTTAGCTATAACCCGTGAGTTCAATGTAGTTGGATCTCTGAAAAGATCTGAATTTGTAAAAGAGACATGTACAACAGTACTGTAGAAACAATAGGAAACTGATCTTTATGGTGAAGAGAAATTCAAAACCAAATAAAACAGGTAAGGTAAACTAAAGCCAACAGTCTTGATCTTAGTTTGTTTCATCTTCTCCTCTTTGCCGTAAGGATCACTTTGCTGCTACAATTCTAAGATTATAATGGACAGCCCTATCGGAGGGTAGACAACCCCGTATGGAGATGTTAGATGGACCCCTGTCCGTAGTGGATCTGTGTGGTTGTAAGAAGGTGGTCACCCCTGCAGAAAGGTGACACCCCAGTAAAGCAGACACCCCTAGGCCTGAAAAGTGAACATCTCTGTACAGCAAACTCTAATATTTAAATTACACACCCCAGTAACCGGCTTAACTGCAGAATACCCTGCCACTTTAACACAACCACAGGAAATTGTCTTGTGGAATCGTTCGATGCAATTCAAAAGACGAATTTTAAACGGCACATGAATTAGCATAAAATCATTACTGAAATTACAATTGGTTATTTGACTATGCCATTTCCTGTGAACCCCTAAAGATAGGTGGATAGGTGGATATGCAGATACTCAATCACTACGTATCCGCGTATCCACTTTGTCACTACGTATCTGCGTATCCACAAAAGTAAATATCTTTTAAATAATAGTCCCTACGTATCCGAGTATCCACTCCGATATACAATTAAGACAGCATATAGTATGTCGCTAGCAAGGTAGGAAAGTTAAGCGCATGAAAGGGATAACTGCGTATCCACGTATCCAATTCTCTCAGGGATAGAGCTTCGAAGTGGCAGGGTATTCTGCAGTTACTCCCAGTACCATTTTGTGAAATCGGTTTAAATTACGTACCGGTAGCATGTATATTCGAAATTTGCTGTGATGAGGTGAAAACCGCACTGGACCCTGATGCAATGTTAAACTGACCAAAAGAAATTAATAAACAAGTAACAATATAAGTATACTAGAAAGAATCAAAGATCAGAGTCCGGAAATGTGAAAACATCTCTTACCAAGCTCTTTATAATCCCATTAGAGTGGAACGCTTTCTTCGCGGTCCTGCACATGGACGCCGCCATGTTTGCTTTAATCAAATGCAGCGGGTGGACTGGAACTACAGTAAATCGCAAATACAGTTCAAAATGGTGGACTCGAGCTCGAGCGTCGTGATTTAGGTACGCAAGCGTTTTAAAAAATGTTTAAAAAAAAAGATGACTAAAGTGAAAGTGGTTTGAATATGAACGATCTCAGCGGCATTAAAATGCAAAAAGAAGAAGGAAACAGAGACTCCTTTAAGATAAACAACCTTCCCCAAGTTGTATTCTTAAGCATTCTGTCGTACTTGGACCTGAAAGATTTGGGACGAGCGTCTTGCGTTTCCAAGCACTGGTATAACTCAACTCTGGATCCCTGCCTATGGAGGAAATTGAAACTTCAAAAAAGGCATAAGGTAGACGACGAGGTTCTTGTTCGAATTACGAACCATGGATCAGCTGTCTCGGTGCTGGATGTTTCGGAATGCCGGAGTATAACTGAGGAAGGACTCCTCAAAGCTTTGTTGCAGTGCAAGTGTCTAGTGGATTTAAGTGTTGTTAGGTGTGTTGCTGTAACTGATAATATTTTGTCGGTAATTGGACAGTCATGCCGGAATATCAGGTCACTAGATATAAGCTTGTGTCGTGTCACAGACACTGGAGTTAAAGAGGTAAGGCGCGGGGTATGAAAATACTTGATACAATGTCTCAGTACAAAGACAGGCCGATACAGATTGCACTACACCGCCTGTGTGTGTGAAAATAAACCTATATCACATAAATTATGCTTGCTATGCAGGTGATCATGCTTGTCACAATGTAAAAACAGGCAGAGATGCAAACCTCTGTTGCAGCTGTAGATCTGGCCCCAGTTATTCAAAAGGTGGATAGCGCTATCCAACGAATAAATCACTATCCAGTGGATAACGCAATTAGTTTTTGTATTACTTATCCATTGGTTAGTGATTTATCTGGAGGATAGCGCTATCCAACGTTTGAACAACCGGGACCTGAAATCTGGAGGTTTACTCTCTTGCATAGCAGGGGTTAGGATAAGGGGTAAAGGGTAGGGAGTGAAGGGTTCTTGGTAGAGGTTGAACAGTAAGAGGTGAGAGGTAAGTGAGGGGTAAGTACACTGTTCACAGTCAGGCCTTTCCTGATTGTGTTCGGCAACTTTTGAGCAACTTTTGTTGTTTGGAACAACTTTTTGCAGTTCCAGCAACCTCAGGCAGATTTTGCCTTTCTGAGCAACTTTTGAGCAAAATGTTGGTTTAGAGCACTTATCAAGCTTGAAAACGTCAACGATTTCATAGGAAACTTCAATTTTCTTTTTTACTTTTTTAAAAAATTCTTTGTAAAAATTTTTGTAATTTTTTTTTGTAATTTTGTAATTTTTTTTTTCTTGACTGATGTTAGTAATTATTGTGAAGAACAAAAAATAAAGCTTTTAATTAATGTTTATATAAAAATATATAGTCAAATTTAGGTGGCAACTTTTGAAATTTAGGTAGCAACTTTTTGGCATTCCAGTGAGCAACTTTCCAACCTTTTTACGAGCACAATCGGGAAAGGCCTATTCACAGTTCCCTATTTTTCTGTGAGACCGTCCAGATACAGCGAGTCTTACCGTTAATGGCAGCCATCTTGACTTTTGAATGTATGGAGGTGGCGTGCATCGGGGAGAGGTGGGGGGAGAAAAATAGAGGGACTGCGATAACATCACTGCAGCTCGCATTCACGGAGCGCGTTGTACCAGCAACACAGGCGTTTAATTGGTCATTAGTCAATGGATGTTAATTTGTGTTGACAATGGGTTTAGTTTAAGTTGCCGACACTGACAAGTTGTACCCTTTGATAATACCACCATAAGGCACTTCTTGCGCAAACACACTAAGGATTTTTTGGTATTTTGCATATGAATCACGTAAGCCAACATACTTTTGAAGCAGCCTGGCTAGGACAATGTTGTAACACAGTTTCTCCCAAACGAATTGAAATTTAACGCTACGCTGAGGCAAAAAAGACAACCTGTTAGAAAAGCCTGGCTTTTTATCGGGAGGTTTAACCGTTTTAATCTGTGATGAAGCGAGCATTCTTAGCGCTTTGATTAGGAAAATGTTTCACCCGTGCATGTTTGCTGATTTTATTTGGAGGAATGTCCCAGAAACTGTATAAAATCGCTGTTTTGAAAACAGATATTCATAAACACGCGAAATCAATGCCAAATGTGTGTGGCACATTTTTCATCGCCAGCAGAGTTTCTTAATTAATGAATGGTAAAAGGCATGAAATTCCTATCACACCTCCTGAACGCAAGCTGCAGTGATGTTATTACAGCCCCTCTATTTTTCTCGCTTCCTCCAACAACCCCTGCCCCCTAAGCAGTATTGACATTCATCCAAGGTGGCTGCCTGCAATGCAAAACGCTCCATCTTGACCATCTTATGGGAAAATAGGGGACCGTGAACAGTCTAAGGGGTAAGAGGTAGAAGGTGAGATTTTGTAATAAAAGTATAAAAAATAGGAATATAAAAGATACGTTACTAATTCTCAACAGCAATAAGTCAAAACAAACAAAAAAAATTAAAAATTAATCTAATCTAGATTTGGCCTTAGTTTTAAGTAAGTTCTGATCTTCTTGATTGTTGATAGAGCTGCGAAAAGCACAATGACACGGTGCTAGTCACGTGACCAGTCCATTTGAATCCACACACCAAGGAACTTGTGTGAGGTGACTCTATTTAACACTTTTCCATTTGCGCTTATCTGGGGCAATTGTACTTGTAATTTTTGCACTCACTCTTGACATCATTTGCTTCAAAATCTTTTTTGCATTAAGCAAGTGAGTTGAAATAATAAAATTATTGCTCAACCAGTCTTCAAGGATTCGCATGGTGTTATTCAATTCTCCAACGTTAGCTTCCAGACCTGAAGGGGCGCAGTGCTTTATGAGGGTCGTGTCGTCTGCATATTAAAAAAGCCATGCAGTCATGGTTATTGTTGAGATCAGTTTGCAAACAAATTAAATAAGGCTGGCCCCAAGATCAAACCCTGTGGTACCCTTAATTTCACGTTAATCAGCTCGAATGTTTTATCAAGACACTTGTGCAAAGTGTTGTCTTTCATGCACGTAACTTAAAATCCAGTGTAAAAGAGCTTTGGGAAGCCTATTTTGTTCCTTTTTTCAAGAATCCTGGTGTGATCAACCGTGTTGAACGTTTTTGAGTAATCTGCAAATATACCCATAGTGACTTTGCCTTGCACCTGGGGTGACTGGTGGTGAAACCTTTGAAAATCTTTTACATATTGCTCTAACAAGAATAATTCACACATTCTGCAATTTTATTGTGCAATACGTGGGTTATTTGCTAGTTTCTATAGCTTCTTCATAGCAGGAAAAAAACAGCTTGGTACAGTTTGAATGCAGCAGAGAAGCACCTCGTGCAACAGACAAAAAAATTATATTGTATTTAGCTATGGGTATTCCTGTCCAATCTGTTCTCCATTTTATATTAAGGTATGTCTGTTAGAAAACTGATGTCACTTTTTGCAGTAAAAGCAATATTATTTTCCTTTTTAACTGCTGTTATCATAGGTATCTGTTTTTAAAGGGAACCTCCACTCTTACTACAGAATAAGTTTAAATCGAATAAAATTATGTTGATAAACAAATTTGTTCGAAATTTGTCTTAAAAAAAGTGTTTATATCAGGAAAAGTGAATTTTAAAATCGCTTATTTTCACTTTCAACTTTCGCGGGCGCCGCCATCTTGAATAATTGTGACGTGTTACGGTTGCTCTATTGTTCTGACACAAAGAGCTTTTGTTTAATAACAATAGGGCAACCATTACACGTCACAATTATTCAAGATGGCGACGCCCGCAAAATATGAAAACAAAAATAGGCGAATCTAAAAGTTATTTCTTTCGGATACAAACGCTTTCTTTAAAAATATTTTAGATTGACTTGACTGTAACAGTTATTTCCTGTGATTTAAAGTTATCTTTTTGTTGAAGTGCAGGTTCCCTTTAAAACTCTGTGCAGTTGTGACTTACATAATCTTAGAGCAGAATGCTTAGCCATATATAAAGTGCATAGGATTAAGGTTTTAACTTACACAATTTTTTCGTGGATATTCAGGGTTAATATTAGCCTTATAGAACTATGGAATAATAAAACTATGGAGTGGGTGGTTATCAGAGATAATGCAAACCTTTAAATCAATTGGACACAAAAGGCTTGAAAGTTAAGTTAACTTTGTCATTTTTTTTCACCAGGTAACTCTCAAACTAAGTTGTTAGTTTTGTGTATTTTGATATCTACCATTATCTAAAGCTGTTTTACTACCTAAATTTGTTTTCAGCTCTGTGAAGGCTGCGTCCAGTTAGAGAAATTGACCATGGACCAGTGTCGCTCACTGACCAGTAACAGTTTGCTTTCAGTGGCTCAGAACTGTCCAAACCTCACATTCATCTCAGTTGAGTATAATGATAAAATTGGAGATGATGGAGTCCATGAACTTGTGCACAGGTGTCCCTTGCTTGAAAGACTTCATCTCAACTCAAGCGGGATTACTTCACAGACAGCACTGTTTGTTGCCCAGTGTTGTAGAAATATCATACTTCTGGATCTTCGCTACTGCTCTAGTCTCACAGATGATGAAGTTAAAGAAGTAGTCAATGGATGCCCATATCTCCAGATTTTGAACTTAAGTCTCTGTTCTCATGTGACTGACAAGGCATTGGACTATATAATTACACGTTGTGCCTCTCTGCGCAGTTTATATTTGGTACACTGCAAAATAACTGACACTGGTGAGGTTATGTGCCACTTTAGTCATCTAGGTCTAGCCACTGCTTTAAAACTGCCGACTTGTTGACAAAGGTGACATTAAACTTGTAATGTTTTACCTTGTTTGGGGGGAGGGGTTGCATAGAAGGCGGTAAGTCATAGATCATTGCCTTCATAGCTAGTGGTTCTGTTGGAGTGTGTTGAAGAAAACTTTGTTCATGTTGAAGAAATAGTGAACCAGTTAAGTGGCAGGCTTCTCATTTAACTACCTTAGACACGAATAACAGGGGTTTCAATAAGGGCCGAGCACGGGGCAAATTGGCCTGCTGTGAATGTGACTTTGCCCAGCTGCTTAACTTCTCAACAAGAACTTTTTTTTAATACAAGGAACGATCAAAAATAGTTTAAAATAAACTATACAATCGTGCCCTTTTCTTGATGAAGTCTTCTCGAATGTAAAATGTACTATACCGTCGAATTTCCACTTTATCACAAGTGGCATGAAATGCCCTCGTTTGCTACATGCTAAAAACAAGAATCGCCCCATAATGCGTTTTGAAAAGAACTGTACTCCGTAAAAGACCATCTGAAATGACTCAATAAGATTGTGAAATAATTTGTGTGGTGGATATTGGTATCAAATCATGACTAAATTGTCTACAAAAGTTATCTTTATTTGGTGGTTAAAACACATTTTCTGCAACTTCAGAATGCAGGAAAACACATCTCTGCAACTGTAGAATTTCAAAATTTTCCTGGGGAGCATACCTCTGGATCCCCCTAGGGGGGCAAGGCCCAAAGGACCTTTCCAATTCTTTGCCAAGGTGTCAAACCCAGTTGCCCTCCTGTTCAAAACCTTAATGAAACCCCTGAATAAACTCTCTTTCAGCACACTCCAAACAACCTGCCTGCTACATAGGCTCTAATATGAGTGCTAACTCAGGAAGGAGTGATATGCATCATCTGTTTTGAAAGTAGTGGGTAGCTTGGGTTTAGACTGGCTTTGAGATTCTTCTTAATTGCACAGTACTGTTATGACATAGCAAGCAAAGAATGAGGAGGTCTGATGGATAAATATGTATTTCACTAAGTAAACGTTCCTTAAAAAATAACCTGCTGCCTCGATCTTTTTGATAATAATAAATTGCCATCTAACTAAACTTCAGAACCGATTCTTTCCTCAGGGCTGGAGGCTTTTAAGCGCTGTGTCTGTAAGTTAGAGAGACTAGATATAAGTTGGTGTCAAAAGGTTACAGACCAAGGAGTTCATGCAGTTCTTGAGGGATGCCGTCACCTCAAGCATTTAGGTCAGTACCCTTTAGTAGAACCTTGTGGAGCATTTTGTGAATATGGCTGTTCCTTTAAAGTTATGAATTCATTACCCATAATAATGACAGCTAATTAAATCCAGAGGGCAGAGTACAGAACCCTTCTTTAAGGGTGCTTACATCTTTTTTGAGTGTGTTCTTGTTCAAGCGAAGCGCTAACCACATGTTGTATACTAGAGCTAGAGTATAATCAGCTCGGGGATCAGTCACACAGGAAAGAAGAAACACACAACTTGAGTAAGGATCGCTGATTTTCATTTAAATCCTTTCACTTTCGTTGGTTATATTACAGAAACAATGGTTTTTTCCCCATACATAACCTTATATTTTGAAGATTATGCAATAATACCGATGGTCATATTTCGAACTTGGGCCACCTGTGCATTTACCAGTAAAGACCAGAAAAAATGAAGCCTTTTCTTTCGTTTCAGGGTTGGTAAGATGTGATCTTGTCCGAGAGGAGACAGTCATGCGGCTGAATCAACAATTTCCGCAGGTTTTCTTGAGTACAGTGTTAACAGAAATGAACCGTGTGTGCAATAGAGCTGAGCTGGCGTCTCTGCCGGGGACATAGTTAATAACGGGGGGTGACAGCTCTAACAAGGGCTGTTTCGGGAGAAAAACAAATTTATTCCGGGAATCTGGAGATTTTGCCGGGAATCGGGAAACCTGGAAAATTTTTCGGGAAATATGAGGTATTTTCGGGACATTGAACAAAGATTTGATATTACATGTTATCAAACAATATGTATACAGTGACATGCACCCTGTGCCGATACGCTGTATTCTATGTATTTTGACACTTGAAAACGGCTTAACTCCCCATGATATGAAAAGACCAATCAGAAACGTTTCCAACTAAAATAGCATGAAGTTCGAGTGCGATTGACCACGTGCAATCCCCAGCGGATTGACACAAGAACCGTACCGGTGCAAGGCAGGTACTATCAATTCACACCAGATCCCATCATACATTAGTTCAGGGGTATTTTTAAGCTGCATGTTAATGATGAGTTTTAAGAGCACATTCCACTGATTGCATACTGGAAAACTTGAAAAATTACGTTAGAAGTACGTAAGAAAAAAACGAAACTCATTTAACTTTGTTAAACGGACATGAGGCCATAAAAAGTAGTATGTCTGTGAAGACTCTTTAATCATCCTGATCTCGCTGGGGACCTTCCGATTTTGCTCGAAAATCCCGAATCCCGATCGATATGCGTTCGGGATAGGAAAATTCCAGATTTCGACAGTTGTTCTGAAATTTTCAAATGAATTCTTATGATATTCATACATCATACAATGACACCACACAGAGTATACTTAGCTGAAAGTGATTTCCAGAGCAATTTCAAAAACCGCACAACTTGTATAAAATATATCGACTACTTCTACGCGAGGTCACGCCAATAAAAATAAGCATAAAAAGGACAATTGATTTAGAGAACATTTTGGACAGAATTTGTCCTCTCAGAACACTAGAAATGGCGTTTCAGAGCACCAAGATTTCAAAATTTCGGCTAGGGGAGTATGCCCCCAGACCCCCCTTGTGGTTGGCCCCTTCAGCGCTCGCCTGATTCGTCGGTGATTAAAAAACAAAAAAACACGATTTTATATACTTAAAAAGTTTGACGGCCTTTCTGTGTTAACATGATACCCTCTAACGAAAAATAACTACGTTTAGATAATTAACAAGTTACATAATTAACAAGAAGCTGCTAATCAAAATTTTAATTTTAATTGTTAGAACAATTTTGGGAAGTTAAACATTTATGGGGAATGCCACCGAAAAATTCGGGAGGGTCGACGAAATTTCCGGGAGGACATTAAGTTATTCATAGGACTGCCCAAACAGCCTTTGTTAGAGTTGTCACCCCCCGTGTTAATAAGCAGTGTTTATTGGGAAAACGAATACATGTAGTTCATTTAGACCAACTTATGCCCTAATCACACAAACTGAACATGTTTAATTAAACTGGGTTTTTAAAAAACAGACACGGAAAAGTGGAATACGGGTTTTTGCATGGGATTTTTGTAATTTGCACTACATTTGCAGTCAACGTGAGCTAGTAAGCAGCTTTTACTAATGAAAGACGTTTAAACCGTGTTTAACTAAACACCCTTTAAACACATTTTAAGCTTTGGTGTAATTGGGCATAAGGTTCGTCTAAGTAAAGGCACACTTCGATATTGGTCGCCACGTTTCATTCTCTTACTGACATTTTGTATTAACTATTATTAAGCGGTGGCATCAACGCATTCTGGTGGCTGTGTGTACTTGGTACATTTCGACTCTCACAACTGCCCTGTGGTTGCATTGTTTAGATCCGGGTAATCCCAGTATCCATGTACAGTAGAACGTCGATTTAACGAAGGGGTGAGGGACTGACAAACTTTGTTCGCTATAACGAGTTTTCGTTATAACGAGGTTCTTTTTAATATATTTTACTATTATTCAGTGGTAAAGAAAATCGTTCGTTATATCGTGGACTTTGTTATATGGAGGTTCCACTGTACAAGTTATTGTCACAATTTCAAAGACTGACACTACTTAGACTGCGGGCAGTCTCTTATTACTATTACTTTTTTAGCCACAAAAGATCGAGAGCAGTAGAGAAATATTTAAAATTTGCTGCTTTTTACTTCTTAAACTTTACCTGATTATGCCATGGAAGTTTCATGCTTTGTCGGACGTCCGGCGGCATGCATGTCAACTGGAAAAGTTTTTATTATTATTCGAGAGGGGTTGTTTGAATTTTTTTCAGGAAAACGCGTGAAAAACAGCAGGGAAGCTTTGGTCCCGTCCACATGTAAGTTTTTGTTTGAAAAAGGATTTTTTTCCTCCAGTTTGGCCTGCCGTCTACACTTATCCGGTAATAACGGTCACCGAAAACGTTTGTTTTCAAGAACGCTCTCCAAAGTAGAGATTTTTGACGACGCCGTTTTGCTGTACTCGTGTGGATGGATGGAAACGGAGGTTCATGAAAACGATGACGTCACGGTGATGGATACCAGTTAATGCGCATGCTTTTGTGAAAACGGAGAACACAATTTCCGTTTTCAAACAAACACGAATACGTGAGGACGGAGCCTTGGAAGAGAGCGACACATTCTTACGTTAGTACAATGGAACCTCCATGTGCGACCACCTACCATCTGTTCCCACTTATCCAAAACACCAAAACTTTCCCAGTGAAAGGCTTACGGTTGGAACCTTTATTAAACGACCACCTCCTGTAAGCGACCGCGACCACTTTTTGGGCCCGAAAGTTTAATGATTTTCTGTAGTTTTGAACCTCTTGTAAGCGATCAAATGACGCGTTCCCTATCTCTATGTTCGCTGTGTGCAATGTTCTAACTAGAATAGACGAAGAATTTTAGTAACAACATGGACCTACACATGGCTTAACTTACAAAGTGTATGCAATAAATTATCTTCCATAAAGTGGATGGCCCGGATCTCTTCTTGGAAGAGGCCCCCTGTGGTTCGATTCTTGCATGTAATTAAAGCGACCACTGAGTCTTTACATTTTGGGTGGTCGCCCCGGGGGGGGGGGTACTGCCATATATGGGCTATATAGGTATGTGCCGCTGTGAAGGGTATGGTTTTCAAGCAGTTTACTCTAGGATAGGGTATATAAATCAGAGCGTTTGGCTCTATAATAGGGTATCATTTTTCAGGAAACTGATCAGTTGGTTGAAGATTTTATCTAGACTAGGTACACAGCTACTCTAGGATAGGGGGACTTGGGGAGTTTACTCTAGTATAGGGTAGCAAAATTCAGCTGAACTAGCTCTGGTAAAGGTTAAGGGTTCCAGGCTCCCAGCGGCACATCCCCACCCAGAAATTCCTAAAGTGCCCCCCCCGGGGGTGGTCGCTTACGGGAGGTTCGACTGTGTAGCAAAATAAATTATGGTTCAATACTTGCGTGTACATATCAAAGTGATAAAAGTAGCGAGGAGCAAAACGATTTTGTTAGTAAAAGTGCTGGTTCCTATAATGATAATTTTCTCTTTGTGAGTAAATAATGTCCTTCGCTCCTCTGATTTGCTTCATCAACCATCACACCTGCTGGCGCTGAGTGAGAGAGAAAAGAGCTTAAAGGTGATGTTGCACGAGACGATTCGCAACGACGATTTTCAGCGTTGCAACATTGTTAATTTGTGCTGTTTCAAACCTCATCGCTCTTGTTCCAACTCTCTTAATTTGTCAAATGTTGGCCATTTTTTTAGGATATGAATTCTAAAGGATTGTATCCAAGTGCACAAGAAGAAAAGGAAAACCGTTGTCTTGTGTTCACGTTCTCCATAAAACGTGAAATTAGCAAGTTTCACGTCGTAGTCGTGCATTGACGGCGAAGAAATGTACAAAAAAGCGTGATGCACGTGCAAAATAGTTGTTTTGCTAATCTAAACCAATTGCTTTTGTGGCGTTCCCGTTGCCATCGCCGACGTCGTTGCTTAAGCTCCCTTTTTCAAAAATGCGTTGGTGTGAGCTCACTGTGTTTGTGAAACAAAACAATTGCTGGTTTTGAAGGTCGGCAAACATCAAGGCAGTATATGTTGGGAGCTTACTGACTGTGCGCAATCTTTTTTATTTTCATCCTTACAAATATTGTTAAAATAAATGTTTGTGCCGTTTCCATTGGTCAGTAAGTTGTAAAAAAAATAGTTTAAAATGATAGGAATGCTAATAAACATTGTGCATAAAAGCTTAAGGCCCGCTTCAGGCGCCCAACTTTTCATGAGCCGGACCTAATACAATGCATAAGTACATGAAAGGTTCGGCGTCTGAATCAATTAGGAACGCTTGTTTCAATTTTGAACGGCTCAAGCAGTTCTTCCCGCCTAGCCCGGCCGTGAATTTCGGCTGGAGTGGGTTTGATTCAGGCCCTGTCAACACGTATCCGTATTCGTTTGAAAACGCAATTTTTTTTCTCGTTTCAAAAACACTCGCGTCCACTCGTAGCGTTTTCGCATCGTTTTCGCCCGTCCACACGTATACGGTGAATCGATTTGAAAACGACAACTGACCTGACTGCGTATGCTTGACGCGTGACGTGTTCGCTATTAGGAGCCCGCGAAATAATAAATTGGCGCCATCTTTGAATTTTGTTTGGTGTGGGTTTATTTTGTTGTGACGTTCTTCAAAGTCGCAGAAACGGTTTAAAATGTCAAAATCAGGGCAAAACAAAGTCAAACTAAAGGGAGATCCAATCTTCCGCCTCTTGACACCGGTAGCGAAAGTAACCTAAGAATGCTCTGCCGCCTCCTGGAATAATCAGCTTGAAGAATTAACAAAGCTAAATTTGCTTGAAAACAAGAAATTAGGTTAGAAATAAGCCAAAGTATAAAAGACAAGAAAGAGAAGCGCCCGTCCGCCATCTTGAATAAGTTTCTTATATTGCGCGGAGTGGATTTGAACTGATAGTGTGTCCCCAGCGTTTTCGAAAAGTTCCGTTTTGTCTGTCCACACGTACACGCGAAAACAGCGTTTTCAAAAAGTTCCACTCTAGAGAGCGTTTTCGAAAAGTTCCGTTTTCATCTGTCCGCACGTACACGCGAAAACAGCGTTTTCAACAAGTTCCACTCTGGAGAGCGTTTTCGAAAAGTTCCGTTTTCATTGATCGTTTTCTTCGGATACGTGTGAACGGAAGCCGTATCCGTAAAGAAAATGTTGCCTGTTCAAATGAAAACGGATACGTGTGGACAGGTGTCGAACGATTATAAATGTCCCGAACGTAATGCACAAATTACTCTAACGTATTTTGCAAGCAGTTTGACCGAAACAAACATCTTTCTCCTATTGAATTTTGTTCATCTAGAATTAAGATCAGCGTCTGCGTCAATTCAGCCGATCTAAATAATTTGGGTCGGCCTTAATTCAAATTAAGTTCGGCTCATGAAGTTCGGCGTCTGAACCGGGCCTAACAAAAACATAGAACAAACAAGTTTGACGGGAAGCGCGATGTTTGTTGTGCGCGTTTTTCTGACGCAAAGTTCGGACAGTTCTTCGCCGCTATCTTCGGCGAATCTTTTCCTTTTATCTCTGGCAAAATAAAAATATTAAATAAATATAATATAAAATAAACCAAAAGGGAATAACTCAATGACACAATAAAAAAAGAAAAAAAAGTCTCGTCAAAAGATTCCTTTTCAAATGACAAAGCATAAACGGGTACAAATGTTTTATTTCAAAGTAATTATTGTAAGGTTGAATCTACGTAGACTCGATGCTTTGCAATAAAATCACACAGCTTAATGATAAAACTCTAAAAATCTATTTTTTCAATCGGCGTTGACGATAGTTTAAGAACGGAGTTTTAACAGTTTACGTTGTCTGCACATTGAAAAATCGTGCTAGAATAATTGAGTCAGTCTAAAACCATAAAATAAAATGGTTCTCTATTACTGATGCTGTGCAATTTCATAATGCTCTTCACTTAGAAGCTTAAGGTCTCGGTAAATGAAAATTTTAGTACATTGCTCGATTTTTTTTTTTTTGATTTTTGGCATGAGTGGGTCCTAAATTTTATTTTGGCAGAAAAAGAAAATCAGAAAGTGCTTTTTAACCCTTCTAAAATGAGCCTTTTCTGAGCTAACCAGCCAAGCGTGGACTTCGCGCTAAATCTTTAGAGCTGATTTTCTCTCACTCTATTTTAGACGCAAAAATCAAAATTCTCCGACCTCCAGTCGGGACAGGTTTTAAGCTAATTTAGTCTTTTAGCTTTAATTTGATATATAACTTGCCTTTGTAGCGAAAATACTCGCGCGACTAGAATTTTTTTCTGTGGGCACCTCGTTTTCCTTTACCGAGACCTTAAATTACTGACTTTTACTGTTATTTCTATAGGAGAATTAAAGTTTGCCGTTAATTGTCGTGCAGTGCCGAAAGCACCGGAAAATGTGATCGTAAATAACTTGTAAAATAACATAAACATTTGAAAAGAGTACCGAACAAATATGTGTCGGGACTGAAAAACATAATGTTTGTTGCTGTTGTTGCTTTATGAAGATAAACTTATGTTAACTATACGCAAAAGAATAAACGAATACTTGGGTCATAAGGAAGTTATAATTAGTTCTGCTGTACAGCTCAAAGAAATTCAACAAAAATATTTAGCAGCTCCTTGAATATACTATCGTGCAGTTTCTTTTCCCAAATTTTTAGTTTTATTTTTTTTTTTTGTCTGGAAAAATAAAGCATCGTTTCGAATGACATCAGGAACTCTGTAATTTGGAGCCTAATATCTTGAACTAGATGCCAGCGAGATAAAATAGGTGTAATAGCCAGAAATGAAAGCTGGAGGAGAGTAAAGAATTTTACCCGCTACCGCTATAATTAATTATAATTGTGTAAACCTATCTCCCTGCTTGCTATCATATTAGCAAGTCATAATGTTCTAATGTACGAGGCGCTTTAATATTTCAGTCAGTACTAGTGACCCATGGGTTTTCTTCCGCATGGATAAGTATGTGTAATCAAATGGTGACGAGTGAAATTAGGGAATAATTTCACGCGCGTTTTGTCCAAATCTTAATAATTTTCCTCGCCTAAAAGGCTCGGGAAATTATTAGGATTTGGACAAAACACAAGTGAAATTATTCCCTAATTTCACGAGTATACCATTTGATTACCTATTAATATCATGGGTGACGAATTACGTTAGGAATTTTGGATTTTTGACATGTTTATCCCGGATCGTATATCGATCGAGAACTCCACTCTCTCAAATGTTTAGACCTTAAATTTGGCTTATAAAGTTCAGAATTTTTCAGACTTTTTCGGCAAAATACCTATTAGAATCCTTCTTCATGTGCTCTTTCGTGTGGTCAGGTTTTCTGAAGCGTCTTTTTGCGCCCTGACATCTTAATTCACGGCATTTTAAAACTTCGTCGCCATCTTGACACTGAGACGTACGGAAGGTTGCCATGGCAATTTTGTAATTTCACATGTGAAATTACAAATTAACGCTGAAATTTCGAGTAATTCGTCACCTGTGATATTAATGTAAATACATATAGAAGATCTACGAAATGTCAGAACACTGAAATTCAACAGTCATAAAGCGCCGTGAATAGTTAGTGCGGTTCAGTTTCAGTTTCCGGCTGGTTTTCAGATCACGAGGTAGATCCCTCCATAGCTATCTTGAGCTTCGACTGAAACAAAAAAGAAAGAAACTGTCAGTATCAACAGATCACTACATCATGTGATCAGCCCAATTTCTTCATGATCCTGAGACACTGCTTCTGCCTCGGTTGTTCAAACGTTGGAAATAAATAAATCACTATCCAGTGGATAACTAACGAAAATCCTCTATTAAGCCCCGCCCCCCCTCCCGGGCTTATTTATTTCAAACACATTTGAGGGGGGGAGGGGAGGGGTAGGCTTAATAGAGACGGGTGGCTTATTTGAGAAGGGCGCGGCTTATCAAATTCAGCAAAGTTCCTGGTATCAGTTCTCCATAAAGAACTAGAATACAGAGAGGAAAAGCTCAAGTACAAGAAGGTGGAAGTCATGCAGTCAAGGATCAAAAACAAATCCGAACTTCTAGTTGGTTAATAAACTAACTCGGATTAGTCCACACGAACTTTTACAGTCGTGATTAATTAAAAAGCCCAACATTTATTAGTCTGTAAGAATGAGAGGGGGGCGTAAAAGAGAGGGGAGGCTTAGTAGAACATTTACTGTATTAGGGAAACCAATTGCCCAATCCACTAGATAAAGATTTATGTTGTAGATAGCGTTATCGACCTTTCGAACAACTGGGCCCTTGAAGTATTGAAGCAGAAGAGGTTTCGGGAAGGGTTAAAGGATCCGACCCCTCAAATTCATTGCACTGTTTTACGTAACGTCACTTAACTGATGACTGCTTTGATAATAGAGCGCAAGTATGGAGAAATGTTGGCTGTTTACCAACGTACCAATCAATACAGGAAAATGTATACACCACACCAGTGCGAAGCCCTTCAGGAAAAGCATCTTTCACGCTGAACAAATTTACGATTTTGAACTTAGCGAAAACTAGCGCGACATCGATAGGTTTACTAAAAGGGTTTGCGAGCTCGCCGTCGCGTCTCCTATTTTGTCCAATAACCAAGAAACGAGAAGTGCAAATGCAAGGTATTTTTGAATTCTACTTTTGATAGTAAAGAGAACAGACCGCACCACAAAATACACAGAAAGTTTTCCACTTTTAGATTGCAATATAGTACAATACCCAACGGGAAACTAGTGTAAAGTTGCCAACGATTTTAAACAGGAGGAAAAGGGCGAGACAAAATACTTCTTACCTTTTGGACTTTTTAAGAATTCCTTTTAGTGGTTTTTTGCTCTTTTCGCTGGTGGGTTCTTTCAAGCGACTCTTTTGAAGTACATGAGAGAGTAAGCTCTCCTCTTTAGCCTGTTTAAGATCTTTCTCAAACTTGTCCAGCGCGCTTAAATGTTGTGCTTGTAAGTATAAGCTTTGCTCCATCGCGTATCGAAGCCTTTTCTCGAATTCTTCAACCCGCTTTTTTTCGTCCACCGGGGAAGGAGCGTGCTTGCTCGGAGTGGAACAATGCGCAGATTCCTTTGTGCGGTTTTCGTTGGTTGTTCCTTTCTTAGCGCCTCTCTCTAGGATGTGGCTAAATAAACAAGAATAGAAACATCTTAGGCTGCACTTACTATGTATACTGAAGGAGGAGCATAGGATATTTTTCAAAATGGGTATTATTTTTTCATATCCTTACCACATCATACAGAATTTTCTGACATCCCCCTCTTAACAAAAGTGACAACCCCCAACTTGATTAGCAACGAAAAATACCGGCAATGTAACGGTCATTGGTGCAGAGATACATCTAAAGTAGAGTATTAGAGAAAAAGGTAACAAAAGGGTTATAAACGTAGGCGTTTCTGCCAATTTTTATTTTCCTTTACCCAGTATTTTGTATTGTTTGTTTAATATTTATAACCATTGAAACGAAGGCAGCGACTGTGACAGCTCCGACATGATTATCTCGGGTTTCCGAGTCCTAACATAAAGCAACCAATCCCATCAGATGTTACTATGATGTGTGAAATGAAATTTGCTTAGAAAGCAAGAATATTTCATGATAACCTTAGTCGAATCTGATCCTCTTCTGCCAGTTTATTAGACAACAGAGGGGTCCCCTCTTGCGGTTCTGCGCTCGTCGGATCCGGACTTTTCTCATCGCCAGCATCGCTATCAAACATTACGTCAACAGTGAAGTAGATGGACACAAGAAAACAGAAGCCTCCAAACAGAAGAAGAACCTAAAATACAACGCATTAGGGAAAATAACTTTTTTCGTTTGATGATTCGTAAAGCACACATTATAAAAAAAGAAATGAAGAAAAAACATTGAAAAAAGAACGAGAACTAATTTTGTGCTCCCGTATACTCGTTTTCCCAAATTACAATAATTTTTCTATCAATTTACTTACGTGACGTCGTGTCAAAGTGCTCTTTTATATAAACCACACTCAACCCATAGTCTTATGATTTACTCTGACTCAGGGCCAGAGCTAGAAACTTCAGCTGCTTAATCCCTTTTGCGGTGGCCGTTCCAATCAATTCAGGAAATATAAATTCCCAGTGAGATCGGCCTTCTTTCACTTGACTTGTTGGAAAATCACGAAAGTTTGCAATGATTCACACTAGGGTATTTAGCAGAAGCAAAAATGAGTTATTTTTAATTTAGCCCTTAACTGACATCGTTGTTATGCTGGAAATCTGCAGTATTTGCCGCTTAGAAATAAAATGAAAATAAGACACACCTTGAGGGTCCTCTCGGAAACCACGTCCTGAGGGGTGTAGAGTGGGGGTCTGGGCGGGCACGGTGGCGTGTCATCACTATGGAGGTACTTGCCACTCGCCGCTTCTTCAACAAGTCTGGAAACATAACACCACGTTTATTAATCAGTTTGTACACTCTACATACCTCATTTCAGTCAGATAGTCGAACAAGTTTGCTACAAAAACAAGCTCGGTAAGACTGCAAGAAAGAGATAGCCGGACTAAACACGAAAACAAGTTGATCAAGAATGGAAAGAGGAACAAGCCGAGAGAAAACTGGTCCACCATTTATTTCCTACTATGACTGCGGCTATGTACAAAAGAAAAGGCTTTTTCAAAGTTGACGCTCTGCCAGAATCTTGTTGAACTTTTTCGTGTGGGTGGGTGTGTGGAATTTTTCGCAGTTTTTGAAGAAGTGTTATCTTGTTGCGCAGTATTGAAAAATTGTAAAAAAGCAGGAGACTCAGTCACTGGCGAGAGATGAAAATATATTCTAAAAAATTATTTTATGTTCCTGCTTCTGCTTTCGAGTTGAACAAAATCCCATGAAACGAAAGAGAAAGGAGCTGAGAGTTTTGACTGAGTTATTTACTCCCGTTATAATAATCTCCCCTTCTCCAGTTTCCCCCGGTCCGTATTAGCTACCTGATAGTGTAATAAATGGCTTCCTCATAATTCATTTATATAAAGTGGCTGTACCATCAAATGACACAACACTGAGTTACGAGGTTTAAAAAAATCAATAATAAAAAGCACTGTAATTAGGAACTAGTTTAGAAATAACAAAAATAGTTTTGTTGTGTCACACCTCTGTTTCTTATGAATTTTTTCAGGAGTCATGGACGATCCATAAAACGTTAGCTTCCAATCTTTTAAGTACCCTCGGCTATCATCAAACCCTGTAATGAGAAAAATTAACATAGAACAAACCTTACACATATTTTGAGTTTTATTTCCTCTGTTCACCGTAATTTTTAGGGAGTTATTGTAACTCCAAAAATGGAGTAAAAATTTTAGGTACAGGATAACCCCTTTTTTGGGGTTATTTTAACTCCTAATTTAACTCCGAATTTGGGGTCATTTTTACTCCTGAAAAAGAGTTCTTTTTACTCCCAGTCTTGGAGTTAAAATTACTCCGAAATGGGGTTACTTGTACTCCTTACAGGGGTTGTTTTCACTCTTTTTGGAGTTAATTTAACTCTGAAAGTGGAGTAAAAATTTTAGGTACAGGATAACTCCTTTTTTGAGGTTATTTTAACTCCTCAAAATCTGTGGTCACTTTTACTCCTGAAAAAGAGTTCTTTAAACTCCTTTTTGGAGTTAAAATAACTCCACGAAAAATAACTCCACTGTAAGGAGTTAAATTAGCCCCACTAGAGGAGTTATTATAACTCCCTGAAAATTACAGTGTTCCATATGTTTTTGGCGCAAGATTTTTTCCTCTATGGATTAGTTCATTTTGGACTTAATAGCTTTTTAACACGCCCATCAAAATTAAAATGGCTGGATGACCATAACATTCGTCGAAAATAAAAACCATTAGAGTGAACAGGAAAGGAAATAAGTAAGTGTAATGTTGCACTACAAGAAAACGAATCAATTGCCTACCATTGTCGACAACTATAAGCTGCCAAGTTCCTTGTGGCTTTTCTCCCCAGCATCGCACGGTAGAAAATGTCCAGTCCACAAAGCCGTCTGATGATCTGCGCAGGTAATTAGTGAAGGGAAGGAAACAGTAACAGACAGAGGAAAATGCACACGTTTGTTTTGTTCGACTTTTTCGTTGCTCGCAAATTTAAAATATCAAGATAACTTGGGGCCATGGAAGGTATTTTATTCTCAAGTAACACAACATGGGGCTCTACACCCGAAATTACAGCATTTTACGAGCTTATCGGAACTAAACATGTTTTAACCCGGGAAACTACCCAGCCTAAACTGTACAAGCCTGCTCCACTTTACAGTGTATAGTATATTCTAAAAATTTTCAAGTTTGTTGATGAATAGTCAATCGCAAGGCACCACCACACGCGTTTGTTGTTGGAAACTGGAAGACAGATAAAGGAGAGAGTGGTTTCCAAACACCCACAAAGCCTTTTCATTCACGTCTTGCGCGTGCTTTGAGCGCATTCCCAACTCACTTCTTAACCAAGCGGGTTAGAAGCGGTTGTCACGACACCCAGTCGGAGCCGCTGAACCAAAAACAAAGATAAAACTCTGGCTAACGCAACAAACAGAAGAATGAACAAGAAGTCAATTAAAGCTGAAGCAAATTCAGGCGGCCGTCAATTGAACGCAGCAAAATCCTAGCGAGGAAGTTGCAAAAAAAAAGTTGTAAACTGTTGTGGTTTCACTTCTGATTGGTCGGGAGAGTGACATGAGAATTGTCAGTCATTTACGTAGCGTAGGAAAGCTCAATACACAATTAAAAACTTCTGTAACATCGGGAGTCTGATTCACCTGTCGAGTTGCCGGGCTGTTGCCAGTTTGGACGTTGTTCCTTCAGCAGATACTAAACTAACCATTAAATTACCACGATGATGGTGCTGTAGGTTCACCTTAGAAAATGAAACAAGAGATTAACTTAACAAAAACGAGCTTTATTTACATGACTATCACGACCATAAGAATTAACAGTACTGCAAAAGCGAAAATAATAATTATAATAATAATAATAAAACTTTATTTGTGTTTTTGAATGTACAACTGTAAATCTCGCTACGTATAGGCAATTTACAATTGGCTGCTTGAGATTGAATTACTTGAAAAAAAATCAAAATTGCATTAAGTCTGGGCTATCTCAATTCCTGTTTCTACAAAAAAAGATGCAATCTTATAAGTAAGGGTTTTCAAAAACTTAACACAGTAAAAATCACGGATTAAAAACGACGTTTCGACCGATCTTCGGTCATTTTCAAGTAAGTAAGAAGTTCAGAGAATTAGCACATATATGTGTAAGGTGTAAAAATACGTTAAGAACTTATACAATGTTTGAAAATTTAAAAGAATGAAGCAAAGCATGCAGAGAAAGGACAACAATAGAATATAATTAAAAGAGCTATTTAGCTATCATTTTTTTGATTATATAATGTTGCTGCTTTTTGTCAATGCCAATGTCATTCATCATGTGCAAGAACGTGGAGCATTCGTGGGAGAAAACGCCAAAGGAGCTCATGGATAGGTTTACAAATTTCGCACATTTGTAATTTCTACTCATTTCTTTGATCAAGTTCAGATATTTTTCTTTTTCACGCAATGCATTGTTATGAAGGTTAGACTCGAGACCAACTGTCCATTCTAGAACATATAGGCACTTGGACTGGATTAGGAAAAGAAGATCTGGACGATAATTTTCACCAGTACACTCTTTTTTTTGAAATAAGAATGTTGTTTTTCCGGCCCAGGCTGAATATTCTTATTTTTCTGCCGATTTTAGGCTGAAAATATTCTTGTATTATTCTTAAATTATAGCTTATGACATTTCCTTTTTAGAATTTATCGGGGTATCAATTACAAGTGTTCTGTGCTGAATACTGTACATATGTATTACATGTACCGTTCATCGAACTGTCATTAGCGTTGAACATTTTGCTGTAATTACTGAGGGATTCAGAAAACCATTAACATTGGCATAGAGTGAATAGTGAACATTAATTACGGGTTGAAGTGACTTGGCGATGAAGTTAAGGATTGAGTCGTGTCTCCAGGTGAAGTGATCAAGGTATTGTTGACAACCAATAATAATAATTAACACAATACATGTGTTCAGCCATAACCATACTTCACCAAACGGCAAACTGCAGACTCAAGTTGGGAATGTCTCAAAATAGAAAATGAGCGGATAAAAATAGTGTGAAACAACTCTTATGGATGAAGATAACGTGAAACTACGTTTTTTTGCAGAAGAAAAGAACAGTAAAAGACATGAAAAGAGAAAACTTGTTCACGTGGTACATACTCACCTCTGCCGTTTGCCTTAAGCCTTATTCTAAATCTCCCTATATAAATAAGTCATTATACTTACTGTAACTGTTACGTGTTCTAAAGTTACAACTTCTGTAACCTTGTCTTTCGAAACTGTAAATAAACAAAATTAGCATTAACGGGGTTACCTTACGAAAATAAGACTGGGTTTTCATCATCACAGCACTTTCGTTCGGAAAATGAACCACAGCCATTTTGTATCGACTGTTCAACTTGCGATCCATATCGATTGTGATGATATGATTACAAGCGAAGGGGGCACGGATACCTCAAAGTTTTCAGGGGAATCGAGCCCGTTTCTGCTTTTTGACCGGTTGGACGCTTAGTTTCATTGCGAGGACTCATGAACAGCTCTGTCGGATTATCCGAGAGTGATGAAGGAACGCCCTGTTATTATTCATTAAAATTATTTCCCCGTTTCTGATTGGAAAATATTGTGATATGTGAAAAATGACGTCAAGTGTGCAGCAAAAATTGCCAGATTATTGAAAAGTTAACCAAGAAGACCTGGGGACGAAGTTGTGAGTCCAAAAAAGGCGGAATATTTCACTCGCTTCACGAGGAAGAAATAGGCGAACTATTGGCTAACTGAGAAGAAAAACATAGCAAGAACAGTAAGAAGACAACTCGACGGACGACGTCTCCTATTTGGGAAATATTTGCAGAACTGAACAACCCTTTATCCCCTAAACGTGCCGATAAACATGCATTATCGAAGATGAACTTAACATCGATGGAGGTAAGCATGTTTTAGCTTGTTTTTAACCTAGGAGTTATTTTTAATGACAAGGCTTCGGCAGATAACACCCTCCGAGATCTCCATAATTCTTCAGATGATACTTAGCTTTATTCAATAATTGTTCAGTATATTCCTGTACATACCGTAATATTTTTCTATGAGTTGATTGCTTGATGGTGGAATTTGTTTCCCTACGTGAATAACAGGGGTTGACCAAGATGTCATCCATGGAACTGCTTCCCATACCTATAGACAGCATATAAACGTTTTCTAATCATAGCACTACTACAGACAATTGAGTTTTGGAATGCAATTCAGTTATTTCTCTCTTCAGTTCTTTTTTTTTTATGGACGGTGTGACAACTCAGATGAAAACCACTACGCAGTATTGTTCACCCTGGTGTAAATGTTTGTTTGTTGGTTGGTTGGTTGGTTTGTCAAATTAAAATATGCTGAATAGAGCAGTTCTAGTGTACAGAGAAATAGTGACCCTCCTATAGAAAGCTCTTTAGAAGAATTTGCTTGTATTAACCAGTGTTCATTATGTTACCCACCCTAACTCTCGAGTCTAAAAATGTTCAAATACGTCTAATCGACTGACACTTTCTTATAGTTATGTTTATCACACTGTACAATTAATGTAGCTCTTAGTATCATTCTGTTAACAAAATCCTAGACTGCAAATCACTAAGCCGTAGTATCGAGTGTTCACATTTCAAGTCATTTTTTATCCTAGCGAGCCCGTTGGTAAAACACGGCGTATTTCCTGGTTCTTGACTCGTCCCTATTGTTTTCCTTTGAGGATTTTAATCAAGACGGATAATTTGAGAGAGATTTACCGAATGTGAATAGCCTATGTTTTGCATTAACTGCCACGTAGCCACTATTTTGTCTATTACTGCTGATCAAGATTTAGATCTGCATCAGTATCACTGTCGCTATACCTTAGCAGTGTTGACCAGGCGCCATGAGTCCAGAAGTCCAAATCCATATTTATGACTATGATGATATCCTGCCCCATTTGTATAATAATCATTATCGTCTACATCGTGCTGAAGAAAAAAGTAAAAAAGTAACTCTCTTTTGTAGGGGGTGTCATGAATGAGGTTAACAGTGAAGAGTATGGCCACGACTTAAAGCTTATAAAACAAACGAAATACCAACTGACCATTGTATAAAAAGATGTCGTTTTTATAGCGTATACGGTTTGAAGAAGTCAAATTTTGAACTTTCTTTTCTACAAACATTCGTTTTGTTTTGTTCATTTCTAGCACCGCGTGGACCGTGTCAGGGACGCGTGATATTAGTCCGCGGGCTTACTGGTCGAAGGGAGAACTCCTCGTGACCATCCGCTGACCATAGACCCAAAGGACTATGGGTACGAGATTGGAGTAGCTAAAGAAAGCGAAACATAGGGGCACGTGGAAAAACACCTCCTGCGTGGACATACAACTTCTTTTTTACCTCTACGCGAAACTCCTCGCTAGAGGCAGGAAACACTCGCTCTACCATCCCTAGGATCTACTCCTAATCTAACTTCGTGCCCGACCCAGTTGGAAACACATCATCTTCAATATACATCGTGGGTGTCCTGTGCAGTTAGTGTTACACATTTGTTTCGGATCACGCATAATACTTAAAATACCCTCGTACCTTAACGGAAGAAATGGCAATGATGTGTTGAACATCTCTCCAGGAAAGACAAGGTCTGAAAAAGGAACAAATTAGCAAGTCCTTCCGTATCAGTGGGACGCCTTTCAGCAATACAGCCGCTTGTTCCATGAGAGTCTGTAGACACGTTGGATTTAGACTACTCAACTGGCGTTGATTAAACTTGTAAAGCTCTCATCTCATTTCTCCTCACCTTATTCTCACATTTAATTTCGCGAGTACTAAATTTCGTGAAAAATAATGAGCCATATTTCGCGATTTTTAGGGTTTTTCTGAGAAATTTTAGGGATTTTAGGGGATGTCTAGATTTCGCGTAATCAAATTTCGGGATTTTTCCCTAATTGCGAGAATCGCGAGATTTAGTACTCGCGAAATTAAGTGAGAATAAGGTACTTTGTCACAACAAGAATGATTCTTAATAGTTACAAACGATTGTTAACCAAATGTCTCCCGGCAGACCTGGACCAGTTAGGGAAAATCCGCCGACACCACTGAGTAGAGCGCCTTTATATTAGTACAATTGTCAAATTTGAAAGTGATTCGATAAAAACTAACGAAGAGATATAGTCCTCAAAGTCGTGAAATTTTACAAGACGTTTGTCTGGTGGGCGGCACAAACTTACCCCCCCCCCCCCTCCCCCACCACATACCCTCGGTACCAGAGGGGTTTTTTTTCGTCGCTATTAAATTCCTGATAGTTCTTCGATCGCGTAAGACGTATCACTTTAAAGTGTGGAAAGTGATACGTCTTACGCGTTTACTAATGTCACATTGCTCCTTCCAGCGGTGTCCTCGGATTTTGCTAACTAAGTTTTATCAACAGCTGAAAAATAAACCCTTGAAAGTTCTGTTACTTGTAGAACGATATGGAGAATCGTTAAGGAGGAAACTCATCCTCGGATAATCAGGGTAAGTCAGTCGGGATGGCAAAACGGAGCTAAGCAAACCGTTTCCTCGTCCGAACAGCTGACTGACAGTACCTGCATCTCCGAGAATGGGATGGGTTGTGATAAACCTAAGTTATTACCCGCGACCTTAAAGAGTTAGTGCGTTTTCCAGGAAGGTTCCAAACCTGCATCTTCTGCTGCAAGCTGATTTTAAGATATCACTATAATTATGTGCGTTTGTCCTTTCAGAGTCAAGAGTGACGTGAGTGTCAGGAGCTTGCATTTGGCAGGTTCTGCACGTTAATCTTACCTGGCTTGTAGCATTAATGCTATCATTCCAGCAGCTAATGGCGCTGCAGCAGAAGTTCCTGTGTGTTTGTCAGTACATCCGGTACCAGTACCAAGTCTCCAGTCAGTTGTTACCTGGACGACAACAGAGGACAGTAAAAAAAAAGAAAACAAATTGGCTTGCCAAAACATTAACAAAAAAAAAAAACGATTCTGCAAAGTAAGGAGAACTAGTAGTTAAAGAGACGGTACAGGATCACAAGATGGAAATCATTTTGTGACCGAGACTTACTCAAGAGAGGAGTGCTGTGTCTCCCCAGCATTAGACTAATTACACAGCACAGGAGGCGAATAGCAAGGCTATGCATGCTCTACAAAACACTAAACAACTAAGTAAAAATTACTATTCCGACCTATGTCCAGCACCAGCAACTCCAATAGACCAGCCATCCCCATCCACTTAACTCCACACCAAGCAACAAGCTTTTGGCCAAGAACGATGAAAAATTGAACAGTTTGGATGTGGAAATTATACAATCGAACTCAATTCACTGTTCAAACGAGCTCTGGGCTCCGCTCTAACGATTGGGACCAAGTGTTAATGTTAGTTTAGGGGAGGGGTAGATGGGCAGTTTCCCAGGAACCTAAATTGATCCAAAGGTTGTTGAGATCCAGAAATATTGCTACCATGGTAACCTGACGTCACACTTCTCCTCTGTTCTGTCCTTAAAATAATATCAATCTTTAGCGGGTCGAATTCGAAAATCTCCCCATCAACAACAAAGCTTCATCTTTTAAACCACATAACGGCAGCCATTTTGTTATCAACACAGTACATAAAACCGAATTTAATCCATAAATCGAGGTGATCTGATCAACGTAAGTTCCGACTTGGCATTTTATTACTAACTAGTTTCGTACCGCACAACATGTGCGGCACTTCTCTGATATATATCGCTCTCACTATGTTTCTCTGCATGCCTTGGCCACTACTGTAGGTAACTGCAAGCATTGCCGCACAATGTTCTGCATAATACGGCATATCACCTAACTCATCCACAGCACCTAACGAAAACAAAGAAAACAACAAACAATTCACATCATACAACAGATATCCAATAATCATTCACTTCTTTGGGAGATTGTTGAGCTTTCAATGGGTGGGCAAGGCATCCTCACGAGCCTCAAGCAAACTAGCGAGGCAATTTACACACAATAATCAAAACTTAGGTAGCCACAGATTTGTTGGATAGTTCTTAAAAGGAAAGGTGATTTTTTCCATCGACTAAATTTTCTTTGAACAAGTGAAAATTAAGCACTTTTTTTTGTTCTCAGGCGTCGTATTTTAAGGGCAAGATTTTGTCTTTTAAAAAGGTGTTACTGCGACCCAAAAGAGTCACAGTTGTCGCCGGCGTCTACAAGGTACCACAGTATTCACGGCTTGTTTTATTGCCTTTAACAATACGGTCTTTGACTAGTACCACTCATGGCTAATAATGTACTGTGATACTAGGACTGGCTGTGATACTGTCATGTAATACTCTCCTACTGTGATACTACAACAGGCTTGAGATGTCGGGAAACAGAAGCGTGGAAACAAAAGAAGTGAAAATTCTCTTCCTTGAAGACAACTGTGTCTGCTTACCGGCAGAGTATACAAGGGTAAGGTTTAACTCTTCCACCCCCACAGTAAATGGTCGAGTCTTATAATAAGGTGGTTCTACCTTTTGAGTCCGTGTACAAAATCCTATGGTGTGACCATTCAAATGAAACTTCTCTAACAGCACTTTTACATCGGTACCATCAGTTTTATCGCATTTGAAAACAAATAATTTAGAACTTTTGTCGAATTTTGACTTTGGTAACTTCTGGGAGTTAAAGGGTTAAACTTCATAAGCGTGACGTCACTAGAAACTGTCAGTACATGTAGTAGCTCCTTACAGTTCTACCACTCACCTATTGTAACGGTGTAAATGGAGTTTGCATATCCATCAAAGTTGCAATTATCCTTAAAATGACCTCCATTACCAGACGCCACTACAAAAATGCTGCCATAACCCCTCCTCCCAGCCAGGACCCCATGAGCAAGGGCAGCCTGAAAGCGAATCCACAACAAAAAAAAAATCAAAACTCACACAAATCCAGAGTTTCAGCACAACTGGACATAATTTTGTGTGCAGTTATCACCACACATTCAGCTTACCACTCCCCGGTTAAGCCTTCATTGTTGTCGCGTTCTTTGACTATTCATACCTAAAGTTGATCATGAAGGTTCATTAGAGTAAAAAGATGAGTTAGTAACCTGTGCTAACTGATGGGGTCCATCAACTGTTTTTCCATTGTCATCAGGTCCCCAGCTGAAAAAACAACAACAACAACAACAACAACAGAAATGGGACTTGAGAAATACTACCATAAATTTGCACCAATTTGTTCTAAAAACCAACTGATCACCGTGAAAAGAGTAAATGGAAGTTGCTTGCTCCTGGTTATGTGCTCCTGTTTGTGTTGCTACCTTTTTTGCTAATTATTTTGCTACTATTTTTAAGCAACCTTCTTGATTAGGCTTCTCCCTAAACTCATTATATAAGAGGTCATAACCAACTAATAAAATCCATAATATCAAAGGCGAAAAAGTACCGGACTGGGTACTCCTTAATTTTAGCGCGAAATTTCAGAGTTAACTTATACTTTCAGATGTGAAATAGCAAAATTGCTGACTTAAAAGCAACAGTTCGCATGTTGCAGTTCCAAGATGGTGTCAAGGTTTAAAAATGTTATGAAGACGGTCTATGGATTAGAAGATGCCGTAGAAAACCTAAATGCACGAAAGAGGACCATTTTTAACAACAAGAAGGATTCTACAAGTAGTTCGTCAAGCATATCAGAAAATTGAACTAATGCCAAAATTTAAGCTCGAACTTTTCAGTGTCCGGAGTTCTCGATACCGTAAACAAGCCTAAAAACCACGATTGTGAGCGTAATTTGTGACCCATGATATTAATGCAGCGCAATCAAATGTATAGAAGTGAAATTAAGAATACTGGAAAAATTTCACTTACATTTTGTCATAAGTCTAACAATTTCGTAAAAATTTGGACAAAACGCGCCTGAAATTATTTTCTAATTTCACTCGTTGCCATTTGATGACACATAGACAGAAAACCAGGTTGGTTAAAAAAAATTCAAGTTTGCCAGCCGGAGTTGAGAGGTTAAAACAAGAGGTAACGTATCTGCCAGAACAAAACAAATCGGCCATGTTTAGAGGTGGCTGTAATTAGCAAAGGTAAGGTTGTCGAGGCTGTACAGGCCCAGTTTTAGAATGAAAAAAATTCAAGGAAAATTCACTTAATCTGTTATAGTTTCTTGACATAACTTGCCTCCAGGATGTTAAAATACTGAGAAGTAATTTTATTGAATAGCGAGACATGACTTAACTGTCATATTACCATGGATACTGACCTACAGCTGTAGATGTCATTGATATCCATCTTACTGTTAAATGCCATGGCCTCAAGACTGTCAGTCATCGGTCCATCTAAGATTCGCACCCCTGATTAAAATAAATTATCAATCTGTGTCAGTACCAAGGCCCTGATTGGGGAAAATTCTGTCAAGCGACATAAGACAAATGAAATGGCAGCAAACAACGTAAAGGTGGGTTGAAAACTGCAACAGCGACGAGAACAACCGCGATACGTATTAAGTAAAACGTTAACAGGGACATGGCTTCCTCTTCGATACAGGAAATGAACGGTCTTAGAATTCAGACTCTCCTTAGAGGAACCCTTCCCAGTAACTGAAGAAAGCTTTGTAAGTCAGCTCACATGAAAATTCTTTACCTGACACTTTTGCACCATATGCCACACCCACGGCACAATATGTGTTAGGAACAGCAGCAATTTCACCAGCACACCTGTCAGGAAAACAGTGACAAAAAAGACTTAGAATTCTTACAGGACAATTCTTTCTTACCTAGCTACATACCTCGCCTCTTCGCGCTCCAGTTATGCATAAGGCCCCCACACTTCTCCGCCTGTTATCTTGAAAAGTGTGTCTGATTTCAGTAATGATCATAATTTTCACCGGGATGGCACATTAACAGATTACCCAACCCCCAACCTGTAGTGCCAGGGGTTACAATTCACCTGGCCTTTCACCAGCACGGTGGGCGCTACCACAGACCAAGGTCCTAACATGTATGGCTTCCAGAGTTATCAAGGCACAGAAACCCCTTAGTTTTTGCGAATACTTCGATTAAGAAATACATCCCACAATAATATATTGTGCTAATCATTTGCAAGGCATGTGATGGCAGTGGTGAGGATAGTTTAACAAGTTGCGAAAATGCTTCTAACAGTGATGGTCCAAGTCATACTAAAAGATAGTGAAATTCCTTCCATTAGTGAGGATGAGCAAATCATTGAAAAAAATGTGTTCAAACTAATTTTACATAGCATGGTTTATAACAGTAATGTAAAAAAATTAATCCCAATTGGCAGAAGGCGGACCAGTTTCAGCACTGTTCAAAACTCCATTACCATTTCTACAACTGTTCAATGGGAACAGTCAGGGCAGTGCTTGAACTCGGGGCTCAGGTTTTTCGGTAATTTCTAGGCCATGCTGCCTCCCCTAATTCAATCCCTAGCAATGTTCATTATCTTCACAATTAACTTCTGTTAGTCTGATTTTGTACGATATAGTTTAAGAGTTTCACTTTAGAAGTTAATCTCATTTTTTCAACGAAAATATTAATTTGTTATATTAGTATTTACCAGCCGGAGACTAAATGTTTGACATAAAAATATCCTTTTAAAAAGTGGAAATACATTGTAGCAATGGTAATATACTTTTGCGATTTTAACTGTCTTCACACATTTCAATATGACTGGTCATTTCACAAGGAACATTCCTGATATATTTCAGGTACTAAAGGTTTTCTTAATTTGCCATTTTTTAAAATTGATGGTATTCATAACTACATGAATAGTATTTAAGTTGTATGTTACTACCTTGTACCATGATGGTTCAAGCCTGCCTCATCAGCTCTTGGCATGGGATCATCATCATTAGAGTTTATATCCCAGCTACCTTCTGAACACTAAGATCATCATTAAAAAGTGAATGACTTTTTAGTTTTCAATTTATTGAGAACTTGTTTTATTCATACATGATTTACTTGACTAACAACATTAAAACAGCTGGGGTCGGTTATTTAAACGAAGTCTAACTTTACAGGCCGCGGTTTAAGAAATCATTGACCTCCAGATCTTTTATCTTAAGGGATTTAGAAAATAAGTGCTTTTCCAGACCACGCTATATGCTTTATTCAAATTGATCACGAAAAGTGGTGTTTAGATAAAAGCGTTGGGTAAACTGAAAATCGCTTAGAACGCTGTTTTGCTAAACGCGGGAGGCTGAGCACCTGTTACAGACATTTAGAGTTACGTTACGTGTTACGCCATGATATCACGTGATTATATCATGTGGCGTTGTTGTAGGACTCGGACTGGTAGAGTTTAGACTTTTGGAACTTGACTCGAGATTCGTCGAGATAGTTTTGCTTTAATTGTTCCTGTTTAACGGAATAGAATCAACATTTTGGTCCTTCGATAACCGGATATTCGCACTAGTGTAATAATTGGACTGTAATCGGAACCAGTACTATGGAATTTGCAAGGGACTCGTTCGACCTTGGAAACATTCAAGGGAAGGCTATCGAGAAAATTGGAGGAATTATGAAGGGAAAAATAGAACAGTTAAAAAAGGAAAGAAGAACTCTTAAGACAAGTAATACGAAGCGTCGGAACGAATTAGCGGCGGAATTATCGACAAAATCGCCAAACAAGGAAATCTCACGGAAAAATTACAGGACATTGACAAGCGACGGGATGAATTATTATTAATAGAGATTTGTACCGCGCAGTTCAAATTGTTGGATCTGTTGGACTTGCTTCAAACTTCGTAAGGAGAAAATAAGCAAGCCTCGCTGGCAGCTTCAACAGGTGATGAAGCGGATAAAATGATAGATCGTGGGGGCAACGAGACAAAGGAAGCTCGGCTTTTCTTATCGCAAAGTAACAGCAAGGAAAGCAAAGGAAATGTTAACAACACAATCAAGAGCGGCACATTTGAGAGCACACATGGCAAAGATGGTCATGTGGTTAATGCAAATAAACAGCTTGAGCGGATTCGAATCCCGAAGTTTTTGGGCGACAATGAAAGAATATCAGTTGTGGTGGGGAGTGTTTTCCAGTTGTGCGGATGAAACGAATTTGTCAGCTCAGTTTAAAATGTTGCGGCCTGAAAGTTGTTTAGAAGTAGAGACGGCTGAAACGGTGAAAGAACTGGATTACTCGGATCATGCGTACGAAGCGGCTACGGCAAGGTTGAATCGAAAGTATGGAGGAAACAGGCAACAGGTTCAAGCCCATATCGATGAGCTATGTACTACTATTTAGCCAGTACTACCGATGGATTAAAGAAAAGAGAAGCACGGAGTCTCTTGACGAGCTGCGTCACTGGGTTACTGAAGAAGCTGAGTACCAGCATCCGAAATTGATCATGGTTTGTCCTGTGTTGGAAATGCACGAGGAAAGAGCGCAACCAACTCTTCGGGATCGCAGAAGGGAAACGTGATGGTCCCTGTAACGTGTGCAACCAAAAACACCCAATTTGGAAATGTGATGTATTCGAGGGAATGTAACATAAAAAGAAGTGGTAGACGAAGAAACTTGGACTGTGCTACCGCTGCTTGGGGAAAGGGCACCTTGGTGTCTCATGTGCTTGGAGCAGAGAGTGTGGAATTGACCGACGCAAGGACAGACCCCATTGGTTACTTCATGAAGAGAAAGTAGCTCCTGGGTCCATGGAGGTGAAGGCTGGCACATCTGTGACGAAGGAAAACAAGTCCAGTACGTATGAAAGAGTGCAAGAAGATGAACAGGGGAGTATTGCCTTGCGTACTGTTCCGGTCATTCTGAAACACGAGGACAGACGTTTGCAAATTAATTGTCTCTTGGACGAAGGCAGTGATACGTTGTATGTTAATGAAAATGTGATACAGAAACTGGGTTGGATGGTAGGAAAGAGAAAGTGATTATCAATGTTGCTAATGGTCAGAAGGTCAGTCTCGTGTCAGCAACCTTGGATATTGGTTTGGAGAGCTTAGATAGTCGGATGAATACAAACATTGTAGCGAAGACATGAAATAACATCTGTGGTGGGATGAAACCCCTGGCTGCAAATCAAAGACCAGTGGAAAAATTTGAGGAACATTCCCTTTCCTAAACTTGGAAAAAGGAGTAAAATCGATGATCTTATCGGTTCAGCTTATAACAACCTCCTGTTTGCTATGAAAGAGGTTCATGGAGGCGACATGAACCTAGGGTCAGACTGTGTCCATTGGGGTGGACAGCAATTGCTACCATTGGTAGGTCTAAGGGCCTTGGGGCAATTAACACTAGTTACCTGAACACCTATCACATACTGCAGTCAGAGTGTAGTGCTGGAGATCTGAACTATCTGCTGAAACAATTTTGGAGCCTTAAGGCCATTGGGATCACACCGCAGCAACCACTTTCCCCTGAAGAGAAACTTGCCTTGATAACGTGAACGAGTCAATCAGGTTTGATGGTGAGAGATATGAAGTTGCTGTGCCTTAGGGCCTCTTCATATGAGCCCGGTTGACCGGGCTGGCTCGGTTACCGGGATGAATTTCGTCTTGGGTTCATATGAGAAATTTTAGCCCGGTTTCCGAGATGAGAAACGGCCAAAGATCCTGGGGACGAGTTCTGGCGCCAAATTCGGGAAACAAAACAACCATAGCGAAACACAAAAATTTTAACTTTCGGGCCTATCTTAGCATCGGTAACTCTTAAAGCTGTATCACTACAGTTAAATGGTATGCTTATGATGTGGAAAATACAGCAGGCAATGCAAGACTATGCCATCCGGACCGCCAGAATTCATCCCGCCGTTCATCCCGGTAACCGGGATGAAGTATTCATATGGCAAAATTTCCAGCCCGCTTACCGAGATCTCGGTTGGAAAAAGCAAAGATCTCGGGAACCGAGCCAGCCCGCCCTCTCATATGAACACATCGAAAATTTTACAAAGGATTTAGAGGTGAGGCGAGATCTCGGAAACCGAGCCAGCCCGGTCAACCGGGCTCATATGAAAAGGCCCTTAGAAACATGAAAGACCAAATTACCACCAGACCGACAGATGGCAGAGACGCGCCTTCACACAGTCGTGAAAAAAAAGTTAATGCATGATAAGAAGCTGGCACAGGCTTACCAACCAGTGGTTGAAGACTACTTAAGTAAAGGATATATCCGAGAAGTCCCAGTGGATGAGCCAAAACCACCATCAGAATGGTTCCTTCCACATTTCCCTGTGGTAAGACCAGAGAAGGCCACAACCAAAGTTCGGGTTGTTTTTGACGGCTCAGCTCAGCAAAACAGAAAGAGCTTGAACAGTGAATCATAAAGTGATATTGTATGTGGACGTTTTAGTTAAGTTTAGAAAGGAGCCAGTTGCCTTGGCTGGCGATGTTAGCCAAATGTATCACCAGATCCTTGCAGACCAGTGGACAGGAACCTTCATAGATTCTTGTACAAGTCCTTGGGCAGTGAGGATACAGCAAAGGTTTATGATTTTAAGAGGTTTGTTTTTAGAGGGTGTCACTGTTCATTTTGCGTCCAGTTTGCTTGCCAGACTTCACAAGGAGAATTACCCATTGGCAGCTAATGCAGTTCTAGAACACTGTTACATGGACGATCTGATGCCATTGGCACCTACGGTGGATGAGGCGAAAGAAACAACAAATCAGCTTACCGAACTGGACGACTCTGCTGGTTCTCACATCCGCAAATGGATCTCAAATGAACCGGATGTAATTGCTGACGTTGCGGAAGAAGAAAGGGCTTCTGATGTAGACTTAGAAAAGAGAGCATTACCAACAACTAAGACCCTGGGTGTCCTGTGGGTCGCAACAGGTTATTAAATTTCCTTTAGACACTTATTACAGTTAGATGGATTCGAATTCACCAAGAGGAATGTTTTGAAGCGAACAGAAACATTTTACGACCCATTAGGCTTCTTATCACCTTATGTAATAAGGTCGAAGTTGCCAATTCCAAAGGCTTGGTTGGGAGCACGGGATTGGGATGAACTGTTGCCGTCACATCATCAGCGAGAATGGACAAAGTGGTTTCGAGAATTGGAAGACCTTGAACTTGTAAAAATCCCAAGGTGTTTGAAAGACCCAAGTCCTAAGGTGGAAGAACTGAGCGTTCATACATCCAGTGACGCGTCAGAGAACCCATATGCAGCGGTAGTTTACGCACATCATGTTTATGAGGGTGAGAGCATTACTGCTCAACTGATTATGTCGAAGTCTAGGCTTGCATCATTGAAAGCAGTGAGCATCCCCAGATTAGAGCTTCTAGGAGCACTCATCAGATTACGATTTACAAGACAAGTTTGCTCTGCAATGAAGACACCTACAAATGGAGTGACCTATTTGGTGGACATTATGAATGTGGGGTACTGGATCCAAGGTCAGAGCAGAGAGTATTATAAAAGCCGTTCATGGCCCATCGTTGGTCAGAGTAGAGAGTATAAGCCGTTCATAGCCCATCGTGTTGGGGAAATTCATGAGTTCTCTGCTCCTAATCAATGTCGCTATGTTCCTTGTTACTTTGGAACAAGAGGCCTGACAGTGAAAGAATTAGTACAGACCGACTTACGGTGGAATGGGCTCGAATTTCTGAAGAGGTCAAAACAAGACTGGCCAGAGTGCAAGTTTGACAAGCCAACTTCAACACAGAACCTTCAACTTACAGGAGCAAAAGAAACAGGAACAAAGGAGGCTACCACTTACCAAATAACTAAAGAAGGTGGAGAAACTGCTAATGTTGAAGACGTGTGGCGATTGGACCCCTTAAGATACTCGAAATGGTGCCGAGTCAAAACGAAAGGAGAATTGGAAATTGGGTGTGTTGATTTACAGACAGTTGTAGGAAACCAGCTGAGCAGAGAGAGAAAGGTGAACTGAAGCCATTGGAGCTTCAAAACGCTGAAGAATTTATCATTCGGGAGGTTCAGTCTAAAGTGTACTCAGCAAAGATAGAGCCATTGACAATGAACAAGGAAATGCAAGGAGGAAGTACATTGGCACCGTTCAATCCAGCATTAGTAAATGGCATTTTGAGGTCCAACACCAGACTACAAGTACGACATGCGGACGATCTCACATATGATGAAAAGTGTCCAATCATCGTGCCTAAGAGGAATCACGTCACACGACTGATCGTCAAGTACTACCACGAACTAGAGGGTCATCAGATGGGGCTCAACTATACAATTAATCATGTACATGAGAAATACTTGGTGGTCCATGTTCGTGAACAAGTAAAAAGAGTCACGAGAGAATATTTTGAGTGTGCGAGACGATTTAGATCAAAGCTAGTTCACCAGCAAGTGGCGCCGTTATTAAAGATTAGACTGCAGCAATCCTCCAGATCTTTCGAGAGCTGTGCAGTTGACTATGGAGGACCTTTTTTAACCAAACAAGGACTTGAAAGAGTGCGAGCTACGCGCTATTTGTGTTTGTTCCTCTGTTCGAAACCCCATTGTTGCCACTTAGAGATGGCGTCGTCTTTCGACATTGATACATTTCTTAACGCGTTTGTCGGATTGACTGGGCAGAGAACGAACTTGAGCGCATCGAGGGAACTGCAAGGTCTGGTCGCTGCTATGGACCAAGACAAGATACAACGGATGATCTCCAATAAGGGAATGAGTTGGAAATGGAATCCACCTGCTCCGCCACATTTTGGCAGACCCTTTGAACCTATGATCAAGTTAGCAAAGCGAGCTATCTTTGTAGTAACCAGTGATACAGAAGTTAATGATGAGCAGTTGTAGACAATCTGCCCCGGGGGAGAAGGTCTGTTGAATTCGAGACCTTTAACAGGTGTGAGTGACGACCCTAACGGCGACCGCGTCTTGACTCCAAACCACTTTCTGATGGGACAGATGGGAGGCGATTTTGTACCGGAGAGTGTGGACACCGAGCCATTCAACCTCCGAAAGTGCTGGAGAAGAGTTCAAGGCTTCACAAGACATGTGTGCAAACGATGGATGAAAGAATTCTTACCACAGATCGGATCAAGACAGAGAAGGTACTTCCGTAATGACAATTTGCAGGTTGGAGATGTTGTCGTTGTTATTGATCCCGGTATAGTGCGGTAACAGTGGGATGCTAGGCGCATCGAGCAGACATACCCTGGCCCTGACGGCCATGTGCGAGTGGTGGACGCATGAGTTAATGGCGAGACTCTAAAGCGACCAAAAACTAGAATCTTTCTGCTGGAGATTAGAGACACCAAAGCGTACTCAGATTAATGTGTAACAAGAACAGTTCGGAGAAATATGACCTTTAAGCTAAGGATGATTTGCAGTTAAAATGTATTGCAATTTCAACTTCCCTGTAATTCAGGAGAGGAAGAAATGTTATAGACATTTAGAGAGTTACGCCATGATATCACGTGATTATATCATGTGACATTATTGTAGGACTCGCACTTGTAGAGTTTAGACTTTTGGAACTTGACTCGAGATTCGAATACAATCAACAACTCCTTAAATACAGTGGAACCCCGCTATAACGAAGACCCCGTTATAACGAAAACCATCTGAAAGCCCGGCAGAATTACAGTAAAACAGGTGGAAACGAACTCCGCTATAACGAATAGATTTTGACGGTCTCAACGCACATTTACCCCGCTGTGACGAACATTTGTCCGGTCGCTCGCAGCAGTCAGCGAAAAAGACAGATTTGAGTAGAAATCACAGCTTGTTTTTTTATTGAAAGTGTTTTTGAATTTGATGTCTTGATTGTCAGCGCTTTACACTCACAGTTTACAGTATCAAATGAATAAAAATGATGTTTTCTGCGTGCAGTATTGAATTCTTGGTAATTGTCATTTATTAAAATACCCCGCTATAACGAATATTTTTGCTGTTAACCAGATAATTCGTTATAACGGGGTCTTCGCTATAACGAACACCCCACTATAAGGAACAATTTTTTCGGTACCGTGGCACTTCGTTATAGCGGGGATTCCACTGTAATTGGCCCATGGGTGTCCGACGGTTAATTTTTAATTAATATTATAACTATATTAATATATGATTTTATTATCATAATACCTGAGTTAATCATCATCATCATCATCGCCTTCATGGTTATCATCATTATCAATATAAGCTAAATTAATATTCATTTTTATTGTGGCACAATTGCTTATAAAATTTATTTTAATTTGTTTACTTCATTTCAATTACTGTTGATGTTAATTCCCAGTACTTGATGGTTTATCTCTAAGCACATGAATAGATGATCAATAAAAAATTACTTGGTACATTACTCCAAGCTCACTTAGCAAACAGAATTTCACACTTTATTAAAGTAAAATGTTAGGTCACATTCGTTTAGGGCCATCATGATCAATGCACAAATGTTTTAGCCTGTACCGTAAACAACTTGCCAGAATAACAAATGAACTTATTTTACTATTTGTGTTAATCAAGGATGACATTTTGAATGAGGATTATCTCAGTTAAAAGTTTTACTGTCACAATAATGAAATTTCCTGTTGTTTGAACATATGAAAGATAAACATGTTCTAGCTGCATGCAACCATGGCTATAAGATGTTTGGCTGCCTCTCACTTTTCTTTCTTAATAACAGTATATAGAATATTGTAACTAAAACACTCACATAGTTATCAAGAATATCTGGATTGGTCCACTCCACACCTAGAACAAAGAGAATTTTTTTTCCTTTTTTAATACATTATTAATAAGGCCAAGCTAATGGATTGTTCCCTGCCCTCCCTAAGTGTTACACCTTAATGTGCAGTAGTGGGGAAGATTGTGTGCCTTGATGACCCTGGAAGCTACTCAAGTTGGGACCTCGGTTCCTGGTGGCTTCAGCCGTGCTGGACAGGTTTTGGGTTAAAGACAAGACGAATTGCAACACCCAGCCCCCCAGGTCGGGGATTGAGTCATGGATTAATGTTCCATCCCGTAAAAAAAAATTAATAATTACTACTCAAAGCAGACACACTTTGATCAAGACGGCAGTTAGGTTGGAGGAAAAGGGTGGAGGCCTTTAATATGGGCAATGGAGCATGAAGAGGCAAGGTACAGTAAGTAATGTTCTCTGCACTACTCTGTATTAACAATGTTACAAAGAAAATGGATACCCTAATACTTTTATTTTTTTCCTATTGCTAACAGAGCAATTAGGAGTACAACCAACTTGTAAAAACACTTAATTTTTATGGTTTGAAAGAAAGAGGAAAGTTATTTCCTTCAACCAGTGGCATAATGACACATATATCCGAAAGCAAGTCATTTACAAAAACTAAAAATTGGCAGAAAGGGCAGAAAATTATTAGTAAATTGCTATAATGAAAAAAAAATTATATTACTGACCATCATCGATCACTGAAACAACTACTCCACTTCCTGTAATATTGCTTTCCCAGACGCCAGTAACATTGATGTCATGTCCAATGAACCTCAAATTGTCCTGTCATAATATTAAGCAATTAATTAGAAGAATGACTTTATGTACATGTATGCAACTTAACAGGTAAGGGAGGCATTACAGTTTGAAACAACAAAAGAACTTCACCCCTAGCAAAATTTTATCTTGAAAAATGACCATTATTACTAAATAACTTATCACAGTAACAGTTAGTAATTACTAGTAGTTGGTTTCATAAATAATCATAGTTGTACATGTAAGCTGGTTCTATAGAAGAGTGTGACCCCATTAATACAGCCACCCAAGGCTCATGAAAATTTGGTTTTTAAGTGGTTATATTAAAAGAAATTGCATTATGTTATGGTACTAAAATATTTTAAACAACTATATAATAATAAATAAAATTGTATTCAGACTATCATTCTGCTGGCTATCTGGCACATAACAGCTTTGCCTGAATGCTCATTTTCATGTACATGTATACTTTACAAATATTTGTCAATTATTTGTAAGTGTTTGTCTCATTTTCCAATAACTTTGTCTCAACAGGAAGTTTGCAGGTCATGTTACAGTCAAACCAGGTCAAACGTTCCCGTCGCTGACGAACTAATGAATTCATTCACGGAAAAATGATTTTGTTTGTTGATTCAATAATCCATTCATAAAATGAACAATCCAATAGTCATATTTAGCCTCGATTCCATAATCGAATGTTGATTCGATTACTGTTTTTTGAAAAATTACACTTTCCACAAGTTGACCTCAGAATTTTGTTTTTTCCTCTTTTTTTTCTGAGAGTCGAGTGCTGGCGAGTTCTGAAGTTCAAACCCAAACAAACTGTTACATGTACACCAGTTTGCTGCCAATAATCAGTGCAACAGACCTAGGCCTGACCTCTTAGAAAACACGACGGTCAAACTGAGGTCAGTGTATGTGCGGTGATTGGTGGATTTCGATCCTCGGCCTTTGTCAGTTTCTTTGCGTTTGCGGTTTGTCTATTCTAGCTGTTATTTTGATTAAAGGCAATGAAAAACGCAATCGTAAACGGCAGGAAAAGGGAAGCAAATACGATTGAACACAACGGACAAGAATAAAGAAAAGGTAGATTTTGTTCATAAACCAAATCAACATTTGATTATTGAATCGAGGTACAATTTGACCGTTGGATTATTCATTTTATGAATGGATTATTGAATCAACAAACGAAATCATTTTTCCATTAATGAATTCATTAGTTTGTTAGCGACGGGAACGCTTGACCTGGTTTGACTGTAATGAAGGTACAACTGCACAGACAAGTAGAACTGGGAACTCCAAATGGTAGTCATAATAACAGGATGGTCGATCATATCAACAAGGTTTTCTAAAATAGCATATTAAAATTAGGTAAACTGTAACTTTTCAGCCGTATCTCTCAAAAGTAGCAATTACAATGGCCGTCAAAATTTAGAAGGATTTGTACAAGAAACAACTTTTGCCACCTAGTCATGTTTGAAAGGTTCTCCATACAAATCCTTGTAAATTTCGAAATTTTCAAACTGTTGTGAAATATCTCCTTAAATACTATGGGGCTCAAATCTCCTTTTAACTCATAACAGCCACTTTGAACCCTTAAAAGCTTAAGGGAAAGATTTAACGACGGTTTAAAAATTTCAGAATTTACAAGGAGTTGAGTGGAAAACAATTTAAGCGTGACTGGGTGGCAAGAGTTGTTTTTCTCATTCAATACCTTCTAATTTTTGGCGGCCATTGCAATCGCTACTTTTGAGATATACGAGGTCCTTCCAGGGTAAATTCCGACAAGCGACTTGGCCCATAAAGTACCGACAGCACGTAAAATGAAATCACAACAAGAGACAACCTACCTCGGCCAAATTGCGACAGTGACCGCAAAGGCGACAATAAGCGACAAGCGTTTATAAACACCGACACGAGACGATTTAAAATTCAGACAGGCGACATGGGACCCCCCCTGGCAGGGCCTTATATACGGCTGACAATTTACTGGCAACCTTATTTAAATAAGCTCTTTCAGCTCGTGCTAACTAAATTTTTTAAAAGCAAACTGCTTTAGTGTTTACCGAAAGTTGATCATGTGTTCGACTATGGGCAAAAGGCCTATTGCAGTAAGTTAACATGGTAATAGCTCAACCCATTGAATGAATCAGCTCTTATAAATTGTTTTCAGTATCCTTTCTGGGTAGGATCATGCGTTAACAGTTAGTTGAATACGCTTAATTGTACAGAAGGGTTCTCTGAAATATAATGTTATTCAAATATTAACTATATTAACCAGTATTCAATGATCTGAGAATAGACGTCATAATAATGATTTATTTTTGACAGGAAATCAGGTGAACTTGAGGAACAAGAAAAAGGACCAGAAAATCATGTCATGAATATCTGTTTCTAAATTCTGTGCTCTAGTTTCACATGATATGCACCAATCAGGAAATTCATAGAGAAAATCAAGCATACATGGTTATGAAAATGGTATTAGGCACCAGCCTGCTATGCCCAATAACGCCTCACTCAGCTAATTTGGGCCCAAAAAGGCATCACACTGATAACTTGGGATCCATTGCACATCATGGAAACCCTTTTTGCCACCCTGTATATAGTGTTCTTTATTTTGGTTAATTTTAAGAAGCAAAATTACACGTAGAATCAGATTGATCATTTGCTCTTACTTTTCATATTGTTACTGCAAAGTCAAACTGCCAGATCTTTTCATTACACCTCATAAAAAGTGGTCCTGTCTTCTTTAATTTATCCTGCTACGGGTTCAAGTCATGAATTTCTTTTGTTTACCATATTATATTATTATCTCTTTGGGTCACATCTCAGTTAATATATTGTGGCATATATAAAGACCTGAACTAAAAATACTCGGTAGAATAATTAATTTTACAACAAAGTTAAGTCTACAAAAAAAAAAAACCAGTTAGGTTCAATACAACGAGAATTGTAGTTGGTTTCAATTTAAGATAGTAGAATAATAAATTATTAATTAATAATATGGAATTGAGCGACTCTAATTCTTACCAAATGCCACTGACTAGGAAAATATTGATCTTTAAACTGAAGGCTTCGCTTGTGACGCATCCGTACAACTTCCTGCCTTGACCACTCAATTTTAGGATGATTTGCTAAATGTTGCGTTATAATATCTTGCATTTTACCAAGTTCTTTTATCCCGCTTTGATTGAAGAAAGTATTATGTATGAGCAGGTAGTGTCCTACAAGACCACCAATTTGGCCGCGGTTTACGAGGCCCGCCTCGTTTGCGATATGATCTGCTATTAAATCAAGCTTTGTTATGTTCAAATAATGTTCCACAGGTATTCGGATAGCCCATGATGGTGAAAAACTTGAAGAGTTCAGTCTTGTTTTACCGAGAAATCCTTCGCTGTATCTTAACCAGCCAAATGTGAAGAAGACAAAAACATACCGGTAGAAAAACATCAAAAGCCGCCATTCCGCCAGCTTAATGAGCATAACAAGTCACTAAGAAACTAGATGAGAGATTCCCTCGCATTTCAACGATGACAGCCTAGAAAACGAAGGAAAAATGTATCAGCATGCGGCGATTCCCCTGTTCTTTTTCCGCCATGTCCTCACGTACAGGTAACCAGGCCTGCCTTTGTTTGAGAGAAACCGGAAGTCATCCAAAGAATCTCAAAAGAGTTTGTCCTCACAGACTTCTGGGTAACTTCAAATATGGCGGACGTAAACGGATGATGATATGAGATGAGGCAATTTTTTCGTCGATTTTCTTCGTACATAGCGATGAGTTCCTACGAAGTAAAGCACAATGTGAAAGGACGTGAATTTTTTATAGCCCTCGATAAAGGTTTGTCCATCTGTTCTTTTTAACGGTTACGAGTTCACCGGCATATGAGTTTTTTAGTTAACCAGGGGCCCGTATTAAAACGTGGTTTATGTTTGCCGTGTTTACATTTAAGATCGAGGTTTCAATAGTTTTAAAACTGATACAAAAAAATCATGTATCGGTTAAATCAAAGCACGAATCAGCGTACCCCACACATGCACTCTCCCCTCTTGCCAAAAAGCAGCATCATGTAACAAGTAAAGGATTACACAAGCTTTTCTCTGTCTGCAGACTCGCATTCAAGAGCACAAAAAAGCTACATCAAAAGAGTAATATGGCCCCTTTCTTGATTTTCTTGAGGTGGTGGTGGGGGGAAGGGTAGGGAGTTAGGAGTGGGGCCGGGCATTTGATTATGAGCATCCTGATGGAAGCCTTCCACTAGGTTTTTTTAGGCAAGGCTTTGCTCTAAGAAAAAATAAAGGGAGCCCAGTGCTCTGAACATGTGAAATCCAGGATGCCCAGTATATGATTTCTATGGGAAAACTAAGATTTTCTAGTTGCTTTGGAGCAAAAGCTAGATGCCAGGGGCCACCAGGCACTGCTAAAGCACAGCTTTGCTTTAAGTGGTCGCAAATTCAACATTTCTTTTGCCTTTACAAACATTCTCCCACACCCTCTAAAGTCTTATGTGAAACGCACATGAGGAAAGTGCATTTCATTGAGAAATGGTGCCTAATGAAAATGAAAAGCATCAGCCGTAAAATGGGGGTGGGGTGTCCCATGACTATCTGCATGCTCACGAAGGATGCTGAAGCATGTTGCGTCCTTCTTCTCTCTGAATGAAGTGTTAGCTTATTGTTTCCATGATTCAAAGATAATTTAACTAAAGCAAATCAATACCTTGTCTTCTGACAAGATGACTTATTAGGAACTGCAGTTACTCAAAATGTAAATTATTTTGACTTTATAAAATATTTTAAGGATTTAAGCCATTGGAATGTATAAAATGTAAGAGAGGAACGACTTTTCTATTTTTTTTTTGTTTCATTTTATTTAATTTGTATGAAAGCATCATTCTTTCATGTGAATTTTTTGGCATTCAGAAGGAAAAAAACTTCAAAGAAATGTTTCATTTACAATCACTGCAATAAGTATCTATTTTGCATCACTCACACTTAGATGCAAATCACCCTTCCAAAACAATCAAGATGTTTCACCAATGTCAACCTACAAATAATAGGATACATTTGATTGACAGAATACTTTGCTTTTAGTATTGATATGTTTCAATAGGCGCAATTCTGTGATGGCTATGAATTTCCCAACGGAATATCAAAGCAACCTGAAGTTGAATATATTACTAGACAGTGCAAAGACAGTAGAGTATCTGCACATGGCAAAATGCTCTGCTAAATTTCCTTTCATCACTTATGCAGTTTGGTATTTAAATGTGGAGAAGAAATATCATTTATACTCTAAAGAACGCCCGAGACAGATTTCTGACCATTTTCACCTTAAGTTAAGTTGGTACTTTTTTTTTTTTTTTTTTTTTGTATTTTATTTATTTATTTTTTTTTTACAGGTATAGTACAAACAACATACAGATCGAAACATACAAATATTACAAAATTTACAACAACTACCTTAATTAAAAAAAAAAAAAAAAAAAAAAAAAAAAAAAAATAGAAAAATAAATAAAAAGCTACACTGCACTACACTACAAGGCTTACATAACTTATTCGACTTGAACTTAAAATACAGAGTAATACAGGGAGTATTAGAAAAACGAAGTTTGGATAACAGCTACTGTTGTATTAATGGGAGTAACGGCTTCCATTTTTTATCATGGAAATGGATTTTGTTGTTTCTTTTCGCGATAAAACGTTCGGTTTGAAACGTTTTTTTAAATTTATCGACTAATAGTCTTACACATAAACAGTCCTTATTTAACTTACAGCGGTAAATAAAATATTTGCTTTCAAGAATGATGTAATTGACTAGAATGCTTATATTATCTGTATCTAAGATCCCAAAAAGGACATTCATGATATCAAACCTAATAGTTATATTAAAAGAATCAAGTACAGACTTTAAATCATTCCAAAACATGTTTACTTTTGTACAATGGAAAAAGAGATGTTCTATGGTCTCCAACTCCTTTTCACAAAAATCGCAGAAGGGAGAATCTACTTTTTTGAACTTAAACAGCATCTTGTTCGTGTATAAGATCCTGTTTAATATTTTATATTGGAATTCTCTTAATTTAGTATCCAATGTTGTTTTGAAGGGCAGTAGATATATCTTTTCCCAGTCCAACTGAAATGTGTGTGTGCTGAAAGTTTCGTTATATTTCTTTTGCGCTGTTGGTATACTGGATATCTTAGAAACAAAACTGTCATATAATGACTTTGATTTAAGATTTTGGAAATTGACTTTTTTCCCTTCAATACGTAACTTGAAATCAGTTTGGATTAGATCATGAGTTTTTGAAGAGATAGAGTTTTTATTTGTTTTTAATATTTTGCGCCATTCTTCAGGAAAAGCATTGAAGAGACTGAAAAGTAGAAAATGTTCAACTGGTGAAAGAGTTGAATATAATGGTTCCTTGTTCGACTTGAAACCTCCCCACGTGTCGTAGAGGTCTCCAATTTTTACAATTCCAAGATCAATCAGCCTACTGTTATAGACTGACTTTGATTCAATGCAAATGAACTGGTTGTTCCATATGACCTGATTTGCTATTTCAGAGGATGAGGAGGGGTTGTCTTCATTTAAAAGGGTCCACGCCACAATGCATTCTTTGTAAAATTCTGGAAGAGTTACCGGTAGTTTAGTGTAGTTAAAATTGCAATGAAACAAGAATTTTCCCCCTACTTTCTTAAGATAAAAATTCAGAAAAAACTTCCAGCCAGCGGGATCAATGGAGAGATATCTCTTAATACAAATTATTCTTTGGGCAGAGATCATTGACTCAATGTTGGGCATTTTCAAGCCTCCTTTATCAATAGGGTTAATAAAAGCTCTGCGCTTTACTTTATCTTTTCCCTTCCAAACAAAGGAATATAGCAAAGTATTTATTTTTTTGATAAACTCTTCTTTATTTGAAATGAGAACAACCCTGTATAAAATCTTTGGTATGGCGAAAGACTTGATCACTTGAATTTTTCCAAGTAGTGTAAGACCTCTCCAGCTCCAGCCCTTCAGCAATCCTCTCAGAGATTTCTCGATTGATTCAAAGTTAAGCTTATAAAACAGTGCGTGATTAAAGGTGAAATGAACCCCTAGGATCTTTATGGCCTTACTTATTTCATTAACACCTAGTTCTGAGCTGTTTACTTCCATATTTCCTAGTAGAAGAATTTCCGTTTTGTCGTGATTGACCTTCAATCCGGAGTATGTACTAAACAGATCGATAGTATCAAAAAGGGTGCGATGCGAAAATTTGTCCCTAACAAATGATGTCATATCATCAGCGAATATAACTAATTTGATTTCGGAACCATCCACCTCAATACCCTTAATTTGATCGTTATTACGTATGGATAATGCCAATAATTCAAGTACTATTATGAAAAGAGATGGCGAGAGTGGGTCGCCCTGGCGAACACCCCGTTTAACATTGAAAGAGGGGGTGGAAAAACCATTATTGAAAACACAACTTGATATATTATTATAAAACGTCTTGATCCACCCCAAGAAGGATTCTCCAAAGCCAAAGAACTCTGGCGATTTGTGGAGGAAGTTCCAATTTAGAGAATCGAAGGCTTTCTCAAAATCAATTGCAGTCATTATACCTTGGTAGTCTCGCATTTTAGTAAATTCCAACACATCGGTTATCGTACGAGTTGCATCAAAAATTGTTCGTCCTTTTACAAAGGCATTCTGGTCATAATGGATAATATGTGGTAGGACATTTTCTAGCCTTTTAGCGATAGCTTTTGAGCCGATTTTAACATCAACATTTACCAGAGAAATCGGTCTCCAGTTTTTAATCCATCTCCTATCTTTGTCCTTTTTCTCAATTAACGTTATCACGGCTTGCTTTTGCGAATGTGATAATTCACCATGAAAATACGCATAATTTAATGAGTCCACTAGAAATGTTCCGATTTCTGACCAGAAGAACTTGTAAAATTCTATAGTAAGCCCATCGTTTCCAGGAGTTTTATCGTTACTAAAGGTAGACAGAACCTTGAAACATTCGGAATATGTTAATTGACCCTCGCACGTTTCCCGCATTGAGTCGGTTAACTTAGGAGATGAGAGGGTATCTTCCAGAAAAGGACAAATCGAATAGTCAGTTTGTATTCCCGACTTTTCGTCATAAAGTTCAGAATAAAAACTGTGAATTTCAGTCATAATAGTGTCCGGAACAGTAGTCTCTTCTCCATTTGCTCGAATAAGTTTCCGTATGCAGCTTTTTTTCTTATTTCTGTTTTCCAGATTTAGAAAATACTTGTTGTTTCTTTCCCCTTGTTCAAACCATGTAGCACGGGAACGAATGATTGAGCCTCTTACAATGTAATCATACTCTTGTTCGTATTCTGTTTTGACCGATTCGAGGTTGGCAAGGTTTTCTTGCGTCGGTGATTCTGCTATTTTTTCCTCACATATTTTAAGCCTGTTTTCAATTGTTTGAATTCTATTTCTCCTTTCTTTAGCTTTCAGTTTGCTATACGATATACTTTCCCCTCGAATTTTGTATTTCATCCAGTCCCATTTAATTCTCGAATCATCGCAAAAATTAATTTCGTCTATCCACTTAGGAAAGTTCTCGCGTAAACGCTCAACGAAAAAAGCGTCATCCAAGAGACTGTTATTGAACTTCCAAAAAGATGGGCCACGCTGCTGATCATTTAGACTGTCAATTTCTAAAGTTATTGCATGGCGATCCGTTCTTATAGCTGTCACTATGTCGACTTTAGCTACGTCATCTTGTAATAGGTCACTAATGAGCCAATAATCAAGGCGTCTTTGAATAATTGGGCTTTTTTGTCTCCAAGAAAATTTCTTGCTATTAGGATTACGGATTCTCCAGATGTCAACTAAATCATAATTCAGCATAATGTCCTCCACACACTTAACTGAGTCTTTTAACACAGGGTTTCCACCCGAACAATCTAGGTCTGGGTCCATAGTTACGTTCCAATCCCCTCCTAATATAATTTTGTAGTCAAAATCATTGTATCCCTCATCATAGATAAGCTCAGACAATGTTTGGAAGAACAACGATTGCTTAGTGGTGGTATTGGGAGCGTAAATATTTATCAGAAGGAATGGAACATCTTGAATAGTTGTCTCTAAAATGAGGTACCTCCCATCCTCATCCGATCGAATTGATTTCAATTTGAAGTCAAAGGATTTGCGTATAAGGATGGCGACCCCACGACTATGGTTAGAGCCATGAACAAAGTAAATGTCCCCGGACCACTGCTTTTTCCATTGATTTTCAATCTCTTCAGTGCTGTAAGTTTCCTGCAGAAAGCAGATGTCTGAATTTTGCTTGTATAGCCAGTTGAAAATGGACTTACGTTTTTCAAAAGAACGGATACCCCGAACGTTCAGCGAAAGAGTTTTAAACTTTAAGTTGTTGAAATCCATTGAAATTTGCATACGTGTAGTGGAAAAAAGACAACAACAGTAGCTGTTATTCCCAGAAGGGTCACTGTTACTCGAACAATTAACGCATTCGTTAAGTTGGTACTGACAATATACGGTAATTGCTGCGGAGCGACCGAAGGGAGCGAGCAGCAACATAATCAGGATTTAAAGGAAATATATAAGGGGAGACAAATTCTCGAATTCATCACTTTTTACCACAATGCATTGCATTTAACCACACTTTTTCCCACAATGCATTGCATTTAACCAGAGTGCATTGCGCCACGCTGAAATATAAACACGGGGAAGTTCGGTGGGTGAGAGAGTGGATCGTTCGCTGCTCAGACTTAGAGTTTTCTTTGTGGCAAATTTTCTACAGCACGCAGGAGTCTTTCAGATGAGTACGATGGTTAACTTGGGGATTGGATTTCAATTCAAGAGCCTTTTTGACTCGTCCAGGTGTTAAACCTGACGAGAAGATGAGCATTTGCTCTTCGACTCCGCAACACAGGAGATATACAAATTCCAGCTTGCTAGTAGGTGATGTGAAAGAAATGTGATGAGAAAATGTCATGCAATGCTATTCTTAAGAAACTGTATGAGCCGAAAATGGATGTGATTTTGACCATTCGCTTCAAAATAACAGCGGAAATCGAGATAACAAACATATGTTTTGTGTCCTACTTTGCAGACGAGGACGTTTATCGGCATTTTGAAAAGCATAATTATGTTCTTTCATTCATTTATTGCCATGGAATATGCGTTTACATTGTTTTTTCACTGTTAATAGCTCGGTTAATGCGGCTAGCGATCGTCTTGCCGGTGGAAGTTTCATGGAAAAGGAATAAAATGAAAGACTTTTCCTTAAAATTACGTAATCAGTCTCTGTGGTGTAGTGGTTAGGAGTAGTCGCGGCAAGTCGAAGGTGCTGGGTTCGAGTCCTACTGAATTATTTATTCCTTCTTTCTTTTTTTTTTCCGTTTTTTTGTGTTGTTGTTTTCTATAAATATATAGCTAAATAACTTAAGAAAAGTATTGTGTTTCTAGAGAAAATATCGTGCACCGTATATTAAATATATGGATAAACGATCTGAATTTCTATTATTTCCTACAATTTATTGTGGGAAAACCAGAGTTGATAACCAGTTCTTTATATAGACTGATAGTAATTATTCTAGTACTTTCCAACATGTAAATAGGACATTCAATGTTATTTTTGATTCTTTTAAGTCTCACGGCCTAACTAATGTACATGCCAGTATCAACAGAATGCGCCGCAGCGTTACTCTCTTTTAGATACCCTAGTGTTAATGTTCTAAATGATAATTGTGCATTTTTTATCTTAGGAAAGGCTGTATTGTTGTATGAAAATGAAGGACACAATACCATAAATATGTATCACACCCAAGTACCCACTGAATTGAGAGGACGTGGAATCGCTGGACAGTTGGCTAAAGTAAGTAGTGTTCTAAAGCTCCAGGCTGTAATCAAAGAAACCTTGGGACAGACTCCTTTTATTCAGAGGAGTTTTGAAATAGTTTTATAGATTATGGTAAAGTTATTTTTCCTTTCTCATTTCTGAGGGGAAAGCAGACAGTATGACATTTTTCCACCTTTAAAAACATTTGCCAGTCACTTTCTGTTACGAAAAGTTGTCTTGCGAGAGTAGTGTGACATTGTAGAAGCTTCTTGAAAGTTCATAGTTGGTTTATTTTAGTACCTTGTATAAGCATTTCTAAAGCGGTATATTTTGTAATCTTTCTATAACTGGACTATTTGCAAAGTTCTAATTTTATTGTGAAAGTATATAAGTAGACGAGTCCAAGCGAGGTTTTAACTAGTTTTCACAAGCGAAAAGAGTTAAAAGTTGGTTGTGTTTAGTAAAGTGTGGCTGAAACAGTGTTTATTCAAGTTGGCGGAGACCATTTAAGTTTCTCAAGTTATGTGCAGTTGTAGAGTTGTACTTACTGGAAACTACTTTCCTATTTGGCAGGAATAAATTTTCTTGTTGCTGTTCCGACACCCTGCGTTCAGTTTAGTTTGCAAGCTACCCCTCCTCTTAAAGATTACTCATGTAACGCTTTCCCATTTACTTAAGGCTTATACTAATGACATCAACATTATTATTTTGCTTTAGGCAGCTCTGGATTATGCTGTAAATGAAGATGCCAAGGTCAAATTGACATGTACATATTTGCAGAAATACGTAAATGACCATCCTTCTCCAGACTACACATCTCGCGTTGTAGCACCTTAACATACATGTATAATTTAACTTTGGAGATACAACTTTGGATGAACTGTTAAAAATGGCAAAATGTTCCTTGCTTTAAGACTTTAATTTGCGTACTACTTTGTACAGGCTTGATATAAATTTAATATGTTGCTGAACTGTTAGCACCCTTCAAACTTGATTGTTGGCATTTGAACCTTTGGTCGGCTCACATGACCATTCTGAGCACCAGATTTGGCCATACGTTTGCCTTTCCCTCTCGTTTAGGAAGCCAAAAACCACCATTTGTGGTTCAATGATCATGTATGCTTGAGGAAGAACTTTTCAGCGCATGGCTTTCAACAACAACAACAACATCTTTCCCTGAAACACGATAATTTTACAGCGTAGCTGATGTAGTCGTGTATATGACTCAAACTGAATAAATAGGAGCAACGAAAAGAGACTAAAAACATTTACCCAGCTGACTTGGGAAGAAATAATTTACATTACAGGTTTCTATCTACAGTTTTCAGTTTACAATGTGTCAATTTTTACATTTTTATTCACAATATCTAATTACTATTTACAATAATTACATCTAGGTTAACCTTTGCTTTGCCCTGATCTCAACTCTCTACCACAGGCTCAGTAGTAGAAACTGTTCCAGGTTGAACAGGAAGGAAATGCATGGATCTTAGAACATTTTTGGGAAATTGCCCACTTACCCCCCCTCCCCCCCCCCAGCCAACATTAACACTTACTTCTCACTTAAGACAAAATTCTGGCTTAGGGGAAGGGTCGGTGGGCAGTTTCCCAGAAACGTATAATGATCCGCAATTTTTCAGTGTATGACTTGATTAGCTCAATCACATGAGTGTCATATTTGAGTTCATTATTCAACTCAACACCTAAGCATCTGGGAGATGCAACTTGCTTTACGGTATTACCGTAAAATTCCGAAAATAAGCCCTGGGGCTTATATTTTTCAAAGGCCCTTTTTGAGGGGCTTATCTGCAGAGGGAAATTTGCGTTTCAAAATCAATTGGGCAAGCCTTATAGTTAGAAGGAAACTTACGGTTTTTGCTTCTTTCTTTGCATTTGAGGGCAATTTTCCAAGCACAAGACATTTGGAGGGGCGATTTAACAAAGGGTTTTTGTGTTACCGGGTCAGGGGGCTTATATTTGGAGGGGCTTATACATAGAGGGGCTTATTTTTGGAATTTTACAGTACCTCCAAGTTTCTGCAGAACCAATCATACAACTTTTCCAGGATAGTGTTTAGCTTCTCTGCTTCCTTGTCAAGCGAGGCTACAGTTGCGTATAAAGTGTCCTCCGCATAAATTTGTAAGACACCTTCACCTTCAGCTATGTGAAGAAAAGTGAAAATAGTGTAGGACCCACCACCAATCCTTGAGGAACCCCATACTTCATAAACTTCCTCTCTAATTTGTAGCCATTAACAACTGTTGCCTGAGAACGGTATGTCATGTAGTCTCTAATCCATGACCATAGGCCTTGTACCTTTTGTAAGAGGAGAGAATGAGATACGGTATCAAAGGCCTTCTGAAAGTCTTCAAATACCACACCTACTAAGAGACTGTTATCAAGTGCTTGCCTCCAATCTTCAGTCATCCCGATTAGCAGACGTTCAGTTGAATGGCCTTTCTTGTACGTCCATTGATTGATTGCTCGGGTCATTTTCACGAAGATGTGATGTAACTGTAGCGGCGATACAAGACCCCATGATCTTACCACGCACACAGAGAAGTGAGATGGGGCGGTAATTCAGTTTATCTGTTTCATCATTGCTCTTGTATAATGAGAAGACGTTAGGATTAAAAGAACGGTTCTTGGATGACGCGCTTGAGGTAAAGACTGACAGTAGAGATGGGACGAGAGCGTTTCCTGCCAGCTTAAGCAACCTGGGACGGGTGTGACTCCATCGGGACCACTCGACATGTCGGGTTGCAGTTTCTTCAACGCTTTTTGGATGATGTCTGGTGTTATCTCCATGTGCATGATAGTGGGTGTTACTATAGTGGCGTACGTTTTCAGGTCTACATTGAAGATGGTTAGTTCCCTTGCAAGCTTTTATCCAGTGGTGGAAAAGTGTTCATTTAGGATGTCTGGTTTCCCTCGGTCAGATGTTACCAGAACTCCCTCACGATTCCTGAGTCCAGGGGTTGTAACAGGTTGCTTTTTTAATAAGCTTCCAATAGGATTTAAAGTCCTTGACTTGGTCAAACAGATCAGAGTAGTATGAGCACTTCGCTCTTCTGACTTCCTCTGTAACCCAATTTCTCAATCCTCGATATTGGGTTCAGAGTTCATCATTCTTGGTCTTCTGTGCTTTCAACAGGGTTTTATACCGCAGATTCATCAGGTGGCGTATCTGAGGCGTGACCCAGGAAAGGGACTGGCTTCTTATCTTCACTTATCTTCTCGGTGCGTGCCTGTCACAGTCTCAATGTCTTTGAATATGGTCACCTATGCCCAATAACTGTCATCAGGATCATCAAAAACAGAACACACAGACCACGGCGCGTTTCCCATATCACGGATAAATTTTAACTGATTAAACCTTTTTAAGGTGCGACCTTAAACAAATTTGGCGGGGGCGTCTCCTAAGCTTTGTCTGCAAACAGCCATATACCAAATATTTTTCTTTTTAAAGGAAGGTAAAGTTCTATTCTTCGTAGTAAATGGGTATCACGTTCCATTTCGAGAAAGTTCCCGCAAAAGTTAGAAAAACAATGATTAACAGCGATAAGATTTAGAGAAACCAGGGCTAAAACACCAAACACCGTAAGGTTTAAAAATGCGATTCATATATCCACCCTGTGCACAAAGAAAAAAGTTTTGTTGAAAGAAGCTTTAATTGCGAATGCATGGCGTAAATGAAAGCAAAATCAACATCAACAAAGTGTTATTAAGTATGGTATAGAAAATGAAAGTTTTCTTTTCGACATTGACCAACGGTTCGCATGGTTAAGTTGTCCTTTGTCAAGCGATCAATGTAACTTGAACTTCTGAGTAAACGAAGAGGATGATGAACTACATGGACGTTACTAAGCTATGACCATGTAGAAATTTTATTTCTAAGGACAGGTTTCAGGTAACCAACGTCTACATGAAGGTTTTTAAACATTCCCAGAAATGGCCTTGAACAGCGTGATCCCACGGATAGTCAAGAACTGTTTTTTCCCAACCGACCGACCCACTTTGAAGGAACCAAGAGCGCTGGGAAACGAAATCCTTTATCGGCATGGCGTAGCTACTGGGCCTCAACTACGTTTTCATGTTCGGGGTGTTGCAAGGAGACAGAAAAGTAAGAGGGAAATTACTGTTATACAAACAAGAAAAATGAAACTGTTGGTTTTAAAAACTGACCTTAACGTTTTATATCTTTCGGTAGTCACACAACCCCGGAATTTTTAAGATGGTTTGCATTCGAAAAATGTTTCACCAGTTGTTCTGGAGGTTGAAAGTGCTAGAAAAAAAGTTGAATTCCACTTTAAATGTTCTTCAACTTAACCTTAAGCATGGGGATATAGCCTGCAAATACATGCGTTTCTCCTTGCTCCTCGCCGCAAGAGACGTTTCGCGTGGGAGACGTTTGCGATACGGCCGGGAAACGTCACTAGTGGCGTTAGGTTATATGGGAATATTGCCATTATAATAGTAATGAAAACCATGAAAAATATCTACGTACTATGCTAACGTAAAAAGGAACTAAGAGGAGTCCCTCATCAGACTAGAGGGCTGTGTTACAGATGTAAATCTCGAGAAAATGAATTATTATTAAAGCAGTTTAAACGATAAGAACAGCAAAAGGAGCGTACGAATTAAGCTTTATTTGCCCTTCCAAACCGTCTCCTCCCCATTCTCCAAACGGCTTCGCAGCTCCTCTGCCAAAACTTTGCTCGCGCGAAAGATCCCGCCGGCTACGCAGTCAGTCATAACAGTATAAACAAAAACGCAAAATCAGCAATCCGTTTCCAAGTTATAGATCAGCAACTGCGGTGAGATGCTCAAACATCGCAGAAAGTTATGAAACTGCTTCACACACCGAAGCCAACTCAATGACTATATTTTAATGCTTCCTTTTCAAAATGATATCTTGTATTTTTCTAGCATTCCATCTATTAAAACAACGTTATAAATTATCTATATTTTTGATATGTATAGGGACATGTTCTAACATTCGTACTATGGTTTGATAACTTGATAAATAGACCATATAGGCTTCATATGGACAGACTCGTCTGCCCTGACTATTTCACTCACCATTTCATTTTCAGATAAAACTTTCAAATAATAATATCGTCTTATATGATTGCCGTTAAATTTTCTAATACCGTAAAATCCCGAAAATAAGCACTGGGACTTATATTTTTCAAAGGCCCTTTTTGATGGGCTTATTCTTGGAGGGGCTTATATTCGGAGGGGCTTATCTACAGAGGGAAATTTGCGTTTCAAAATCGATTGGGATAGCCTTAAAGTTGGAAGTAAATTTACCGTTTTTGCTTTGTTTTACTTTGTATTTGAGGGTAATTTTCCAAGTACAAGCCCTTGGGGGGCTTATATTTGGAGGGGCGATTTAACGGAGGGCTTTTTGCGTTACCAGTTTGGGGGGCTTATTTTTGGAGGGGCTTATCCAGGGAGGGGCTTATTTTCGCAATTTTACGGTATTCTGTTATTTAGAGCGACTACGTCACGCTATTTTAGGGAACTGTCTTTCGTTAGTAAACATCAAATTGGAAAATGTCAATGTACGTTTCAGTGAAAAATCACGTCCGCAGAACAACGATATGATTTTCAGCAATATACAAGAAACTTTCACTTTCAAAAACTCCTGAAACTTAAAAAGGTCGGACCAGCATTTTCAGTTTTTCATTAACGTTTTCGAATTCTCTACTGACTTGAATTCCAACAGTCACGTCTTTTAAAGGGACAGGTTCACGGTTAAGCGCATGCTTATTAATCAAATTAAGTTTTTGCGATTTATTATTAATTCTATCGGTTAATAATACATGTATCTCAGCGATCTCACAGTGTATTTCAAAGTAGAAGTGTATTTCAGAGTAACCTGACGTAGCATGGAGGACTACCAAAATCGCAGAAAAAAATCAGCGGATTATGCCAACACTACCAACGTTGAATTTATTGTTGACCCGACGGTTTTATTCCATGGTTGATTAATTTACAACTATTTGCAAATATTTAAGTTGATCAAGTGCAAGTGACTACCACGGGAGTGTGCAGATTGGTTCTTTGACAACATTATGACATTATCGTATTGCTTGCGTAGACGATACAGCATGTCCCGGCAACAAAACAACATTTTGGTAAATGAGCATGCACTGAACCGTGAACCTTTCCTTTTAACAGTTATTAGTGGTTGTCGTGAGACTGAAGCCACTATTTTATGCTGAAACTGCCTAAAATTTCGTAACATATAGCCCCTTCAAAAGTAGTAATTTTACTTAAGACGAAAGTGTAATACAACTTTTTTTCACAATTGGTGGCAAATTTAGGTACTCTTTTGTGTGTCTGTTTTTTTTTAATATTCATTTGTGTTAATGACAACTGGCTCTCGATGCCTAAAGTTAAAAGTTATTTTGAATTGGTGAAATCAATGCAAAGAGGGCTAATTAACGAAAATATAACGGAAAAGTAATATTGCCACCATTTTGGAAAAACGGTGTATCCTGGCTTACTATTTGCCTAAGTAGACAAAGAAAACTTAAGCACTTTACACATAATACAGTGTCTACTGAGTTAAAAACTCTATTCTGCTAGGCACAATGTTATACATACCTTATACTTGTGCAATAAATATGGCCGTGTTAACTGTATAGCATAACGCGCATCGTCAGCATAAAATTTTATCGCAAATTTTCTGACTTTGTGTGATTGTACTCATATATTCAGGTAAGATATTTACATTCGTGTATGTTGTGTTCACACCATCAACATACCTTAAAAGTGCATATGTTCTTGAACGGAGCACATTTCCTGTTAAAGTGTTTCGGTTTGAAATTTTAACGTCGCATTAGCCGTTAATCTCTTAGAATTTCCGTTATTACATTTTTTCCACATGAGTAAGAATATGATTGTAAACTCATAAAGACTTCTGGGTTGCTTCCGGGCGCTTTCCATTTACGAAAAAAAACCGGAAATTTCGGTGGTAGCAAAAGTGGAATTTCCGATCGGTAAAAAGTTTTTCCATTTGGTCGTAAACCCCGGTACGTGGCCGGGTGCCCGACCGTGGACCTGGAACTGGTACAAACTACAAGAAACGTCAATGGAACACGACATTCCGTTCGGAAATTCCAACCGGGAAAACGGGACCACCTTTTTAGATTTTCCACTTTTTCTGGGAATTTTCCAGTGGGACGAACCGACGAAACGTGTTCCATTTACAGCCGAACCGGAAATTCCGGAAATTTTGACTAAATGGAAAGCGCCCTCCGTCTATACCTGACAGAGGGATATTTTCATCAAAGAATTTAGATAATTTAGGAAACGATCTCTACATTTCTTCCACACATTAGGTCGCACACTAGGCGACTTCTTGCTTAACAACATAAATTGGTTGCTTTCTCCCCCCCCCCTCGGCCTTTATTGTCTCTTTGCAAACAGGTTTAAACTCACAAACAAACCTAAAACCGAAGACCTCCTACTTCTATACCCTGCTCTTATAATAAACATTAATTTTGTTCTAAGTTTTCTTATAAACCTATACTGATACATATATGTAATGATAACGACGCATTTTCTTCAGTACGATATTTCCAGATCCATTGTATATAACTTTATATTTATTAATCTTTGAGATATAGCATTTTTTGATCTGTATGCACCTGTATTCAACATGGAACTGGTAACAAGTACAGCTACCGTTTTTCAGAGAGAAGAGCACCTAAGGCTAATTGATCTCCTTGTAATTCCCCCATACCATGTGGGGCAATCTGATAAAGCAAAAATAGCTAAAATACTATGACATAATTTAAAAATGTACGGTAAGGATAAAACAGTAAAAGAAATGAACGAGAACCTATTCTCACGAGCATAGACATAGAAATACTAATTAGACAACGTCCTCTTATCTCCATGGTGAAACTATTTGACTTTGCAGCAGTTATGAGAATTCGTTGTCCGCTCTGGGAAGTCACATGACTGTAATGTAAAGCCGTCTACAAAATCAAAATCCCCATGATCTCCATCCAACACCTAGGAATTTCAAAACGTGTATGTAAATGCCATTCGTGGCAAAGGTCAATCAGCAAAATTCACTTCATGCGGGACAAGCGAGATGAAGACGGAATTACCTTAGCCTGAGTGGCAGGGGTCAAACGCGGCGGGGGAGGGGAAGGGGTGGGGGAGAAAAAACAGCTAGTCCCTTTTTCTCTTTCCCTTTCCTCCCCTACTTATTTTGACGCCTGCCAAGCAGGCTAGAATTAGCTCCGTCGATATAGCGGTGACGTGTAGAGCGGGAGGTTGCGGGTTCGATTCCCAACCAGGGTCTAGTACACCTGTAAGATATCTGAGCGACAAGTAGCCTGCGAAAACATCCGTTTCTCCTCGCTCTTCGCCGCCGGGGACGTTTCGCGAGGAGGAACGTCTGCGACTCAGCGACAGAAATTCCATACTGATGACGTAAAATCTGTCCGGAATCCGGTCAGAAGCGCTGATTGGTCGATGGAGTAGTTACATTGTTTTAGCTATTGTTTACGAATGACAGACAAAAGACAAAAGGCCGCAAAGGTCAAATGTAAACACGAAGAATCTCTAACAAAATAGTCAATATTTATGGAATATAGTCTTCTCTAGAAGAAGCATTTGAGTTTTGCTGGAGCTCGTTGGCAGATGAACAGAACACTTTACCAAAATCGATCAGAAGACACGTGAAATTGGACAAATTTGTCTTTGGAACCCCACGACTACTGGATTTATTATGTAAACATTGGTTTGCGTCATCAGTATGGAATTTCTGTCGCTGAGTCGCAGACGTTCCTCCTCGCGAAACGTCCCCGGCGGCGAAGAGCGAGGAGAAACGGATGTTTTCGCAGGCTAAGCGACAAGGTACTGCCTTTGGCTGTTTTTAAAAACGGCTAGGCGTCAGCCATGTGGCTCGGATGACCACGTAAAAAAGGCGGTTAGGGAAAGTATGAAACGTTGTATCGGCCAGGGTGGCTCGGGTAGGCGAGTGACCCTTCTACCCAGGACAGGTTTTCTCCATATAAACGGGGTTTGGTTTCTAATCGCTTCTAATGTAGTAGAAACATTTTCGTATGAACCTTAAAAATGGTTTCAGCGGAAAGTGTTCGTTATTTGTTCTATCAGCCAATGGATGAAAAGATCAAAACATGGACTCTTCGTTTTCCCGCCAAAGAAAACCCTAATATGGAGAAGGCATTGTTCCATTGATCAATCGTGTTGCAGTATGACGTGAAGGTGAAGTATCGGTTGATTTCTAGAAAGTTCTCAGGCATGACGTTTTTTCTCCCGAGTGTTCGCTTAACCAACCAAAAGCCACTCGCGTTTGTATCCGTTCGATAAACCAATCAAATCGCTCTATTTCCGTTCGTTTGTTGTTTCTGTTTTGTTCGCGCGTTTTCATTTCAAGGTCATAGGAAAATCGCTCTATACTATACGCTGTCTTTGTGACAAACAAAGGAAGTTTTCGTGATTTCAAGGTGCGTTAACAAGCGTTTTCGTCACATATTCCGCGGCTCTTACACGATAATTCTACTTATGACAAAAGTAGTACCTTCTTTCACAAAATAGAAAGGAGAAAACTGAAACTAATTCATAAGTGGAAGGGAATTTCATAATCATCGGCTGTAGTCTTCAAAGAACATCTTTCTTATTTCACGTGCTTCAAAGAGCAATAATTTTATTTCGAGCGGTACTGGGCGTATTCAAAGATGTCAGTTATTGATAGTTTGACAGTTTAGAGAGGCATTTATTTCGGTGTTTCTTTCTTTAAATAAATACTATCTCAAAGAAACATATAGACTGCAAAACAGTCCGTATTTTTGCGTATTCAAGTACGCGCGAGCAGTCAAACAAAAGGTGTGGAACGAGGCTGAAAACAGAGAGCGAGACTGGGGAGGGACGCTAAAAGTACGGACTGTCCGTTTTGCATACGTTATATTCGTTCGAATTACCCGCTTCTCCCAGCCACGGGCAATTCCCATTGGCTAAATTTCGATGCAAGCTGTCACCAAGCTGTCAAGTAATGTTTTCTACAAGTCATTCGGGATATTCCCTACCGAAATGAATTGCTAAAGCTTTCGCCGTAAAATGATGGATCGGCCGGATATGCTCGCAAGAATTGGGATTTGTTTTAAAATCGGAGCAGAGGGAAGCTCTGGAGTTACTGCTCAGGAGAAAGGATGTTTTCTGTGTTCTACCAACAGAATTTGACAAAAGCCTCATTTATCAGATGTGTTTCATGCAAAGAGTTCGTCAAGTTCTGTTCAACGGCCGACTGTCATTGTTATCTTGCCTGGCTAAAAAAGGGGGATCGGTAGGAAACACACGACTTTCACCTCACGCAAAAATGCTGCTTGTTCCAATGGATTGTTTTCTCTGTCGAGTAGATTATGCTTTGGAGGAAAACGTTTTGACTGAGCAATCGAGAATTTTGGCCGCTTATTAAATATATTTCATACTGACAGGTCGTGACACGCATATTGATTTTCTCTGGTCGGCATGATTTGCCCTCTGATGCAAGAGCATTTTCTTTCTTGGCCCCTTTAGAAATGTAAAGCTCTTCATTGCGGCTGATTAAGGGTTTTAGGTTGTTTTATTTCTCCAAAGTGCCTCCTGGATTTGAATAATTTTAAGCGATTTTTTTTATGTCCGTGAATGTGACTATTTCCTGCAACGTTTTGTCACGCTGGGCCCAGCTCGTTAGGGTTTTTAGCAGGATTTTAAATTCTCACAGATAGTGATTTACAGAGCTAAATCACCAAGACGGGGATTGGAATGAGGGGATTTACTCATTCTTTTCAATCGCAATAATTGTTCATTGTCAGTTGGCGTGTTCAGTTCTTCTCTAATTTGCGAAAGCATCGCCGTGCAGTTTCCCGGGGTAGTTTCTAACCTTTGTTCCGCACGAGGAGAAAACTCTTGTGGAGAGAGATTCTCCTTCCTTGGGGACAACGAACTTTTCGTTTCTTTGTAGGTCGGCCCACTTTGGTAACGTTTCTCCTTTTCTGGTAGGCGCAACAAACACATTTTCCGAGCTTATCCATCCACTCGTAAAATTGCCGAACTGTGTTTTGAAACAACAGCCGCACATTCTACAATTTATCCGAAGCGCTTGGCACTTTCGGCTTTCTCCCTCTTCGAGGAGCAGGCAGGCTTTGTTGTTGTACTGCCACTTCCACTCATTTTTGATCCTCCACTATATATACTACATTTCACAGAGAAGCAACGCCAAAAAATGCTTTAGAATTACCGGATTACAGCGTCAAGATTCGAAGCCAAGAGGAGACAATAACACGCGGTATTCTCCCTCGAAATCAATCACCGAGTGTATCGATTTCATAAAGAGGGCGGGGTTGTGAACAGATTTTTGACAGCCCGACGACATTTTTGAACCCCCTGGTCGGAACGAACTCATTGTATGGAAAACGGACAGTCGGTTTTTTCTCTCACGCCTCACACGCCCTACGGGCGTGTGAGGCTAGCGCGGTTCGCGCGCATAAGACTCTTATGCCACGCGTTACCGATTTCTTTACTGATTTTGAGGAAAAAACCGACTGTTTTGCAGTCTAAGAAACATAATATACACGACTCTGGAGATAATGTGGAGGATTTTCAACTTACTAGGTTAGGGTGATTTGCATACTTCATGCTTTTCGCCAGCTCTTCAAACACCTATAGGTAAAAGTTAAGCGTAGACGTCTCATGTTTACCACTCACACGTAAATCAAGTACAAGTAGATTTCAAATCTCTAACAAATGTCCCGAAAATAACCAATTCAGCAGTCGTTGGCAATTGTCGCTTAAGCTAAGCTAGAGTCAAACATTGATGGCATGCACGTATCATACAGTAAATGTTAACAACAATTAACAATTAAATTTTACTACCAATAACGCGTGGGAGTGTTTATATCCACAGCTTTTCATCGTGTTGTCGCAGTTCTTTCTTTCTCGCGCATAACCTTCCTTTCCTCAGACGCCCTCATACTGTGGATGTATTGAGGTCGAGAAAGTTGAAATATTCGGCAACAGGGAAAACAGCCAATAAAATAGCTGGGGTAGAGGCCTTCCACTGAATGAAGGTGTTGGATCATGAAATGCCCACTTGCACCTCCCCTAACCCAACGTTGACACGAACTTCCCACTGATGTGGTGACTAGTTTCCCAAAGACTTGTACTGATTTTAGAAAATGAGGAACTGAGATTCCCACCAACCTCTCCCCTAACCCAACGTCAGCACCTCCTTCCTACTTATGGCAAAATGTTGAGTTAAAGTAGGGGTAGGTGGGTAGTTTCCCAAAGTCTTTGAAAAGTTGAATAGTAAGAGGGAAGGGTAGACTTTCTCAAAGACCGTTACCGGTTTCTGCTGTTCAGGTGTTAGGCACATGTAGTGTGCATAATTTTATATTTTTACATTTATAAGATACAGGTATATCACGTTTGCTTCGACAGAAACAGATAATCTTTTGAAAGAAAAGCTACTAATAAATGCTCTCAGAGAAATCGATTTTTTTAAATATATACGAAGCTCTCTGCATACAGGGAGTCCACTAAATATGGAGTCAGCTGAACCATTTATGAAAATAACAACTTGAAAACAAACAAACGAATACTTAATAGTTACCTCTTGAACGTTTTCTTTTGTTTTTGCACTTGTTTCATAAAACTTCAAACCCAGCTGCCTCGCAAACTGTGTGAAGAAAAAACAATATATTCCAGCACAGGTAGCCAAAGCTCTATCAGTCTATTGACCTTTGAAACGTTATCCCAGAGCGTCGAGATGACATTTCGCAAAAACGAAAATATGAGGATTTGTACGCGCAGAAAATATGCAATTCTCATGGTAAAATAAATAACGTTACAATTATTCTTTAGTTTTTCAATAAATATCGCTAACCTTAAGTCACTTGTTTGTCTTTTTTCGTTTTCTGCTGGTATCGGGTCGATTTGGGGCCATTTCATGAGGTGTCAGTTTCAACAGCTGTTATATAACTGCCATTGATAAGCAAAGGGACACTACTTCATGTGTTCGAAATTGTTGTGCAGTCTCATTGCTTAAATTCGTACCGAAACGACCGGTTTCCGTATTTGGCACATGTACTAATCTGCAATCTGACTAAGCTATAGTCTAGTCCCTCTTTAAGCAATCTGCAAGTATATACGCATAACATTTGGATCTACCACGTTACTCCCGGAATTGAATGAACATAAAGAGTTCCGCCACTTACGTTTCACACCGAGAAAACGAGGCTTTCAAGATAGTTATTACATCTTTGAGTTTAAGTAGAGAGGGCAAGGTTTCAATTCAAGCGGAACGGCTATTGACGGTTTACTCGGGCCAAATCCTATCCACGGGTAACTTTTATTGGCTTCTGAAAGGGTGGCTTTTAGTCGGCAAAAAAACATTTAACTCGTAACAAACGCGTAGTCCAAAACTGCAAAAACTGACACGAATTTTGAGAGAAACGTGACTTTTGAAGTAAGCGTTCCGTACAGCGAAATTTTCAGCCGCCCGAACTGACTAAAGCGCGCATACAGTAAAAGAATTATCGACTTTTTGAACCACGTCCTGTAGAAGTGAATTTTGCTGCGCTTACCTCCTGCCCAGCTTGAGTGTCTACCTGCCATCTATGTTTCTCAAAATCAGACTTGTTGCCAACTATAACAACTTCTTCATACATGAGATCATGCTGTAACATTAAACGACAAATAAATAGTATTGCAGTAACCGTTCTTGATTGATCCTAATACTTGTCTCCTTTCTACTCACAATTTTTATCATAATATCATAGGTGACATTTCAGCGTTAATTTGTAATTTCACATGTGAAATGACAAAATTGCGATGGCAACCTTCCGTACGTCTCAGTGTCAAGACGGCGACGAAGTTTTAAAATGCCGTGAATGAATATGTCAGAGCACAAAAAGACACTTCAGAAAACCTGAACACACAAAAGAGCACATGAAGAAGGATTCTAATAGGTATTTTGTCGAAAAATTCTGAAAATTCTGACCTTAAGACATTAAGGTCTAAGCATTTGAGAGAGTGGAGTTCTCGATCGATACGATCCAGGATAAACACATCAAAAATTCGCGATTGCTAACGTAATTCGTTACCCATGATGTTAATGGGTAATCAAATGGTATACGCGTGAAATTAGCAAATAATCTCATGCGCGTTTTTTCCAAACGCTGATAATTTCCCGAGCCTTTAGGCACCATTTGATTACACATACTTATCACTATCATTATTATTATTATTATTATAATTATTATTAATATAACTATAATTATTATTACTACTATTATCATTACAGCAAGGAGCCCAAAAGTGTGACCGCTTTTGATTTATTCACATTCTTTTGTACAGATTTAATCCAATCAGAAGCCAGCTGAAAACTGTCCTCGACTTCTGATTGGTTAATGTCTGCATGAAAGAATGTGAGTTAATTAAAGGAAATCACACTTTTGAGCTCCTTGCTGTAAGTGAGCTATTTACAAGGCTAAAAATGTATATTTAAACAGATAAAATCCAAACATTTCCGACACTATCTGATCATCGGGGTAAGAAAATACCATCCGCTAATGGCATCTTTTATATCCTTACGTAATTTATGCCGATGGGAAAAGTTTCGCAACGTAGGAGTTAACTTGCCTATTCAAGCTACAATAGGCTTCAGTTGTTGAATCATTAGACCTTCCAAGATTCTGCCCTGGTGGAATGATTTGGCTCTGAAGAGTGTGCCCCAACTAAATTATTATTATTATTTTTTCGTGCTTTAGGAGGTAAGGGGTACTTAATCAACATATACCTTATTCATTGCATTCACCCAGTACTGAAGTTGATCAAAAGAGCCAATATTTGTGATGTCATACACTAGCAATATGCCCTGTAATGAAACAATGATTGGTTAAACCGATCATATCCTTTGATATGCTAACTAACAGAATGTCAATTGTTAATATCTTCTTTTACAATAATTTTTGGACTGACCGATGGCAACTTATCGACAATGTATTCTTTTCATATAAATTGGGCGGGTTGCCTATTTATATTTTGCTTTCCGTTTTCTATACGTACTTACTCCTGGCTTCATCTTCTTGTTTGTGTACCAACGCTTACGCTTGACAGGTATCATTAAGTGACTAGTGTCTAACTCCAAAACCATACTGGCACTTACTTATTTGTAACTTGAGTGTTTACTATGTACATATATTTAACTTATTTCTGAACCCTGTACCAAATTAATATGTTTTAAAATATTTGCCTTGTACGTTTGAAATGTGAATGTATCGTATCGTATCGTATGGCATGGATGAGTGGTCAGTACTTAAACCGGCTCCCCCATCAGCTCTATGCTCGTGAGGAGGGTGAAGGACGAAATGCAAAACCGGCGAATGAGCTCGTTATTAGCCAACAGTCAGCATCCTGGTGCTGTGAATTGCAAAGGGCACAGTTGAACAGACTCAGACCTGGTGGGCATCCACTGCATCCTGCTTTATATCCAGTGGTCTCGATTATGTCCTGCTGTTGGGCCCAGATAACTCAGAACCAGAGACCGAGGCTGACAACACTGTGAACCTCTACCCTACTTGAATCTTATTCACGGGGAAGTCAAGACAAAACCTTCCCCCCAAATCATTTAAGCCGTGGCGATGGGGGAGTGGCGAAGAAGCAGGTGTGAATTAACTGAGAGCTTTTGTCACAGAACCTTTACACATGCAGCACTAGGTTGCTCTCTACAAGACTAAAGTAGCAGTGCCGTTCGGCATCCCCAGGGTGTCTGAACAGTTCACTTTAGCCCTCTGCTCACCTCCATGGCCTGAGGAAAGGGCAAGAAAAGACGCCCCAAACATAGGCTTGTCACTCCACCTTGGCTTGCTTAGCAAGGTAGGAGGGAATGCCATCTATGCAGTCAAAATTACAAGTTTAAAAAAATTTGACATCACTAACCATTGGCACATGGAACGTGTGTATGCTCATAGACAGCATCAAAGCTGACCTGAGAGACAGACAGCACTTACTGCAAGAGAACTCGGCGGGGGCAACATTCATATCGCTGCACTGAGTGAGAACACCTTATCAAATAAAAATTCGTCTGGCTACACCTTTTTTGGAGCGGTCGCAACAGTGAAGAACGTCGTGAAGTGGGAGAGGGTTTTTCTCTCAGAAATGATGCGATCGGTAAGCGTACCAACCTTTCCAAAAGATTCAATGATTACCTCATGACTCCACGCCACCATTATCAGTGCATATGCACCAACAATGACGAATCCAGGAGACCAATGATAAACTCCACGAGCATTTGGAAAACATCATAGAAGGCATACCAAAAGAGGACAAAAAGTCGTTGTTCCTGGAGACTTTAAATTAAATGCTAGAGTGTGCACTTACTACAAGACCTGTGAGGGAGTCATTAGGAGGAAAATGCGAAGGTAACAGACTATTACTTTTGAAGACCTGGTTTTTTTAAAAAAAAAAAAAAAAAACCTTTTGATCAGCAACACAGTTTATGTTATCGACAGGAGAAGAGATAGGCAGGACGTTACAGTGACAAAAGCAACTTGCGACGCAGACTGCTAAACTCATGACGACTAATCTCAAAACTCAACGTGCACATCCTGCTCAGGTGGCACTCACATGGGAAAATGACGAACAAGCTGCAAAAAAGCCACCAAGTTAGAATGGCATTCCATCCAACTTCTGCAAAGAAAAGGACAACAAGCTAAGCCAGCTCGACCTAGGAGCAAATGGAGTAGAGAAAGACAGCCTGAGGGTAAGGCTCAGAGGTACAGCTTACCACACCGCATTCACTTATCTTGATGGGAATACAGGCAAACATCAAGACTGGTTTGATGAGAACAATGAGGAAATCTAAAAGCTGCTGAATGAGAAGCGTGGCACTTAGAGGGCATCAACAAGGCAGCAGCTCTACCTCTAAGAGGGCAGCCTACTATTCCACCAAAAGAAAGTACAGACAAAGCTCAGAGAGAAGCAAGACACCCGCTTTGCAAAAAAATGAGATTTAACACTACTGTCTACATGGACAGCAACAACATTTAACGCTCCTATGATGCCCTGAAGACCATCTATGGACCTCAGTCCTCTGGCACATCACTATTACTTGGAGCTCACAGGACATCTCTACTCACTGAGAAGAATACCATCCTGGTCACACGAGTGGAACATTACAACAGTGTCCTAAATAGGCCCTCTTTCATCAATGTTCAAGCTATTGTACGTTACCTCAAGAGGAGATCAACAATTCCTTGTCAGAGCCAACCATAGAATCAGATATTCGGAAAGCGATCAATTCCCTTTCCAATGGAAAGGTATGTGGAGCAGATTTCATCTCTGCTGAAGTCTTCAAGGAAGGAGGACCAGTCCTATTTCCAAGTTCACCAAGCTTTTACAATCCACTTGGCAGTAGGAGGTCATTTCTCAAAAACCCAAAGATGCCCCCATTGTTTATCTCTACAAGAGAAAAGGGAACAGGCAATTATGCGACAATCACCAAGGGATTTTACTGCTAGTCATCACTGGCAAGATCCATGCAAGAGTCCTCCTCAACCGCTTTATTCAGTGTTTGGAAGAGAGCCACCTGTCTGTTCACATGTGTCCCCTTAATGCTGCCACTAAGACCGTGATGCAGCTGAGCATAGACTGATTTTCTACCGCTAGCGACAACTTTGGGCTTTCAATTAGTACCAAGAAAACTGGCATTCTATACCAGCCAGTTCTGTAGAAGATGTTTGTAGTACCAGCCATCACTGTCAAAGAGGAAACCCTCAAGGTTATTGACAAGTTCATGTACCTACACAGCATACTTTCTCGACCTGCCATCATCAACAAAGATGCCAACTCATGCAGTGCCAAGGTAAGATCTGCTTTCAAATGACTTTGTGAAAGTGTTTGGGAAAAGAGAGGCATCCAACTGACAATGACACTAAAGGTGTACAGGGCAGTCGTACTGTCCTCACTACTGTATACCTGTGAGACATGGACAGTCTATAAACACCATGCCAAAAACTTAACTGCTTACACCTGCACTGCCTCAGAGAACTGTTGAGGTTCACCAAGCATGATAAAGTCCCTGACACTGGGGTCCTCTTTATAGCTGGCTTGCTAAGTGTTCATGCTCTGTTCAAAGAGCCCACGTTAGGAGGGCTGGCCATCTCATAGTGATGTTGAAATCTGGGTGATTCTGGCATTTGACTGACCGGGCGCCTTGTCCTTTCGAGCAGAACAAAATAGCAGAGGCTCACAGGAAACCTGAGGTACACATGTCTAAAGTAATCTCCTTGCCACCTACCCAAGAAATTCACCAGTGTCCTAAATTCAGCAGTCGAGAGCTTTATGAGTGCTTATTGGATTATTTGATCAGTCTTATCATATGGTATGGTATGGTATTGTAGAACAACCAGTCACAAGGAACATTCACAGAGCTGCATAAATTCTGAATTAGTGGCAGCTATAGCCTGTGGTACATGTAGAAAAGAACATGAGGACACTCACATCATTGATCTACTTCATGGTTGTGTTACATTTACAAGAGGTTACCTCAGTTGTGAGGTGTTTCACCCTCCCACAATGTCATACTTGTACCATGAGAGAGTACAGAGAAAATACTGGTTTCTTTTTTAACATGGCAGAATTAACCATGACAAGATGAAATTTGGTTCCAAACACGTGGGTTAAACATGTTCACAATACTGAGTTTGGTAAGACATGCTAGTGTTCATGTGAAAATTCTTACCTTTGTCCCCCTAAAATGCAATGAAGTTAATGTTCTAAATCTTTCTTGCCCCGCTGTATCCCTAAATTGTGGAAAAAACACAACTAACAAAATTATCAAAGTTTGCTCGGAAAGAACCCATAAAATTATGGTTACAACAATCAGTTGTTAACAATATGTTCTGCATGGTTTCATTGTAAGAAAACATATGCACGCTACCTGAAGAGAAATTAAGAAATAGCCAGAATAGTTTCTTTGATTTCCTAATCTTCAGAATCTTCTAACTTCAAAATTTTTTTGTGTACTACATAAACCATCAAGTCCGGCTTACAAAACCTCTCTGTGATCTCCAAGAAGTTCAAAGTGGTTGTGGAGTGGAAATTCCTAGTTAAAATTGTTATGAAGGGTTGGTGAAGGTGTTTAAAATTTTCAGTCCATTTGACATTAAATTCTGTGATGCTTTATTTTGCATAATTAGTATGTTAAGGAATCTGGAAAATAAACTGGCCTAAATGTTTCCAAATGTACCATTTTTTTTACCTACAACACATCTTTATAATATAACGTGGCAGTCTTCTACTACGTAGAAGGACGGAGTTAACCATCCTCAAAACCTCAGCAATAGTCAAAGGGTAATAAATTTCTCAGTATTTGCAATAACCTAACACAGCAGAGATGTACCTACCATATCTGTAATTGGACCCGCACTCCATCCACAATGGTTATGACACTCGCAAAATCAATCCCTGAAAATACTTTTTGTTTAGTTTTAGCTTTTGGCTAAGAGTGTGACAGTTTATTGAAGTTTTCCTTAACAAAAAGTAACTGTTTACAACTATGTAAGTAAAAGCTCTTTGGCCTTCCATTGTATGGTTCAATTTTTTCTTATTTGAGCCTAACCGCCTATCAATAGTCAGATATGTTTTGGGTTAATGGAACCAGCTTATGTTGGTTTAGGCTAGCATGACTAAATAAAGTTAATCCTATCTTCTTATCTTATATACTTATCTTAGTTTCTTTTGTCTCCTATGAATGATTATGACTAGGAAACAAAGAAAGTTCTGAATCAAGATTGCATGGTATTAGTTTAACCTGAGAACGTTTATTTTGCCTACAACAGATATTCTTGGGACCAGGCACAGGTGCATACTTTAAATGAAGGGAGTCCCCTAATGATAAGTAATAATTATTATTAAATATCAAGCACTACAAGGAGCCAAGATAAAAGGTTTGATTTTCTGTTAACTTTTGAGGTACACTGTCTATAATGACAGAACTACACTGGCACAACCATTTAAAGTACATCCTTCAAGAGTTGCACTGGATTTTTGTCTGGATTATTTTGTTTTATTGTATGCTCAAATGAACTTGAAAATGGCATCTGTGACTGCTTACAAGAGTTTTCTGCTCATGAAAGATTAAAAATGCCGTGTTCTTGGTAAAATTGATAGGCTGCAGTGAGATGTCTCTTATAGAAGGTGTCTGCTTATGGAAACTTTTCCTCAATAGGGTATCATAAAAGCTGTGCAAAACAAGTCAAAATAGCCCCCTTTCTTTTCTCTAACCACACTAACATAAAAAGTTAAATGAACAGTCCTAAACAGAAGATGGAGAGATTTTGACCTCTTAGGAGATTAGATGCATAAGGAGAGTATACACACTGTATATGGCTCTATAGTGACTGGACATGTTAATGTTGGGGAAATTTTCACACTTGAAGAAGGATAACAAGAAAATGCACAGCTTGGCAACACTGTACCTGCTTATAACAGAAAGGGGCCAATCCCAGCTGGGTCACTGACTCTTTTCACTGGAAACTTGGGCAGGAAAATCTACTGGTACATGTATGTTATTCATATCAATATTATACATTGCACTTTAATACTATCTGTTTTCTCATTGGCTAAGAGTCTACAGTTGATTTCGGAGATAGCACAACCTAAGATAACTTTGTTATGATCCTTATCTGCTAGCAGATGACTGACTAATCTGTAGTTTGCATACACGAGCAAAATATAATAATGAACGATTTCCAAAACCATTGTCAATTCAGTTCCTTGTGACAATGTGTTTGCTGTTATTTTCTTAAACAAAGGAATTGGTTTCTGTGATATCTTTAATAATCAAAATCTTGGTAAATGGTTTCTGCCTTGGCCTTTGGCTGGGCTGATAACACTTTTCCCCAACCTTGATTATTCTGGATATCACAAAAACGTTATCCAATTATTGTTTATAATCTTCACCTTTCAAAACCTGTTGCTGAGAAGGTATCATTTAATGCAGCACATTTTTGTCACAGGTACAGGATGCAAATACATGTATTTTACGGTTCCTGGTTTTATAAGGAGTCACAAGAAAACTTGCACTTACCAACAGTAGACAAAAGGGATGGAGTAAAAGCTTCATTTGGTTTAGAATAACTTTTGATCAGGGAGGTCTTGCCAACACCAGATTCTCCAATGAGCAGGACTTTGTAAGAGATGTCATAGTCTTTGGAACGTGATGACATGACTCTGTTTGCCGCACAAATCTATGTGTCATTGACTGGCTAAAACAGCAGCCACATAAAACCTCATAATATTTCTGAGTTGAACCCAAAAACCTGAAAGTAGTACGATAAAAATAATAATGAGTTCAATTATTATGCCTTTAGGCCCGGTTTAGATGCTGAACTTTTCACGAGCCGAACCTAATTTGAATTAAGGCCAACCCAAATTATTTAGACCAGCTGAATTGATTCAGACACCAATCTTAATTGCAGCTGAACCAAGTTCAAAAGGTGAAAAATGCTCATTTCATTCAATTCGCTTACAAAATAATTATGTTACATTAATTTATGCATTAGGTTTGGTACATGAAAAGTCCAGCTTGTGATTTAAGCTGTTCCAAAGTTCCAAAGTTGGTATAAAGGCGAAATTCCTGGCTGGGCTAGGCAAAAAGAACAGCTGAGCTTTTCAAATTGAATCAGGCGTTCGTAATTGATTCAGATGCCAAACTTTTCATGTACTTAATTCAATGTATTAGGTTCAGCTCATGAAAAGTTCGGCGTCGGAACCAGGCCTTAATTCAAATAATTTTTTAGGAATTCCTGAAAGAAAAATTCTTCACAATTTTTTGACAGGATTCCTCCTCTCCAAAAGTTTGTGGGGTCAGGAGCGTAAAAACGGCTGTGCCAGGCCGTGGGCAAAGCAACTTTATAATTATTTTTGTCACACGTGAGGATCGCAAGTGGAGTGTGATTTTGCTTTGGTCATAAATCTTTCTTTCTATCGGTTTGGTATCTGCAGTTACCTAGCAACAAACCATAATGAATTATTTCATGTATACTTCACATCATAAACAAACTATAAAAGACGCCACTCAGCATGACATCATCGTGCACTTTGGGTTTCCAGACAACACAACTGGTTAGCCACCAACTAGGGCTAATTTTATTCATCCTCTAGCTGTTTATGTACTGTAAGTTGGTGAATCACAAAGTATTTCTGAGGCAAATAACAGCGGGCTGCAAACACAGTGCCCGATTCGACAAGTGGCTGGAAATCCTTGCCGCGGAAGAATTTACATCAAAAAAATGGCAACCTGAACATCAGCGAGAGCAGTAATGACGAGTGCGTTCATTGAGTGGCCGTCATAAAGCCCCAGAGTGAATAAACACGGAAATAATGCAAAATGGCTCTGAAATACTCGTTTAAGCTATTTTTCCTCAATTGTATCTTTGAATTCATGATAAATACAGCACCACAAGGTTCAAACAGTGCGAATGGCAGAGGATAGTAATTTTGTAATGGCCACGTGGCCCTGTGGTCTGAGGCCTCACTTTTTGCACTGGAGTAAGTTGGGCCAAGTTGAAGGTTCAAATCCCGACGGTGGAATTTGCAGGGTTTTTTTGCGGTTTTTTTCTTTCATCTTATTTTTACCCTTTGGTTTGTTTCCGTTTATTCTTACTGCGGACCGTTTAAAGCTTCGCGAGATTTTTGCGATAACGTATTTCTAGTATTAGTTTATAACGACAGAACTTAATTCTTTAGCATCTGTAAGTTGTGTTACATCATATATCACAACATTCACAGCAGTTACGAAGAAAGGGTAGATTAGATGGTCAGTAAACTAGATTACCTGATTTGCCATTGGCCGGAAATTGGCCTAGAGAAATTTCCTGCAAGCTTAAGCGTGTAAACCGAGCTGCAAACTTATTAACAGGCAGATTAACACACTTCGCCTTTTGCTGCTTTTAACAGTGACTTGTCATTTGCATGTTCGATGCCCTTTTGTAAGCCTACAACTCGACCAACTGTTTTTGCAATCAAGGTTTCTGTTTCTAACAGCTATGAGTATTTATAGCTATTTACAGTGCGTAAGCTGTTCACGTGCAACTCAGGTGTCGTGATACAGAAGTGAGGACCAAACACCTAAAACAGCCTGGCGACAGACCAGAGAAAAAAATAATCTGGAAACTTGGTGGCTGGTAACAATACACCTGGTAAATAGAAAAAAAAAAGAATAAAAAAAAGCGAAATGGCAACTCACTGACAGTACCGCTGCCTCGCCTCGTTGAACGTTGAAGCTGGAACTGACTGAGGACAGCACTTCCTCTTCATTTATGACTATTTGTTGTTTCCTGGAAGCCTTTTTCCTTCCCACAATTCAACTGTACTAGTTCCGGGAATTCGCAAGATTAGAAGAAAAGGAACTGAACATTGCTGGAGGCTGTCGAAATCTGCGATTTCTCTGGCAAACTTAAGAACATGCCACCCCCAGACTGTACTGCAAAAGTTGTAATGATTGGAGACAGTGGAGTTGGAAAATCCAAGATCCTTTCAAGTTATAATGGAGAAAGGTTCAATCCCACCTACATGCAAACACGAGGTGACTTTCGGAAAAAATTGCGTAGTAATTTTAGAAGAGCTATATGTAACCATGGCCATTTGATGTTTCTTTTTGACAGAGAGACAAATCAGAAAGTCAAGAGTGCAAGTTGGACGTCGATCTGTAGAACTGCAAATATGGTAATTAAGGAGAAGTAAGATTGCATAGTAAATTATCATGATATGAACAACGTCGGCAAAAATACTTCCGGTAGTCTCCAACTTTACCAAATATTTCTTGATTGAACTTTTGACGCCACTGATCTGTTTTGTCCCAAACTGATCGGGCCAATAAATTTTTGTTGCTTTATCAGTTTGAGTTTGCACCAGTGCAGGCTTCTAGCTTTGTAGCCACACTTCAAGAGGTTTTTATAATCATCGTTTGCCCTAAAACAGTTACATTTTTTGTCTACACTGTGACAGATAGCTCAACTTTTAGGTGGGGGGGGGGGGGGGGAGGGGGGCTGGAGTGTTTCAGGTGTTGCTGGGGTTGAAGCTCTCGTGCCTCTATGGTTGGAGGCTAAATTGTGAGACCGTGAGTTGTTGGCCCAAACCGTGAGAGTTGCAGGGTCTGGATATTTATTCAGGAGGAATTACTATTTTACACTGGAATTACTATTTTACCTTGTAGCAGAATTGGAATTGAATAAAGAATTGAATTGAATTGAGTTGAATTGGAATTGATATCCTGTTTTCAAAAACATGATTTTCAAATCTTTAATGGGAGGGGGTGGGGGGTGGTTGTCAGAATCTGAATGTTGCTAAAATTTGGCTAAACGTCAGAATCATTTCTTCCTCATTATTGGGTGGGAATGAGTGCACGTTTCAAGGCAGAGGGTACTATGGCATGTCAGTATTTATTGTGGAGAGGTACTATTCTCTGCTCACAGAATGGTAATGAATATTTCCTAACCATTAGGGATACGCCTGGCAATCCCCTTTGTAGAACAATAACAGCAGCATACATGCGGGAGGATGTTCAGGTAATGAATCATTTTGTATTACCGGTATTTTAAGGCTCATGTTAGTCCACAAAACATCAACTGCATGTTCCAGCCATACAGGGAAACCTCTAACGTACACTGTAACCATGTGGAGACTTGAATTATTATAAGATGCATTATATTGGGTTCCAGGTGTTCCATTCATCCCAGAGAAGTCAATCGATAAAAAAAATTGGTATTGACAAGAAATGGTAGCAATCAATTAAGAGATTTTTGATTGATAACAGAAATCAGTGAAAATTGCATGATAAACTAAATTGCTGTGTCACATCGATATTAGCGATTTTCATGAAACAAGAAAATGAGAAATGTGGAAACTATTACACATACAAGTTTCTCTCTAAAACCCTTTATTTTGTACATAAATCACAATTAGTTCTCACCTTACAAGATTTCCTAGCCTGAATCTCGGACATCCCTTCGAGTCGAAAGGATGGTTATCAATCGATAAAACATTAGTTGGTTGCCACTAATTTTTGTCGATACCGATTTTTATCGATATTGATTACCTTGAGATGTAACTACACCCAAAACTGCACCGATGTTATTAGTCTCACTCGCATAAGCAGCCAGACTTATAATCTGCAGGTCGTTTCTTTTCCTTCGTATTTAGTACACAAAGCGACGGTTGTGGTCCCAGGTTTCCAAGTGGTGACTGTGGAAACTGGGAATAAGAATCGTGATGACTTTCATGGTATGCAAATGAGACTGGTGATGCATGAGCATGTGGTTTATTTTTGGTGATCATTGAGGTGATGTGTGTAGTTCATCACGTTCTAGTATGGATTTTTGGCAATGATGTAATTTCCTCTGAATCACCCTTGATTTTTTGTGTATTCATACACACGTAGTCGGACGTAAAAATATTATACCGGAGGAAATCCTGTTTCATGCTGTATTGAGGCATTACGTTTCTCACAATAGACACAATTACTTGAACTCTGCAATTAAATAGATTCGACATTGTAGATTCGCTTTGTTGTATGTATTTAATTGATAGATTTTCGCAGTTTTTAAGATGTGAAGTCGCATTGCACTTTATAAATACTTGAGATATCAATGATTTTTAACCTTCAACCTCTAGACGCAACTGCGACTACTCATCTGACATTACGTATGTGTCATAGATGTGTTTATAAGTGTAGAATTGTACTTGACTGTCACACAGTTTACTGCAACACTTCATCGGGCAATGGAAACTGGCTAGTCTACAAATTGAACTAGTCTATTTGTTTTCGAAGTTCTCTAGTATGGAAAATGTGTATTTGTTTTTCATACTGATGTCTTCATTGATGTTTCCTTGATATCATACAGCTGTAGATTTGCAAGGTCTCGATCGTTGCCTCCCGGTATTGCCTTTGATTGTGGAATATTGTTGAAATTACAGCATTATTGCCTGGACATCATTGGAAATTTTCACTTTAGATTTATAAACTGTAACGACTGAACTATAATCTTTTCCCGGTTTTTAGTTGAGTCTGACTATTGTATGTACCATAAGGCAGTCAGTAGTTACTGTAACCAATGCCTAGCTGCACACTCAGGCTCCTGAAGAATTTATTTCCTCCTCATTTCTTATCTAATCTCCAAGCAACCTCGAGTTAACACTTTAAGACTGCCTTGTTTCTTATCTAATCTCCAAGCAAGCAAGACTTACTTGATAAATGCTTTTTAGGGAAAGTTCATTTAATATGACAAGGGGGCGGGGGGGATGAAGATATTGAAACTCGAAGCTTGAAATTTTAGCAGCCCCCCTCGCTAGCAGTTCAATTTTTAGAGCCCCCTCCTTGGTAGTCAAAAAAATTTCAGAGCCCCCCCCCTCTCCTCCTTCAATTCCTTTGTTCCCTGAAAAAAGATCGCTAGACTGTATTAAATATATTTACCGTTATTGTCTTCAATTGTTTATACTATGACAAACTTGAGGTACAGTTGTGATACAATTCTCTAAAGCATTTTGGGATGAACAAGAGTGTAATAATTACTGAGACTACATTTGTTATATCTGTAAACCACGTGATATAGCTGAGTTGCACAGGTCATTAAATTGTTGAGTTGAAAACCATCCGATCTGTATGATGATGTCATGTGTTGGTTTTGAAGTATACAAATTTTCGGAGCCCCCCCTCCTAGCGCAACAATTTTTTCAGAGCCCCCCATTCGGGTGTCTAAAAATTTTCAGAGCCCCCCCTCAATATCTTCATCCCCCCCTTGTCATATTAAATGAACTTTCCCTTAGAGCATTTCTTGTTTTGAAAGGGTGGTTAAGGTCTAAATCTTAAAAAAACTGGGCGCTTACAAACCTGGCCAGTATTAGATATCAGAAGATTTTAAATTTGTCATTCATATTGTTTAAAAACACACATTGATTCCTTTCTGATACTAAATTTCTTTGTATTATTTGAATCTTTAGGGAGTGATAATTGTGTTTGATGTTACCAAGGATGAAACTTATTATAATGTACAACATTGGCTTAAAACTGTAAATCAGGTAAGTGCTGACAGATGAGTAATATTAAAATAATACCATCCAAAAGTTATTGTCTGAAATGTTAGCCATCTCATCCTCTTAACCCAGGGCAGTGGGGGGGCGGAGTTGTGGCCCAGGGGAGAGAGACATCTGAAACTCGAGGATTATAGTGCTGTCCGTTGACATCATCTACATCTCTGAATTTATGGCAGGTTCTGATTTTTATTTCTGAGTTAGAAAACCTTTTATTTATTTATTTAATTTATTATTATTATTATTATTATTATTATTATTATTATAAACAATATTATTTTATTGCAACATTTGCTCTTAAAGAGCCTAAAGGGGCCTCATCTTGAGAGCTTAATTATGCTGTTGACTTTCAATATTTTAAAAATACAAATGCACGTGCAAGATCAAACACGCACACTCATGAAAAAGCAAAAGAATAAAAAGAAAAAACAAAACAAAAAATAAAATAAATAGATATTAAAAAAACACACACAGCAACTAACAGGAACGATTTAATGGCAAAATAAAAGACTGGGCAAGCTGAAACAACCTAATGTTAATTTGAAAATCAGCAGTAGAAATACCATTTAATAGCCAATCGATTTTTTTCTTATCTGAAGCACAATGCCATCTATATCCAAGTAATTGTGCAAGGGAGGTAAACAACTTTTCACGCATGAGAGCAGCAAAACTTGGGCAGTATAGGAAATAATGTTTCACATCTTTAGTAGATGAATCGCAAAGAGCACAGGCATATAAAGGACAGCAATTTTTCTTAAAAAGGTGATAATTTAAGGCACTAAAATTAAGTCTCAAACAAGTGTGAAAAATTGACCCTGAGCAATCCCCAATATAAAAAAAAGATAGATGCGGGATGGAAAATGCATGAATTTTAAAAGGTTGTGCTTGAAGATACCTGGAGAAGACAATTGTGTCTCTAATGGAAGACTGTTCCACTCTTGAATTGATGAAAAGAGAAAAGATTTTTTGTGCCTTTCAGTACAAACGAAGGGTAAGCAGAGATTATCGGCAGAACGGAGACTATAACTAGATCTTGCAGAAACAAAATAAGGACATAAATCGCATTAAGGTGGGGCTAGCTTAAATTATATACCATTTTGTACATCAAACTGAGTTTATGATTTTTTCTTCTAACACTAAGTTCGACCCAAGATAAGTTTATTTAATATAGATATCCTGTTTGTCCCTTTTAAAGCACCGGTTACAACTGTTGCGCTCTCTATTTGTAAGCTTTCTAAAAAATATATATACCATCAGATTCAGAACATCCATCCCAAACCACATCAGCATATTCTAAGGATGAACACACCAAGGATTTGAATAAAACTTCAAGTGTATGATGGCTCAATTGTATTTCAATGGCTTTAGGAGGTTTAATTTTTTGGAAGATTTCTGATGAGTTTTTAATATACAGTCGAACCTCTCTAATACGGACACTGAAGGGACAGAGCAAAGTGTCCGTATTAGAGAGGTGTCCATTGTATAGAGGTCATGAATATTACGTCACTTTAAAGGCTCCATTGATGGTATGGTATTTTTAAGTCAAAATTGGCCCAAAAAAGGCTTTGAGGTGCATTTGAATTGTTTAATGGACAGTGCAAATCATTGCAATACAAGCTGTACAATTCCAAAAACATATGGCAAACTATAATACAGTTTCCGAACAGTAACATAATAGAACAGTAACAAGTGTAGCGAACACTAACAGGTAGAAAAAGGAAAGCAACAACTGGAGAGTCTTCAAAGAATAAGAAATCTTGATGATAAATGGCAATGACATGTCGATAGTATAATTTTTACCGATTGAAAACATGATACTCTTATCGTATGAACAATGAGACAATTGATTGCACTCTGATATGTAACGACAAACAGGAAATCGTGTTGAATTAAAGAACTGTCATCATTGAAGTGTCCGTAATGAAGAGGTTCAGTTTGTATGAATTTTCTCTCTGGGGCCGAGATTTCGTGTCCGTTGTCCGTATTATAGAGGGTCCGTATTATAGAGGTTATTTTGACAAAGAATGTATAGGCATTTTCCCGGGACCAAGTGAACTGTCCGTATTAGAGAGGTGTCCGTATTAGAGAGGTGTCCGTAAGGAGAGGTTCGACTGTATGTGCTCGCCAAGATAAGTTAGAAGACAAGGTTAAACTAAGATGTTCATAAACTGTCACATCCTCAATAATACTATTGTTCAAAACCAAAGGGGTTGCAAATTAAAGGCTTGTCTCTTTTTGCCAAGTCTTAGATTCATTCATAGTCACCAACCACCGTTTAGCCCAATCGGATATTAATTTTGATGTCAAGTCATGATTAGAAGCGCAATCACTAGGAGACTGAACTTTTTCCAGCAAAAAACGATCATCAGCAAATAAAAAAACAGCGAGAAGAGATCGTGACTGGTAGGTCATTAATGTAAATGAAAAACAATAATGGACCTAAGACCGATCCCTGGGGGACACCAGCCTTGATATTATGCCAACCAGAATTATGCACTCCTTCGATTATCTCTCTTTGTTTACAACAAGAAAGATAACTTATAAACCAGTTTAACAAATTCCCCTCAACTCCAATGCTTCTTAACTTGGCTATCAGACTGCGATACCACACGATCACGCTTTCGAACAGCTTTACAGATCTGACCAGTCATTCATGGTTTGTTGCGAAGTCAACAGATGTCGGGTATGAAAGACTCAACTGTACTTAACAATATAGAAAAAAATCTTTGATAAATGACAACAATATCAAAGAGCGAAGCATCAAAAACATCATTCCAATCTGCATTTGATAAAGTGCCATTTAATCCATCGAGATCAATATCATCAAAATTGCGGATCTCTCTGGTGAAAGATTTGGGCTTTTGTTTGCGACAATTTAAATTTGCATAGGTAATACAGTGATAACAGTTGGCTGTTGGCTTAGAGTTCCAGAAGAAACAAAAAAGCCAGGCGAGTCTGATATTATAAGGTCAAGAATGGACTTCCCAGACCGAGTAAAGACTCAAAAAAGGCGTTTCCTCATTTGCTGATTGATTGGGTGGACGATAACAAACTTCGCAAAGAAAAACAAAATTCTTGACACTGCATTGAACCTATTTAGAGGAGTTCTAGCCCATCAGAGTATTCAAACTCAACACGTCTTTTAACTGCAATGTGACCCTATCTTTCCTCGAGGGTAAACTATAACCAGGAATGAGAATATAGAGTCATTAGATAAGCTAGAATTCAACCACGTTTCTGAAAGTGCCAAAACATCAAATCCATACGAACAAGCCAAAAGAGAAATTTCACTCAGCTTATCATTAACATTAAATGAGCGATTGAAAAGTTGATACTGTTGGGCCCAGGATTAGGATGAACTGAACCTGACGCCAATAATAGAATACTAAGGCTCAACATTTAAACCAAAAGAATAACAAGGAAGGAATAAAATTGGGAGCAAAATAACAATGCGACACAAAGTGTCGATTAAAAAGCCCAATTGCTGCCCTGTACTGATCTAGACTAACCTCCATCAATAAAAATAATGCATTTTAAAGAGCTTACCTCCCGCTGCACAAAACACATAGCAACCAAAGGACTGAATACTATACGTAATAAACATCGTACATTGAAACCTGTATTAAGCGGACACCCTCTAATAAGCAGATAGTAGCCGAAGTCCCCAAATTTATTTTCCTTATTTACTTTAAATGAAACCTTCATTAAGCGGAAACCTCCATTAAGCATACTCAGACACCTACATGTAAAAGTACCTGAAATGGTCATTTCTATTGTTGCAACAGGTGTATTAAACGGACACTTGTGATTAAATTCCACCACCCAACTTGCCAGACACCAGAAATGGGAAAGATTGCCACCCACAAATGAAAGGGAATTTGAAACACACTTCTGGTAATTCGTTGAGTTCACTGGGTGCCCAGAACAAGGATATTGACATTGCTTCACAAACGTTATTACTGGTAACTGAGGTTAAATAATGTCTGTGACATATGCAGGCTACATGGTCTAGGCAAAAAGAAAAGAGGGAAAACCTCTATTGTTCAAGCTATTTCTAAGGTCACATTTCACACTATCACGAGCTTATGATCGAGTTGTGTTTAAACCTGTTTCAAACTTGAAAAGTTGAATGATCCTGTACACTAATTCTGGAGGCTTTTCTGTCAAGTTTTACAGCACACAAAACACAGAACACCTCACACATATGCATGCTGCTGTTCATGGTTCCGTCCATGACTCGTGGCTGCCATCTTGCTAAGAAATCGAAATTTATGCAAAAATGCCTAAATTATAAGTAGCTAACGTCACTGGGCAACATTATATGATTCTTGGAATTCAGGTGACTCTCTTTCCTATGCCCCCCATGGGTTAGGGGTGGAGACACCTGACATATCTGTCTACAAAAACTTATTTTGATTTCATTTTGATCTGGCTTGGACTGCAGATGGTGTATTGGCTAACTACAATGTGCATGAGTATTTTTTTTTAAGTCAGTCATTACTAAGCATATGAACAACTGTTAACCTTTAAAATGTTGCATGTAAAAGTTAGAGTACATAATTTTTTTTTTTTTTGCCTTTAAACTATGCATCATGACTCACTTTTGTTCTCATAGTACGCAACAAGAACAAGCAAGTATAGAACCCCTTTGTTTCAATTGACTATTGAAAAACAATTCACTCCTTTGTACAAACAGGAGTAGTTAACCTGCTGAACAGGTGCTATTTCTTCATTTTTTTTTCAGGCGAGCACGAGGCAGGCATGCATGTCCAGAGTGCAAGAAAACATGAGCACATGCAACAGATCACAGGAAGGCACCTCAGTCCACTGTTGCTTGTGTCTTGCACTCCATGTCCGCCTGGTGCTTACCTGAAAAACTTGAAAAAAAAGCGCCTATTCTGCAGGCTACCCAGGATTTTTCATTTTTTTGTCCACAAATCAGTAAGGACAGAAATAGATGATTAAATAATTTGAAAGTTACGTAACATGTACTGGAATCCCAACTGGCCAGTAACAAAACATGGCACTTAACAAGCATGGCAATGGAGTTGAACTCTGGACTTGGAGAAATCCAGTGAACTGTGGATTCTAGGCCTTCAGATTGCAAATCCAGCACTCTTAAACCACCCAGCCAGACCACCCGTATCTGTTCAAAATGTTCAGTAAAATAACACTTATTTTGTTCAGTAAAATGGTGGAAAAATTGCCTCATAGCATTCGACAAATTGACTGAAATTATTTCATGATGACACGCAGCTGAGTTTCTTGACTCTAGCGGATCATTGGTGATTACCAGTTAAAATAATCAATAATTCAATGATCTGTATTAGTATTCTGCCAGTTTTGAAAGTAAAACTCTTCCAATAATTTTTTTTAGTATGCTGCTGGAAGAGAGCATGAAAATTGCAATTTTGTATTTGTTGGAAATAAAAATGATGACAAGCTAGGGAGGAAAGTACAAATTGAATCTGGAGAGCAGGTATTTTTTCCAAAAGCCTAATTTTGTTCTATTTAGTAAGGAATAAGAGTGATATTCTGGTTTTGCTAAACCTTTTCTCTGTACAAGACATACACACGCATATTTTTTGAGGGGAGGGGGGTTGAGGGAATTAGTGTACTTTGCTCATACTGCTCGTTATAGTGGAAGGATCGTGTTCAAAAGAACCACAATCTGATTTGCAGATTGGCTGTTGAGGTCTACTGAAAGGGATAAAAACAGTTATTAATGCAAAGCAGCCATCTTGAAGTCAAAACTTCCCACTTGGCCAATTACAAACATGTATTAGGTCACGCACATCAAAAGTACCGGTATTGTTTTCCTGAATTTGTTCATTGTTGGATTCAATTGTTGTAAAAATTCTGTATTTCTTTGGAAACTGAACTAGCCAGAGTCCGAGACGACTGCTTTCTTAGTAAGTTAGTGGAAAAACGCTTTTTCTCCCTGCCTTTCTCAACCGACCTTGAAGTTGTTCTTCTTGGCCCTCTTTACCAGATTTCTTCTTCTCTTTGTTGTGCCTTTAATTACAGGCTGTAAATTGTTTTGTTAGATTCTCTTTAAAGCGTGATGAGATAAGACCATTGAGAAAGATTTGAGATAGTTCGTTCATAGGTCAGTAAAGCTAGTTCCATAGCTTGCAACTTGTTTCAAGAAGAGGATAAGTCTAGGTGCAAAGTATGCAAGTACTTGAAAAAGAATTGTAAATGATGTTGATGACATTATCCAGATCCATTTGATTGTTTGTCTTCTTAACCTTTTTCTACAGTTAGCGAAACAACATAGTGGAGTGTATGTTGATACAAGTGCGAAGACAAAAGAAAATATACATAAGGTAAAAAAAAAAAGAGGGTGGTTAGAAAGGTGTTTGACTGATACTTTAGACTGTATTGGCTCGCGATTTTAGGTGGTGTCTTACGGGAGGTTCGACTGTTATGGCATACAATAGGTGCTCACAATATTTCGACTGTGATTTCTTTTTTAAAGCTCTAGCTGTAGACATTTATCCACGCGGAAAGACGCTATTTTTTCTTTGTAAAGCAAAGGAAATAGAAAGCGTAGCACATATTTAGGCTACATTGGTTCTGGAGAATTTGGGTAGAATTTTTAGAATACACATGCATCAACTATCTTGACAACAAGAGACCATTGGGCTATCTTTTTTTCTTAAACACAACGACAACAAGATGATGCAGTAAATTAAACGTCCTACAGTTCTTTATTTTGTTTAACTTGAGGTGACGAAGTACCACCCTTCTAAAATCGTGAAATAAATCTGTTTCGAAGAAAATCGTCTTCCTTGGAGACCTGAGTACACATCGTTTCTGGTTTTCAACGTTCTATCTTCTAAACCAACAATATTTACTGGTATTAAAAATCGAATCTTTATTTCTGTCGACTTATTCCGCGACTTATTTTTCGCACCTACATAACTTTTGTACGGCCTTATAATTTCAAATCGCGGAAATCCGGCAATGCTAAACTCTAGCTGAACCTAGTTGATTTTGGGATAGTAATCAAGATGCTTCTTTCGACGACATTTTAGAAAAGGTCCCTTAGAGGTACCGGGAAACTTAAAAGATAGCCGTTTTGGATTTTATCACCCTCTCTCAGTTTAAAGAGGAATCCGTAACTTCCGTCGTCCTAACCAGGGACCAGGCTCCGCAGTTGGGAAATTAAAAAGGCGAAGAAAATCGGAGAGGGCGAAAGCCGAGCGGTAGTCTGAGGAGGGGATTGTCCCCTTCTGCAGTCCACCACTCGATTAGCGTCGCTCGCTGATTTTGCTGTTTCATCCCGTTTTTGCCTTTTCCCCCCACTACGGAGCCTGGTGCCAGGCTACCGTCTTCCTTTTAAGCTGGCTGGCAGGCTATTTAACAAGGGGAATCACTGCCTGCGGGCGTATTATTTATTCAGGTTTTATAAGGTACATCACCTAACTCTTACTCCTTTCGTATGAACCTTATTTTCTATTAACTCCTTTTTCACAGATATTCCAAACAATGGCAGAATTAATATTGGGTGAAACTGGAGAACAGGTGAGAAATAGTGTATTTTTACTGTTTCGTTATCCTTTTTACGGGTAAATTCCAAAGAAATCTACGTGTTCTCTGTTAGTGTTGTCGAAGATGATTGATGGGCAAGAACATTTCTCTTACAATACCCGTAAACTGCTACTTATAAACCCTTTGCTTAAACATCTTTGCAAGGGGTTTTAAGAGTGCTTACAAAGGGACAGGCTTACAACAGGAATAGAAAAAGGGCTTTGAAATGAGCTATGACAGTGCTGATCAAAATGTGCAGGCGTGTGTGGCCTAGAGGTTAACACCTCGAACTCCGGATCTGGAGGTCCGGTGTTCAAGCCTCGCCCGTCGCGTTGTTTCCTTAGACAAGGAACTTTACTCCACTAGCACTCTACTTTGTCTCTCTTCACCCAGGTGCATAAATGGGTACCAGCAACATACTGCTGAGGGGTACCCCTGCGATGGACTAACATCCCGTCCAGGGGGGAGTAGCAATACCCCTAGGTACTTCGTACTAGGGAAACCGGGATAAGCTCTGGCCGTTTTGGCCTTTGGATTGTGTCCGCCTTTATTTTTTACCTAGCGCTGATCAAGATACGTTATGCATTTACTGGTTTTTAATTAAGGATTAAAACGTCATAATAAATCGAATTCATTTCAATACATTTTTAGAACACAATTAGAGGAGGGGGGCTTATAATCGGATGTATTTTTTTTGTTTATGGGGTGCTTATTAAGTGGCGGGGGGGGGGGGTGTAGGACGGCTTGTGAGCGGTAGTTTACGGTATATACAGTCAACTCTCGCCTTGCGGACACCCCGCAATAACAGACTCCCCGATAATACGGACAGTAGCTAAAATCCCAGCCAAAAATAAATTACAGACGTTTGACTGAAATAAACTCCCGCTATTACGGACACTAGCTAATGAGGACACTAACTCGAGGTCCCTACAGTCTCCGCTATAAAGGGAATTGACTGTATTCGGATATTCGTTGCACTCATTGACAGTAGACGAGCGTGTGGGAGGTGCCTGCGACAGCAAGCCGAGGCTGGTGGGTTTTAAAAGTGGACATACTTTAATAGCGAATAATTTAACAAATGGCTCGTTGAATAGGGAGCAGAGAACTTCGAGATCGAGTGTAACGTGTTGAGCAATGCAAGCGAAATAACCGTATTTCAACAAGGGCGCTGAAAAGTCCCCTGAAAAGGCCCGGCCGGCGAGGCTATGCAACCACTTCAAATGATTAAAACGAAAGCCTGCTGAACTCTTGTTAAAAGTTACATGATCATGTAACGGCCTTTAACCACGTCCCAACTTACAAGTTTTCCTTGCGGGAATGGCACCTGTTATTAGTAATTTCCTACGATTAAGGCATACCGTAAACTACCTCTCATAAGCCCTGGGCTTTCACATCTTCGTAAGGGGGTTTTAGGAGGGCTTATATCCGAGGGGGCTTATTACTGGAATAGTAAAATGAATAAATTTTCAAGAAGGCCTCGGAGTCGCCCCGTGCAAGGGAATATGGATTTCTGGAAGCGGAGGAATTCTTGCTTTTGGAATCGGGAATCCGGGAAAATTTTTTCATGTGGAGTCCGGAATCGTGGGCTTTACTGAGAACCCGGAATACAGCTCAATGAATCTGGAACCCCACTAACGATTGGACTTGAACCCGGAATCCAAGTTCCACTGACAGAGAATCCGGAATCCACTGCGTGTAATCCAGAATCCAGGACTATCTTGGATTCCCTTATATTATATGGAATGCCTCGGAGCGAAGGAAACCTATATCTAGAAAAAGACGTCTTCAGAGGCGTCATCCTTATGACAGACTTTTTTAAAACTAAGGGGAATTTCAGCATGACCTGCTTACAGAGGAAGTGTTACTCGTCTTTTCCTCTCATCTTCGCCTCTTACACTTTGATGTTTTTGTGTTTTTATTTTGCAGCCTAATACACCCAATGGAAGTAATGATGGTGATGTGGACGGTGAAGGACAAAACAAACCATTTCCATGTACTGTTTTATGATGAAACTCGTTTTAATATATCTTAAATTCGCCAATCCATTGTTTTGAACTGACTATTAATAATTATTTTCAGTGACCACAATAATGAGCTGCTGGTTCCAAAACAATGAAAAACTGCAGTAAAATCGGATAATGCCTACGCTCCTCGTCTATCTCAGTGAAAAATATCGACTTCGCACTACGCGCTCGGTCATCGTGGTTAACAAGGCTTGAAGCTCAGGCAGTATCCTATATAAAAAAAAAAGATATTTTGGGTCAATTTAGGTTTCTGGGAAACTGCTCACCTACCCCTCCCCTAAGCTAACATTACACTTACTTCTCACTTTGGGCAAAATGATGGCTTAGGGGAGGAGGAGCTGGGCAGTTTCCCGGAAATCTAAATTGATCCGATATTTTCAATGTTAAAAGACAATAGATCAATTTATCCGATCCTCAAGTGAAGGCGAGTAAGGTACTAGTGGAATACAAGAATAGTCAGAATAGTGACAATTGGTGAAGCCTTGCGTTTGATTGGCTGTGGCGAGGTTTTGATCACCAGCCTAATGTATCTATGCCCTGAACGCAAACAATTGAAATTAAGCTCTTCCGCTCGCAAGTCAAGAGACAAAACTCTCAATGTTATTTTAAGTGAATTGTATTTGTAATGCAACACGACAAACCTTTTGGTAATTTGCTAGTCAAGTGATTTGAACGTGTTATAAACAGATTAAGTGAAGTGTATAACTCTAATAAACACAGAACAGTTGGTGGAAGCTTAAGTTTGCACTGTGAAGACGCCTTCGTGCAGACTGCAAGGAAAAATGTCGTTTATTTTCACGACACCATGGCTAGTTTGAAATGCTGGGGTTGCGTAGTAGCGAGAGTCAAAGAGTGCTAGAGATTTTTTGAGGGTAATCAAGAGAAGCGTCTTTAATAGGGACCTTAAGCAACTACGACTATGGCGGTAGTGAAAACATCACTAAAAAAATGAATTTGTGTCCTTTCAAACTTTATCGCGTCTAATTGGAACTGCTCAATTCGTCAAATGTAGACGACTTTTCCTGGAATTGAATTCTAGCCTGTAAAAAGACGTTGTTTTATTGTTGTTTTCGTTCTTTTCAAAAACATCGGCGAGCGAAACGATCGCGAGAAAGAAAAATAAAAAACGTGCCGTCTATTTTCTCCTTCCCCCACCACTACCCCCTTGCGCTGGCTGTCAATAAATCCCCTGAGGTTTATATTCTATCACCCGCGCTCGACAGACTTTGAAGGGAAAATAGAGGGTCTGTGAACAGGGTAGTTGGATTCTTAAGGGCTTTATCCATGTTCCAAATAGAGAAAGGAAAATTTGTCGTTTTATGTCCACGCCCTCTATAAAACGTCGCATTGGGAGGTTTCACGTCGTAGTCGTGAAAAATGTACTAGAAATGTACTAAAAAGCGTGATGCACGTGCAGAGCTGTCGTTTTGGTCATAGAACCAATTGTTTATTGACGTTGTTGTAGTCGTCGTCGTCGTAGTTGCTTAAGGTCCCTATTAACTGTATGCTGCGATCAAGCTCTCTCAAGCGGGAATGACATTAACGTTTTCTGAACCCCTAACCCCCGTCGATCCCCTCCAGAGCTTGCTTGTAGTCCTTTAATAGTGACTGTATCCAACGGTGGGAGGGTTCCGTTCGCACACTTGAAAATTCAGAAGGACGTTGCTTATTTCCCTTTGTGACACCTTTTGTCCACGTTTTTTTGCGCGCTCGGATTTCCTCTAGTAAGTTCTCTCTCCGCGCGCCCTTTCGTGCAGACTTCTGCGTCCAACGTGAAAGAATTGGACTGGTTTGATAATGCGCTTGCGTTAATAGTAGTTCTGTACACCACAGAAGTAAACGCAATTTTTTAAGGACTTTTATTTCTGAAAAACAATATGACAGTTAGCCTTTTTCAGCATCCTCATTCATTGCAATGATCATACCTGTGGCCAACCTGTAGCCTCTGTTGTAAAGGATCAAAGATTGGTTTGTGTCAGTTTCCAAGTGCGGTAGGTGTCTTTTCCCTAATAATTATATGCTATTTCCTGTGTAAAAACAGGGCCAAATCATCGGCAAAACCCGATTCTTCTAAGGATGTGGTGAGGGACCTCAGGATACCACATACATACATACATACATACATAGTTTATTTGGTATCGCAGGTTACAGAATACGCAAGACTGAAGTCCTGATGTGGACCTGCCTATCTACTTGTTAAAAAAACTAAAGTATGTACATGTGAATAAATAGAAAATCAACAGAAGTTAAATAATAATAACAATACAAATATAAATAAGATTAATAAAGAAATTCCTCATTCCTATTTCTTATCATGGAAGATTCCTTATTATAGCTTATAGAATTAATTAAGTCCTTGCTAGATCTAAGTCTTTTTTTAAAACATTCTAAGCTAGAAGACTTTTTGATCGAATCAGGAAGTGAGTTCCAAGCAATGGCAGCTCTATGCTTAAAAGTCAGCCTGCCAATTTCTGTTTTGGGACTTGGAAATTCAATATTCATTGATTTCCTCAGGCAGTGAGATGATTGTTTTAACATTACTAGATCATTTAAAACATTGGTATTGCATCTATAGTAGGATTTATACGCTTCTACTAACAGTCTCTTAGTGTAGTAAAATGATAAATTGTTCCAGCCTTTCAATTTATTTAATTGATCAGCATTCGAATTCCTTGAAAGTTTAAAAATAAGTTTAGAAGCTCGTATATGAGCACTCTCAAGATCATCCATTAGTGCAGGTGAGCAGGAACCCCATACTAGTATTCCGTATAAGACACTTGGAAGTACAGTCCTAAAATAAATGGTCTGTAGAATGGATGATGGCAAGAATTTAATTCTTCTGAGGACTGCTATTTTCTTATTAAAAGATTTTAACAGACTTTTAGTGTGTTCTTGCCAAGAAAGATTACTGTCTATAGTTACTCCTAGACATTTACATGATGATTTTAATTCAATAAATTTTTCACCATACTTCAAAGGCAACACTGGACCAATGTTTAGATAATAATAAGGCTTCTGACTTAGTTTCATGAACAATCAATCTGTTAGCACCACACCAACTAAGAACTTGATCTAGTATAACTTGCATGGCCTTAATTATAGTATCAATATTATCACTTATGGTAAATATGGTAGTATCATCAGCAAACATAATAAAGTTCCTGATATACCAACAGCTTTCAACTTTTGTAATAGGATTGTATGGTTCACCGAGTCAAAGGCCTTCCTGAAGTCAATAAACAGAACACCAACTTTAAGATTATTATCTAGGGCCCACTTCCAAGTGTCAGTAAGATGAAGAAGGAGACCCTCTGTAGAATGATTCTTGCGAAAGCCCCATTGATTGTCACTAAGCAGGTTCTGAGTTTCAATGTGATTGTCTATGCTGTTGCTTATAATGTCTTCAAGAATCTTTCCTGGGATACTTAAGAGAGATATGGGCCTGAAGTTGCTCATATCAGTGGGTGCCCCCTTTTTAAATACAGGGACCGCGGAGGGGGAGGGGCTGGGAGGGCCGCGGCCCCACCACTTTTTTGCGCCCCCGCCCCAACTTTTTGCGCTAAAAAGAAAAATAATTAAAATTAAAAAAAAGACTTGAAACAAGTTTTCCGACTATATTCCGCTATATTCTCTGTATTTTCTTTAATTTCAAACGCCAGGCATTTTGTGGGGCTCCTGTGCTTTTCGCGGTAATTGTGCCCTGGGGCCGACTTGCCCCTTGATCAAACGCCATGCCTTGGCAATTGCCTTGGCCACCCCTTCGCTTCGTTCGGCAGCGTGTTTTGTAAATCCAGCTCCGGCAGAGTTTTTTATCAGTTTTATCAGACGAAATGAAGATTATTACTAGCTTTTTCAAGCCAAACAAAGGTGAGTGGTTGTTTTGAGTTGATAAAAGTTTTATGTTTTGTCTTTCTCCTTTCGAATCAATGAAATATTCGATGGCAGGAAGAATTACATTACTTGAACAGTGAACGGCCATAGGCCTATTGCATTTAAAGTCCGTACCCCCCCCGGTTGAGGACTTACCTTTTCATCTTACCCCTTAAGATTGGCTAAAATTGCATTCACCCCTGAAGACTTCCGTAAAATATGGGTTTACCCCTGAAGAATTGGGTCATACCCCTGAAGAATTTGGGTTTACCCCTGAAGAATTTTGTGAAAATTAAGGCTTCACCCCCAAAGAATTCCATATTTGTTTACTCTATATCTACCCCTAAAGAAATCCTCAATTTTTATAACTTACCCCTGGACAATTCCATGGTTCCTCAACCGGGGAGGTGCGGATATTAAATGCAATAGCCCATAGTTAGAAATTTTTCGATTTTCAATATGAAAAAATTATTTTCAATTGTCAGCCCTCCCACTTTTCACCTTGCTCCGCGGTCCCTGAAATACTGGCTTAACACGTGAGAGTTTCCAGTTTGTTGGAAAAAACTGCATCATCTATACTTTTCTTGAAAACTGGCAGCAGGCTATGGATAGAAGATTCCCCAAGGAGTTTAAGGTCCTTGGGTGAGACCAGGTCCGGTCCAGTAGCTTTATTCGGGTTTGATGATTTTTCAATTTTCTTCTTCACTAGCTCCCAATTTAACTCTAGGTCGCATCTTGTAGGAGTGACTCTTGTTACATAAGAAGTTAAGGTGTTTGGATGAAGAGGTTCTATATTCTTTGTAAGTTGTTCACTGATATTAACAAAGAACTCATTAAAGTAAGAAGCTTTTTCTAGATCACTGGTTAATACATCTTTACTGTCAGTTATTATGGGACCAATAGTACTATCCTTACTTTTCCTTAGAACCTTGTTGGTTAGTTTCCAAAATTGCTTAGGATCTTGAGAATTCATAAATTCCTGTTTCCAATAAGCAGCTTCCGATTGTTTTAACAATTTTTTTACTTCATTTCTCTTGGATTTATATAATTCCCATTTGACTTGATCTTGAGATGACTTGGCTTCCTTAAGTAACTTATAACGAAGATTTATTTGCCTCCTTATGTAAGTAGAAATCCAGGGTAAAGATTTGGATCTTATTTTAACATTCCTAGTTGGGAGGTGATGGTTGACTATATCCTTATATAGATAGTCCCACAGGTATAAGCTATCGTCGACGTCGTCAAAAATACCAGCCAATTGCCACGGCGCATGTTCTATATCATTTCTAAATTGTTTGATGTCAAGTGATTTGTAAGCTTTGGTTGTTATATACTTGGGTTTAGGATTAGCTTTAGTAGTCATAAAGACAGCAAATACTAAGTGATGATCAGAAATACCAAGATCAATTGCACCAGAGGTTTTCACTTTGGCTGGTTGGCTGGTGATGATGAGGTCAAGAGCAGATGTGAGCTCTGTATGAGGGTTTTGCCGTGAAGGTTGTCCATAATGGTCAGACGTCCACACGCCGTTGGGCAGGAGTCGATCACACAA